TCGGCATATAAAGCAACATATTCGAATTCGGCCTCGATATATCGAGTACGCATCAAATTTCAGAAAATCTCGTTTTTGGCCTGTATTTGGAGCCCCATAAATCATAAAGTCCCGCTTTGTTCCCTTCAACTTTTATATATAATACTTTTCACTATTGGTACTATTCAAAATTACTGTTAAAAGTTGTCGGCACTTTGCGGATCATATTCGAATTCGGCATCGAATCATTGAGTTCGCACGAAATACAGCAAAATCTGATTTTTCGTCAATTTTTGAAGGGCCATATTTTGTTAAGTTTTGTTCCGCTGTTGATCATACTTTGGTGTAGACACTTGACTTATACATGTGATCGAAATCGTTGTCAAAAGTTGTCGGCATAAAGCAACATATTCGAATTCGGCCTCGATATATCGAGTACGCCTCAAATTTCGGAAAATCTCGTTTTTGGCCTGTATTTGGAGCCCCATAAATCATAAAGTCCCGCTTTGTTCCCTTCAACTTTTATATATAATACTTTTCACTATTGGTACTATTCAAAATTACTGTTAAAAGTTGTCGGCACTTTGCGGATCATATTCGAATTCGGCATCGAATCATTGAGTTCGCACGAAATACAGCAAAATCTGATTTTTCGTCAATTTTTGAAGGGCCATATTTTGTTAAGTTTTGTTCCGCTGTTGATCATACTTTGGTGTTAGACACTTGACTTATACATGTGATCGAAATCGTTGTCAAAAGTTGTCGGCATATAAGCAACATATTCGAATTCGCCTCGATATATCGAGTACGCCTCAAATTTCAGAAAATCTCGTTTTTGGCCTGTATTTGAGCCCCATAAATCATAAAGTCCAGCTTTGTTCTCTTCAACTTTTATATATTACTTTTCACTATTGGTACTATTCAAAATTACTGTTAAAAGTTGTCGGCACTTTGCGGATCATATTCGAATTCGGCATCGAATCATTGAGTTCGCACGAAATACAGCAAAATCTTTTTTTTCGTCAATTTTTGAAGGGCCATATTTTGTTAAGTTTTGTTCCGCTGTTGATCATACTTTGGTGTTAGACACTTGACTTATACATGTGATCGAAATTTGTCAAAAGTTGTCGGCATATAAGCAACATATTCGAATTCGGCCTCGATATATCGAGTACGCCTCAAATTTCAGAAAATCTCGTTTTTGGCCTGTATTTGGAGCCCATAAATCATAAAGTCCAGCTTTGTTCCCTTCAACTTTTATATATAATACTTTCACTATTGGTACTATTCAAAATTACTGTTAAAAGTTGTCGGCACTTTGCGGATCATATTCGAATTCGGCATCGAATCATTGAGTTCGCACGAAAATCAGCAAAATCTGATTTTTCGTCAATTTTTGAAGGGCCATATTTTGTTAAGTTTTGTTTCGCTGTTGATCATACTTTGGTGTTAGACACTTGATTTGTACATGTGATCGAAATCGTTGTCAAAAGTTGTCGGCATATAAAGCAACATATTCGAATTCGGCCTCGATATATCGAGTACGCATAAATTTCAGAAAATCTTGTTTTTCGCCTGTATTTGAAACCCCATAAATCATAAAGTCCGCTTTGTTCCCTTCAACTTTTATATATAATACTTATCACTATTGGTACTATTCAAAATTACTGTTAAAAATTTTCGGAACTTTGCGGATCATATTCGCATTTGGTATCGAACCCTAGAGTTTGCATGTAACATTGAAAAAAATATTTTCCGATATTTTTGTGTTCTCATCAAATGTAGCCTATTTTTATTTTGTATTTTTTTTTCATTCTGCAATTATATTCTAATACGTTTTAGTTTTTCTGTTTTATGTGATATACAGTTATGTATGTTGTAATTACCACTACCAGCTAAATGTGCTTAAACTTATATTTTGGTCTGAGTTGTTTCCTTCGGAACATATTATTCCAAATAGGATCCATTTATCGAAGAGATTATTTTCCGCATGGGAACCGGTTGAAAACTGCAGAATATTTTTCCGCTGAAATTCCGCTGAATTCACAGTGGTAAATTTGAAAGTCTGCATTATCTGGCCTTGTTTCCTCGGTCGCGCCGTGTGAATTCGATTCCAAAATATGAATACGAAAATTCCGTTTGGCATTGGAATTTATTTGGCAAAAAATAAAAATAAAAAAAATAAATTCGTATTGTAGGCGTTTATTTGCTGTTATTCTCGGAAAGCATATGCGACTTGTCACGATTTTATATTGTATCATACAGGTATGGTACTTTTGTTTCAAACAAGTCTATTCCGGGAGCTTGATTGCGCAAAAAAGTTTTGAACTAATTTCCGAATTTTGGTGTCGAGTTTACTGAAATATGGATTTATTGTTGTGTGTTTATTTTTTTATAGGATAGGATAGGATTTACATATTCATCCCGGGGGAGAGGAAAGCCGATAAGACGGCTTATCCATATGGCAGTACTGCAGTATGGCGAACCACGGCCTCTCGTCTGGTTACCATTCCAAGTCGGGTATGGGATTAGTTATATTGCTGTATTGTTTGTTTTCGGAAGCATGGCTGCATGGACTTGGTGGTGGAGGAAGCCGTAACCGACCAGCGGTTACGTGAACCACCCAACGACGGCGAGGAGTCCAGCAATCCTGTCGCACATAACCATCCCTGCATGCTGCATGGGATTCGAACCTGCGAACCCACGCAGAGTAATTAGAGGTGCGGTGGCGAGCGTATTCCTAACGCTTAGCCCGTTGAGCCACACCGCCGTGTCATAATTTATTTGGGGGGGGAATTGGGGGGTTCCGGTAATCCTACATTGAGCACAAATCGTGTGTTGACGGTCTAATGGTCGTAATGGATATGTCTTATCGTGGAACATTGATATTTATTTGTAATAGCTGAATAGAGATAAGTCAGTAAATTATGAAGTTAGATGGTTTTAAATGAAGTTATTACGTTATAATGATGGATCTTGGATTCTATACTTCATTTTTGGCCTCTTAGATTACTGTATTAACTCCTTTTTGAGATCTACTGTGAATCTGATTGTCGTATCAGATATTTTATGTATTTATTGTGTTCTTTTTGCCTATGTTTATTTCTTTGTGTTATTTTTATATGGATCGCAGCGGTCTGGAGTAATAATTGAATTGAATTGATGGCAGACTATTTAAAATTCAATGTAGGCCATAAATTGCTAAGTGGCTTGTTATTTTCAAGTAGTTACTAAGACAGTAAGATAAATGACTTGTGGATTGCTGTTTGTATTTCATGCTTTCATGTGAGGCGTCGCACTCTAAACAAGGCGATTCCGATGCTACTGGAAATAATAGCTACTGAACTAAAATCTTTTGCTTTGACATTGCTCAATAATATATACGAAAAATAATATGTGTCTCATACATCAAGTACTTATAGCTGGCGTAGCATAACGATTTTTGCACATGTCAATCCTAACCTCCCCCTGACTATGCCATTCAAAAAGTTACGTCACTACGACAGCGACTACACGTCATAGAGCATGCCAAAGTATACCTACGATCGCCCGAAACTAGGAACAAAACTACACTAGATTCAATAATATAATAAATAGCAATAAAATATGAAAATCAAACTTGTATATTAATAACTTTACAGATTTTGTTGTTAGTTTAATAATATTTTCTGTTACAATAGCAATCAAAAGAAACATGATTTTCTGTGTTTTTTATTCAACAGAATTTACGCACAGATTTAATTACTTCTTTTACTAAACGATCATTATGTTGTAACATGACACCCAAATGCTTTGTTTTGTCATAATAGTACAAACACGATGAATGAATGGTCACCAACTGACTCGTTCTATCTCAGTTACTTTCAAAAGTTTATTATGCCGTTAAATTAAATTTCATTTGTTGTTTTGAGATGGTTGTAGTAATATGGATATGGAAAATACAAAGAGCAATCTTAGAATCTAGACTTGTGCTCCCTAACTTATAGGTCATCTGAAAATATTTTTGGGTCGCTTGTTTTTTTTTAATAAAAGTATAAGGTATTGAATTAATTTTCTATCAAATATTTATTGTTTGTTTATTATTTGGTATTGATGTGTTATTGTATTTGTGTAAGGTATCAACATGTAAAAACAGCAGCATTTTTAATTTGTTTTGATTATGTAAAACCATGCCATGATTTTAAAACTTCACTGAGAAAAAACTAGTGCAGCTTTATCCCTTTGTTTTATATTAGTCAGTCATGGCCCATAAAAGTACTTCATTCCATTATAGTATTTGAGCATATATGCTCGGGTCGAGAGATTTTACAAAATTTATTTTTAGAAACTTTTGGTCGATTAAAAAAAGGTTGGCAAGCTCTGATCTAGACTGTGCAAAAGCGATGTTGCTTGAGTCAGTAGTTGTAATTTACTATTAAATCGAGAAAGTATTCTTGAATACAGTGGATATGAAATATAGATAATTAAAGATGGAAGCATGTCTGGTTTGTTGTTCTAAGATAGTATCGCTAATAAAAGGAAGGATATATTGGTAATCACTAAAACTAGCAAAGAGCAATTTAGTGCAGACAGAACGTTTACCCTATTTGGCATTAGACATCCCTGCCTAATTGAAGATTGAGCAGGTTTGATTTTGACTAAACGTACCTGTCAAATATTTCAGTCCAGACCAGGCAGAGTTTTAGTCATAAAATCTCGCATCCCGTTTCTGTCTGGAATTTTTCAAGCAGTTTTAGCGGTGCTTTCGCATCTGATTTTTGTTTGGCTTTGTTCAAGCAGTTTCGGCAGTAACTTCACATTCCATTTTTGTTTGGCGGTATTTATAAATTTATGGCGTTACTTTGATAGATCTCAAAATTGATTTGATCCAAGCATTAAAATTAAAACCTGTGTTGCGTTGGCTCAATTCTTTGAATCATTTTTTTCACATTAACAGAATATCATGCTGTCTCTCATTATACACAATGGAACTGGATACATTATACTACATAACAATGAGATTGAGAATTACCTTGTGGAATTAAAAATGTGACATAAACCTGGGAGTGTATGCTTTGAGTATCAACTTCAATGACTAAATGTAAGTGTGATTATTGGACACGTTTAGTAGCCATAACGATCGTTTCAAAATTTTGTTGTTATTGTTATTTGTCTCCGTCTCCATTTTTAAAAAATCGCTTTTCTCTTTGAATACTGGACCAATTGCTTTGATATTTTCAGTGGTTAAAGATAAAATTCTTCTCCAGAAGGCTATTACTTTTTTTTTTCGCTATGACGTCATCAAAATTATTGCCACTGGGTGGCGCTACGTGTCCATATATTTGAGCATAGCTCCCTTGTTATATCTTACGGTAGTTTGTTTTTATTGTTGTTTGTATTTGTGAAATTTTACATTCTTTTTTTTAAATTTGATGAGCGAATGCAATAGTGAATTTTCGAACCATTCATTTAAAAAATTTTATCCAGTAGATAATATTATCATTATTATCATTATCATAATCAGGTAGACATGTGTTCATTATGTCCTCACTCTGGACAAAAATTTGTTTATGGGGAATTGTATTTGCCATAGTCATTGCTTCTCACATATTGTAGACTATTTTCATATTATAGAGATATATCAATATCGCACTGTAAAAAACTCACTACATCATGTCATTGAACTATAAACTTTAACAGCTGCTTCTGTTAAGCCTTGTTCAGAGTTAAGATATGGGGCTCCCGAAGTATGCGAACCAAGATGGCGGACATCGGAATGTAATATGTGTACTAGGTTAGGGTTAGGCCACAATTTTAGGTATAAATACTACGGGAGGCTCTTGGCTATTCTTCGAACTGATAATAGGACTAAAATAAGGAAAATTGGAAAAAAATTATCGCCTAACCCTAACCTGTTACCCGTGTTACGTTCCGATGTCCGCCATCTTGGTTCGCTTACTTCGGGAGCACCTAAGATATAAATACAACATAAACAGGTCTTGTCACAAAATTCAAGTCATGCACAATATTTTCCTGGTTAGACTATGTACAAGCTCTAGCCTCTAGTATACTGTGAAACTGACATGGGCAAACCACGACCTTTGGTGGCCAAATCTAGCTCTTGGAAACACAATTTTCATGGAAATTTATTTTTTAAACTTCTGCCAGAAATAACCTAATATAACAAGCTATAAGCTATTCTCTGAATTATTTTGATTACCTATTTGTTGAACTCGAGGAATTTGAAGTAGCCTGTGGTTTTCTTGATAACTTACTGAGCAAATAAACAAGCGAGTAGGCATACACTCGAAAGTGTCCTCAGTAGCTCTTGAATGGGGCTTCAATAGCTAGCTGATTTTATCTTCAGGTTGCTGTCGTTATATACATTTATTGAGCGATATCGAGTTTTGAGATTTATTTTAATTAATCAATATAGTATTTTAGTGGCTGCCTAATAGTCATTTTCATGAATTTAACAATGAACTAATTTTTGGAATACGTCTTTCTCCCGTCGGCTGATCATAATTTAAACAAGAGAGCTACGCCCAAATATATGGGCACGTCTGTTCGCAGTACAGTTTACCGTACCGTCAGATCACAGTCTACAAATATATTCACACCAAGCGAAGCAGTACAATAGGACACAAAATGGCGTCCGATGTCTGCAGAACGTTTAATGACGTCATAGCAAACAAAAACAAATCTCACAGAGCTAACAGAAATATTTAAAATGAATAAAAGTAATAGCCTTCTGGGGAAAAATTTTATCTTCAACCACTGAAAATTTCAAAGCAATTGGTCCAGTATTCGAGGAGAAAAGCGATTTTTTTTAAAATGATGGAGACAAATAATAATGAAAATAACAATACCAGCAAAATTTTGAAATGATCGTTATGTCCACTACGTGTCCAAAAATGCTATTTACGGTTAAACTATTTCTTTCATTCAAGTTCGGCGGGCCATTTCAAATTGTTACAGCAGTTTGGGAACCACTGGTCTAATGTATGTCTAACTGCTGAATATTTCACAGATTTTATCTTTTAGGTATCGTTTTACTACTTAATAAGCATGTCTTTCTGTGAGTGTAAATTCAGAATAATGTTTCATAATTTCAAAATATTATTTCAAAGCTATTCAGATAAGCAAACTGTTCTTTATTGCCCAACTCCCACATCAATATAATTTATAAATAATGTAATCACTTAGTTGTAATGTAATCACTTTTGAATAATTTATTAGATTGTATTTGATTTCATTTGTGCGGTTGTTTGGGAATTCATATTTGCCAGATGTTCTTAACACATGACTTGTCAATCAGTATAGAATTATGCTGTTGTTTGTGAGTCTTGTAAATTATTGTAAAGGATAAAAAAGGAGACTTGAATCAGACAGATGTATGTGATTAGTTGGTGGTACAATTGTAACAATTTTCAATTTTCTTGTAGTTGCAGGCACAAAAATTTTGGACATTCATCTTATGACTTATGTTGTTCATACAAGCTAGCTTTTAAAGCATTGTAATGTCTTAGATATTCAATTGCACTCAGGTGCAGGCATTGCATCGCAAAGGGATTACTATTACTCGCACGTATTAGATTAAACTAAATTAAAAACTCTTTTCTCGGGTCGCACACCAAGTCAGATTGGAACTTCTCTGCGAGCCTCACATTTTTTCTTTATTGATCGAATTTGACTCACAGGCCGCAGGTTGCCCACCTCTGGTTTCGATATATAGGTATATGACTGATTCAAATGTACAAACTGTTTTCATGAATTATTTTTCCATTTTCTTTTTCTGTCTTTTCATGCTTTGTACTCATGTTTTTTATTTTATTTTTTTGCAGAGCAATGCGCTATGCCAAAGGCCTCTCTTGTACAAAGCAATCTCTGTCCATCGGATCGTAAGACAAGAATACCGTTCCTAGCTGATTCACCACCAAGAAAAAATACTACTAGTGGCGCAAATGATACACAACCACAAGGTGGTGCTAGAACTGGTAGGGCAAGCAATAAGGAAGATAACAGGTTACAGCGCTCGGATTTATCACAAAAACATCATCGAAATGTAAATGGGCTCAACTATCATCGAAAAAGTCACCAACGATATGAACCAAGAAGTAGGAAGTCATCTGATTCAAAAGTATCCAATGACGTTTCACAATCTAAAAATTCCTACTTGTGGTCAAAGTTAAATTTATCATCGCTGGACGAAAATGAAGAAAAGTCTGAAGTGGTTTTATCAATGAGACAAACCAATGTTTTACTTTCTCCGAGGGTTTATGACGCTGTTCCTGTTTCCTCTACAACGTCACAAGAACGGATTTCACTCAATGAACTCAGCGTTAGGAAATCTCATGTACAGCAGGTCACAGTGGGCCCTGTGGAATCAGATAGCGTTTCTGATTTGCTGTTCTCGGCAGAAAATTATGACCCGAATGTAACCAATGATAACAGATCTAGAAATAGTACTAAAGGAATTGTGACAGACGAAAATATTTATAGTGAAACTGATGGATACTTTCCGAATAATACAAGAACGAAAAGAATTATACAAAACTCAAATATCCAGTCTAGGACAGGCAGAAATAAAGTTGAAACTCTGAGAAAATCTTCTCTACTGAAACATAAGAAAACAAGCCCTCGTTTGAGAAATTTGAGTTCTTCATCGCACCCCAGTGGCAATAATTTGGGCACGGAGTCAAGAACTGGTCAAAGTTTATTGAATGGAAAAGAAAATGAAAAATATAATACTGGTTTTATTCGCCAACGTTTTCAAACTTCTACTAATGTGAAGAGAAATGAGAAAGTTCCAAAACAGAAAATTCCTCATGGATCTCATTCACAAACATTTTCTCCAAAATCAGGGAAATCTAATAAAAGCACAACTATTCCTACTTTTCATCAAACACCTAAGCGAGGCCTTGAAACAATAAATAGTCCAGCCCATCGAAGTTTTTCAAATCAAAATTTGAAAAATTCACCAGTATTACCAGGTGATAGCTTATACAGTGAGACTCAAGAAAATGGAGATTTTCAAACAACCACAAATGGTGTTCAAAAAGAAATATTAGAGGCAGATATGGAGCATTTGATTAACCAACGATTCTTAGCTGGACTAAGAGCAGGGGAGCGATCATTTTTAGGAGGTTTCCGAAATTCTGTCGACTCTCAATTCCTACCAAATGAAAATGGTTCACTTTTACTATCTGGTTTTGAACACGATAGTGAATCAGCATTTTCCGCAGGTGAAATTAAAGAAATTTCTGATGAGTCATTGCATGTTTCAGAGCTTGATTCGATAGAAGAGTATGCATCAAGCGTACTTGACGATCATCATGATCACCTATCCATGGCAAATCACGATCCAGAAGTTGAATTTCACAGAAATTCATCGAGACCAGGTGATTTAAGTCAGCAATTTGAAGACAGTTTGCTGAGTTCAAGTATAGATGATTACTTTTCTCCAGCAGGTAGCCGTAATGTTTCCAACGAAAATTTTGTTGATGCTGAGAAATATCATTCTGAAAACACTATGCATTTACACAGCCCTGTTTCTGCTCCATCGATTTTACAGGCTGCAAATTCAGCACTATTTTCTCAAGATAGAGATAGTTTTCTATCACCTTCGCCATCTTATGGAGTTCATAACAATTTAAGCCCAAGGAAGCAAGTTCATTTCAAAGACCCAATTTCAATTTCTACACAAATCTCACCTCGGCCCATCATTAGCTTAGAAGACCTTGGTCTGGGAGAGAATGCAGTTGACTATGATGACGCTGAAAATGCAGAGCTTAAAATGAGTAATCTTTTTGAAGAAGAAGTTTATGATGTTGATGGTTCTCATATTTCTGCAGATTCATTTCCCTATTCATTGACCCATGACCAGAATGCAAATGCAGATCTCAAAATTAGCAGTGATTTGAAAGATCCTAAATCTTTTAGTGAAAGGTCTTTGGATTCAATAAACCATGACCAAAATGCAAACTCAGAACTTGAAATGAGCAGTAAATTACGAAGTCATCCAATAAGGAAATTCAAGTCTTCCATGCAAACATCTTCAAATTTATTGAACCATGGCGAAAATGATAGTACAAGGCCCAAAATTAGCAGTAAATTACAAAGTCACCAAACAAGGAATCTTCAGTCTTCCAGGCTAACATCTTCATTGAACCGAAACCATAATGAAAATACAGGGTCCGAAATTACTATTGAATTACAAAGCCATCCTTTAAGCAATCTCAAGCCTTCCAGCCAAACTACTTTAGTTGCTTCAACCCCGAAATCTTCCAGAATTACTTCTCCCCATCCAAGAAAAAACTTTCAAAACACAACAAAAACATATGCACAGCTTTCTTCGCATTTACCAACTTCAAATTTAACAAAAACTCAGGAAATTCCTTGCAAAAACTTTTCAACACAACCTCAGGCTTCGATTATACAGCAAGAGCATCTACCTCAACTCAAAACCAGGATTTTTGAAACAAAATTCACTCCTCAAAATTTTTCTGCCTTGAGGGATCAAAGGTTACACAAAATTGTAGAGAAAAGTCCACCAAAAGAGAGAAACAATGTAATTCTCAAATCAAGGTAATAAATCAGTTCTAGCTCCCATGGTCATTTCTGATTCCATTTTTTGTTTTTCTCACTTTTGTTTACTGTATTTATTTGAGTATAACATGCAAGATTCTGTACTGATTTCCAATGAAAGATTAAGGATGAGTGTTATACACGAATAACTAGTATGGATTTTTTTTTGACCTTAATGTTGTTCTTGTCTATCCTTGGTCTCATCTAAAAAAATTAAACCAATTTTCAATCAAAAAGTTCTCGTTATACTCGAATAAATACGGTACGTTTTTGCCTTGAGCAAATGTTTGTAAAAATCATTTACAGAAAGCATATTAGATGACTTAACCATTTGCTAAACCCTGCCGAGCCATAATACGGCCTAGTGTAAGATAGTATGAAATAAATATAAGTGATATCCAACAGAGGTAAGATTTGTTCAATTCACAATATCAGTTTCTCATTGACACTCAGTATAGGATCAATTTTACTTACAGGTATTTCAGAATCTGGAAAGAGAATGTCCGGTTGTTGAAAGCAATCAAGAGCAAAGAAAATCTGAAGCTATTGAAGTAAGCTGTATAAAGAAATTTCAATTTGTAATCATTGGACTTTATGTCCTTCAGATACATAACATGTTTTAGGGCAGCGGTTCTAAAACTTCTTGTTGTGCGTTTCCAAATTATCAGGGAAAAACTCACAACACACTCACATGAAAAAAATGCTATCTTCATGTAAAACTCAATTTTGCGATCATAAATCTTTAGCAAATAAAGCAAACTGCAAAACGTGAAATTGCAGAAAGTATTGTCTACTTCTATTGTTACGTAACAAAAGAGATGTGCCTGACGCACACTTGGGAACACTTTAGGGGAAAAAGTTTGTTGGTTCACCATATTATGGTTGAATCATTGTAGCAGCTTCTCTATCCCCCGGAGTAAATCTAAAAATCTCATCACATCAACAAATATTAATGTTAATATTTAGAGCAATAAGTTTCCAAACTTTGACGACGGCCGCAAAACATTTTATTGCTTGGAGAAGGTTGATCCTAAGACATCGACTAGCAGCAGATGAACTCAAGAGATACCAACTCATAAGGAAAGGATTTTCAGGTGAGAGATTCAATTTAGAACACTAAGCTGTCTTGATTATTGGTACATGATGCTAAGTGTTGAGAATTTATACAACATTTTTTATATAACATGTCTCTGTTCAAGCAGCACTGCTAAGGAAATATCTTCTGTAGTTCATAATTTTGGAGTCTTATTGGCTTCTAATTTGCCTATTACCAAATTTGTTATACCCTGGCTGAGATGGTGAGCATGGATGATGATTTCACGCCTTCCGCTCTGAATAAGGCATTGTATAAGCAGCCACTGCTAGATAATGACCTACTATGGCATCCTTTAGCATTGAAAGAGGCATTCGGCATCCTTTCTGTCAAACACAAACCTGCTCGGAGTTGCAACATCTACTTTGATGTCAGTGGCTATTACAACTCTCGGAAAACAAGTTATGAAACGATATTCTAGTTCTTTCTAAGAAGAAGCCAAATGAATTAAAAATGATGCAATTCAAATTACGGCGAAATGAAAAGCATTCGAAAAATAAATATGAGAAAACTCGTTTTAACAAATTTGAATCATCTTAATTTGATTCATTGGAGCCACAACTTTGCGAAAACAAAGAGTCGCAGGTTGCCGATCGGTGTACTATACTTTGGGAGTACTGGAATCTTTCTGGTGCACCCTGGGTGGGGTGGTGGACTTGGGATTTGAATCCGAGAGCTATCTCTAGTAATGATGTATCACTCTGTTTCAGCTCTGCATTGGGCAGTTAGTTCAAGAAAAATGAAAGACAACCAAGTTGTATCAGCCGGCAGGAGACTGAAGTTTGCCAAATGCTTTAGGAAATGGAAGAAACGGTTAGATATATTATATTCTGGTGTATTAGTTTCGTATTTTAACTTTTTAGTTAACAGAAATTTAGAATTTTCAAACTGTGGGTTTTGACTTTTCTAATTGGCAAGTTAAATCGTAACAGCTAGCGAGTCTGACCGGGAAACGTGGTTTTTCAAGACACTTGCGTGTCTGAAAAGCATTTCAAGCCACGAAAAATTGCTGTGTATGACAACTATCAGGCGAAAAGGCCCTAATATCTAAACAGACGTACATGCTTCTTGCCAGTCTTTGAAACCACCTACCAATTTTACCTAATTTCTTGGTTTCTTGGTGTTCCGTGAGGCGACATAAAAAGCGTAGGAGTTACGGGGCATAAAATGTTTGAGAAATGCTGCTCTAAATTAATCTGCTATTTCTTACACATAGATACAAAGTTAAAAGATATGAAAACATCAAGTCAACATTCACTCATTGGAAAACCCGTTGTAAGAACAAGATCATTATTGGTCTGTTTGAAAGCAGAAGAGAAAGGATTGTATCACTGCAAGTAAGTTAGGCATAGGCCCTATGAATGTTAGGAATTGTGAAGGCTATACTGACTTTCAAATTTAATGTTATCGTCCAAGGATTCTATTCTATTCCTAATGGATCAGTGGTTTTCAAACTTTTTAAGCCGCAACCCCTTTTTAGAATTTACCAAGTCTCGCGCCCCACTTCCAAAATAACTAGCCAACAATAGGCTACAAATAACAGATAGTAGGGCAAAAGTATGTTTTATTCAAAAATCACAATGAAAATATGTAGATTGAAAAGAACCAAATAACGAATATTTTCATTTGTAATCAGCTTAACACCCCCTTCAAAAATTGTCAACCCCCTTTGTAGGATGCGCCACATCGTTTGAGGACCACTGTAATAGATATTAAAATAATTATTTTTAACAGTAAATATTGTTTATTACTTATTGATTTTAATCGGTAAGTATGTTGATAGGTATTTGTCTGTATGTCTGTCTGTTTGTCTGTTAGATGCACGCGATATCTCACGAAAGCGAGATTGAATCTGCTCCAGATTTTGCATGTGCATTCATCTTATCTAGGACCAGAAGCCTATTGATTTTGGGCGAATTATGTCGTATAATTAGCGAGTTATTATTTAATCAGTGATGAGACACAAGATGTCACTATGGAGTAAGAGCACTGTTTTGGGGGATCCCCTAACTTTCGATCGATAAGTCTTCGGTCTCTGACCGATATTCTCTTTTATCTTTGGTATTTATGATGACTGTTCTACCGTTTTTATTTTAGACGTTCTTCTTCTGGAGGGAAAGATTTCACAGTTCAAGTCAATTACATATTGCATCAGAGCATTATGATTTTGTAATTGTTCGCAGGGCTTGGCAACTATGGAGAATCTTTACAGGTAATGCACGGATGGAATAATGTTGATTTGAGCATGGTCATGGAACCCTAAATGAATTAGACAATTATCTCCACCCTAATTATCTGTATTTTTGAAAAGACTAATAGTTATAAGTGGAGTAATACTTTAAGCCTTGTGTCTGATTAAAAGTTAAAGAGTGTTATCAAACAAAAAATCTTTGTAGTGTCTGGAATTAAACTAAGTGATGTTACTTTTTATCGTAATTTTGGTATATGCTGGGTGAGCCAAAAAAATGTAATAATTCGTCAATTCCATAAATGTTAAGTTGTATTTTGTGGGGTTCTCTTATGATAACCTATCCGATTTATAGGTAACGATGAAAAAATGCATTATAAGGATGAATGCCCAAACCATAATTTCATTCCAGTATTACCTGTGTACGAAACATGTAAATCAGTCTTCAATCTTTGTGACAATTCAATTTTATAATAATATGTTGACATAATTATCGGCAAGAATGCTGGTAATTATTGGTCTGAGAACTTGTGAACCCTGTAATTATGTTTCGTGGAACAATAATTGAGCAAGTTTCAACTGATATAAATAACTATGTAGAGCAGGGAATCTCAAACGCACGATGAACAAAATTATTATATACTTATTAACATAACAAGCTCATGTGGGTTTTGTCATAACTTCCAAAAAAATTGTCTTTTTGCTTGTAATGTAAAACTCTGGTTGCAAAACTCTGATTGCGAAAATTTGAAAAAAACTTCACGGAAAAGTCATTCATCCATTATCATTATTTCAAAATTTTATTCCCGTCTTTTTATCAAACCAGCGGAACGAGTTGTCTTGCGATCTCAACTAGAAGTTGCTGATATCAAGCATGAAAGTTCAGTTTTATCTCGTACTCTGCTAAGATGGAAAAATACTACAATAAAGACGCAATATGCTCGGATGTACAATAGGAAAAAGGTGGTTAATTTATAGATAAAAAAATAATTATTAGACTAAATATTACTATAATAGGATTTGGGAAGATATTTTAAATTGCTTAATCTGATAGCACACAGTATCATCTCATTCGGTTCCCAATTCAGGCCAGATATGGGTAGAGCTGAGCAGTTAGTCATTCTGCTCTAAGGACTTGAATAGTGGTTGTACCCCTGGTCATGCCAACAACCAACTCAAATGTGTTCATCATATAAAGTAGAAATTGGCCGCCACTGCGGTTCGCTGAGTGCGCCTCAAAAATTAACAGAATTGTGTTAAACATAACTAATATATGATTGTATATTTTACATATTGTATTTATTATAAATGTTTATTGTTTCCTATTTTAAATGCTGTGTATATGAATCAAAAGATTAATTTTACCTTCTATGTAATTTACGTTTTATTACATATTGTCTGCCTCTATTGTTATGTTAGAGTTAGTTAGACACTACTTGCTGTAATTTCGCGAGCCGCAGTTTATTCATCTGCTGAACCGAGTTCAGCGAACACGAATGAGTTTTTCAGTATTTCATGTAAAATAAGGCAGAGATGAGAAAGAAGTTTTGACTTTTTGGCATTATTCCTGTTATTGTTCTGACAATCTTATTGTAAAAGTAGCTCTTCTTCACATGTAATATGATGCTGTCAAGCTTTGTGTCCTTATATCTATTGTACATTTCTCTTCAGATAACCATTTTCAATTATAGCAATTCACTATTTCAGGTACTTTTATTCTCACTAGAACATGGGTATCTTTTTTTTCCCAGCAGCAAAAAATTGAAAAATTTAAACAATCTTAAATAAGTAGAGCTTTAGAGTTGTCATTAAGTTTCATGCAATCATTAAATGTTCTAGGTTCTCTCATTCTCAATGAAGCAATGGAAACATTCAACTTCTTTATCGAGGATTCAACATCGAAAGGAAATTGCTTCAGCTCGGGAAATCAGAAGAAAATGCTTGTTGAGATCCCAGTTTAGATCATGGGTTACAGAACTCAACGTTAAAAGAATGAAAGAAAATATTAATATGAAGAATATAAGGTTTGTTGCTGGATTATGATTGGATATAATAGTTCATTTATGGGTGGGTTTTCATATTTATGTTATGGAGGAAAGTTAATGAAACAGGTTATCGTGCGATAAACTGTGGCCTCATGTCTGGTCACCGGTTTATGTAGGATTATCTGATCACTTCATCGCTCTAGATGCAATGAGGATTAATGTTTGAGGAGCTATTTCAGTGATTATGTGCGAGAGGATTGGCGGTCTTCTCATCGCCATAAGATGGTTAACATGACCGCTAGTCTGTTACGACTCCCTCCAACATCAAGTCCTTGCTTCCGAAATACAAATAACTAGCTAACAAATACCATACCCGACATTGACTTGTAATGAACGAGGGGCTGTGTTTTTTTATATGATTAAGCCCGCTCATTGACTTTCCTCTCTCCATGATAAATATTTAAATCTTATTCTCAGTATGCAACACTATTCTACAAAAACTCCACTACCACAATGAAATATAAATTTTTATAATATTTTCAGGCATTGTATCCTTATCTGGAAAGGCAGAGTTCAGAAACATCGAATTTTTTGTGCAGAGATAGCGTCCCAATATAACTATGCAATACTGAGAAAAGCATTCTGTAGTATAAAGGGATATACTGAAAATTGCAAGAAAAAAAGGTATGGATTTCGGAGATTACTTTCATTGCACAGACAGGAGCATACCCAGAGGGGGTTGCGTGTCGGAACACCCTCGCCCCCTCCCCCCCCCCTCTTTTTTTTAAATGTTAAGAAAAACTTTTTTTATCATACATAGCAATTTTTCGTGGCTTAAAATGCTTTTTAGACCTTCAAGACTCTTGAAAACCCTCGTATATCGAATTTCTGGCGGAGCCACAAGGAGTTACTGTCTGACTTGGCAATTATAAATTTAAGTACAAAAAATAAACAAAAATTAAATAACAAACAAACGAGAATATCGGTCAGAGACCAAAGACTTATCGATCGAAAGTTAGGGGATCCCCCAAAACAGCGCTCTTATTCCATAGTGACATCTTGTGTCCCATCACTAATTAATCAATAACTCGCTAATTATACAACATAATTCATCCAAAATCAATAGGCTTCTGGTACGACATATGATGAATGCACATGCAAAATCTAGAGCAGATTCAATCTCGCTTTCGTGAGATATCGCGTGCATCTAACAGACAAACAGACAAAATTAAAATCGATAAGTAATAATAAACTATGCAAGGCAAGCAGTTTCTTGCTTTAGTAACTTACTATGTTCATAATCCAGTGCATTGAAAACCATTTCATTGCATAACTCAGGAGTTTGCAACATGCGGCCCCCGTTTAGACTTCTAATATAGCCCTTAATCTGGTCAACACTCAGATTTCTCCCCATCGAGCACATAATCATAATCCGACAGTTTGGTTAAAAAGGCACTCACATTAGTAAAAACACATAATAAATTTTACTCTTTTATACAATATTTTGCCAAATTACATATATTTGTGACATAGGTAGTATATATTTTCCCTCCTATTTCCTTGTTAAACTTTTCAAATGTCCACCAATTTAATTCAGGTGTCAAGCGATCCAAAGACTAGAGCAATTCTCCTTGCGAAAATCACTCCTATCCTGGCACCAATTTACTATGAGAAAAGTAAAACTCAGAAACATGCAGAAAACTTTCCAAGTTAGAAATAGGAAGGTAGGTGTAGTTTTTTCTAGTCAATTTTTTAATTGTTGATATGCTTTTTAAAGTTCCTAAACGTGTAGGCCTGAAAAATAAAAACAATGTCAACTCTTCCTACTCCTCTCTGCCTGATTTTCCTCTGAAGTACTAGGACCCCTTTGGGAACTGATGAATTAGAGTTTATTATTGGTTGGCGTATGTCTATTCTCTGGACCTATGCGGGTTTGCTGCAAAAGAACAATCGCATGAATCGAAATAATTGCATTGAATTGTTCGAAAATTTTCCATCATATGCTTTTTTATCACTCTAATCTTCTCCATTCATTTTTTTGCAATCAATCTGAAGTAATAAATAGTCGTTACAGAGAATGAGCTTTCGCAACCAGATAACTCGGATAAGGATGCCACATAATCCAATTTTTTTGTTCAGAAATGCATGGAATCTCTATCTCACATCTGGAGAACGAAGTTTAATATCATACAGGCAGCGCAAGAACAATACCGACAGTGGACGATACGTTGTGTACAAAACGCAGCTTATAAATGGTTGCATTTATTGAGATTGAAACAAATGGACAGGAAATGTGATATGCAGATTGTGAGATTCAGTAAGAGGAGATTGAGAAGTAAGTTTTTTGTTAGATGTTTTAATGCCTTCACTTGGTAAATTCTAAAAGAGGAGATTGATGATTCATTGGCTAACATGAACATAAATAACAGCATTGACTTTGATTTTCAACCTGCGACACAAACATAGTCTGTTTCAACACTTTAACTGCTAGGTGTCTATTTTGCCTCTGTCTTATATAAACATTATGCAACTTTGTGAAACAAAATTGCCTTTAATGCAAGCACACAGCAATCTTTAGTTTAAACCTTATCTATTCCTACCACCTCACTGGTCTTTCCAAATATAGAAGGGCTACTCAACTGTTTTTACCAAAGATCCTTATAAAAAACTTCAAAATGGCTTGGCATCTTCAAACGCGCACTTTCTCAGCTGGGTAATGATTATTAGAATTGTTTATTATAAGTTCGTTAGAGTTCGTTCCATATATAGTCAGATGTAAATATGAAAATAAACTTCAAAATTATAGAAGTCATTCATTAAAGGGAAACCTTCACATATCCAAAGTGGGGCTAATGATCCAAAATAAAGAATTAGGTGCGGTCCGAATCCAATACTCGAAAGGTCCGGATTCGGACCGCGGTCCGCCAGTTGAGTAGCCATGGCCTATAATATCTGTGTCTTCTTGCTTGGAACACTGACCAAAGCGAGGTTGTACACCAACCTGGCAAAGCGAAATAAATTTAATTTTACTGTTGTTATTGCAGATCGATTTGAATCTTGGAAACGGAAGCTTCACAAAGAGAGGAAATCAGAGCAGCGAGCTGCTGATGGCCGAGTTGTTTTGCTGCGACACAAAATGAGAAGAATTTTGAGAAATTGGAATCTGAGAGCGCAGGAATCAGTGAACATAAAACCTTTGATCGAAAGAATGAATAGAAGGAGAGTTACACGGTAAAAATTTAGTTTATATGATGTTTTCAATTTCTTCACTCTGAGCAACGCTCTATAGAGGTATTGGCTGATATAAATGAAGCTGCTTAAATATGAAGGTTCAGCATTGCCTATCTGATTTATTACACCCTGGGTAAGGTGGTAGGCTTAGGATTTAAAACGGAGATGTTCAAGGCAGGGTCGTAGCCAGGGGGGTTTAAGGGTGGGAACACAATCTGGTTGAAATGTAAAAAAAAAATTGTGAAATACATAGCAATTTTTCTTAGCTTGAAAAGCCTTTCTGACTCGAAAACTCTCATCATTTTCTATCATGCTGGCTTGATATGACTCCTTGCACCATCCAAGTCAATCTGGAACGACTAAAACTAATTTAAACTTCCTATGCTCCATACCCCACATCTGAGCAGGCAACTCATTCAGAGCTTGACTCATCCTATGACTAAGCTGTTTTATCGCTTTTCTTTTCCACAGGATAAACATGCAAATCTAGCTTAACTATAACAACTCAGTAATTTCCATTTTCTCATTCAGATATTTCGATGCCTGGGCATTATTACGAAATCGCCAAGTCATGAAAGAAAATATGAATCAGCTAAATCAAACCCACAGTTTGCAAAAAAGTTTCCAGGTATGGAAAAATAAATTGAATGACAGAAATAACATTGAGAAAGCTGAAGAAATGCACGAAAAAATAATGAAAAGAAGAGCATTGAAGGGATGGAAAAAAGTTAGTATCCATTAGTATTCTTTTTATATATTGGAAAGATAACAGTGTGCAGTATTCCTTCAATACTTTTTTTTAAATGATTTCTGTTTAAAACTGTTCAAAATGTAGGGTATTTCCATGTTTTTCTTGACAGGAAACCATTTGCTAATAACAGCGATAAGTTCAGCAATCTTCTCAAACATGATTATCTCCACAAGTTCTAATTCGTTTTACCTGCGCACGATAGATTTTATTGGTGGAGGAAGAGTCAATAAGACGACTCAATCTTACAGTGGCCTCTCATGATATTTTGCTTGGCACTTAAGAATTTAGGTATCAGGATTTTTCATATTAATTCCCAGAAGTGAAAAATGATAAAAGCTTAAACGTGTATTGAAGCACGGCATGGGAATTGTTAAATACTTATTCGTCTCGGCCTGATAGTCTTACCTGACCAGAAATAATATAGTGGCCTCTGGAAAGCATGTTCCTAGCGCTTAGCACAATACATCAACAATTGAACTGACTAGGTAGGCCTAACCACTTATGCAATGATAAACCCATTTGCAATGCTCAGTATGCTTCATTTGAGCTTTTACATGAATGAAAGCTTCTACAAATTAAGTATTCATGAACCCATTTTTCCAGTTCTTGTTTCGTTGCCATGGATATGCTGTAGTCTCAAATCAGCATCATCGGATGCTATTACTACGACTCTTCTACACATGGGCTACAAAGACTACGTTCAAACAGATTGAAGAGTCGAGAAAACTTCATGAGCATTTCTTAAGACAAGTGAATGCCCATGAAATACTTGCCAGGTGAGGTAATTTTAATGTTGCTAGTCACCTCTGCCTTTCAATGGAGAGAGAATCGTTGCATCAGGTACAAGGAATCTAGCTATGTCAGCGTTACAAGTTACAGATCTTTGCTATATCTCTCATATCCACCAACTTGCCAAAGCTGTGAAATTCCGGGTAGGCATGACCGGATCATAAATATTTCAGTGACTCAAAAATGTACCACCATCAGGTCCATGCATCTAAAACAAATACCTGGTCCATTATTCCTGTAACCGAAATGGACTGGTAACTAATTGATAGGCTGGGGTTTGCCATGTCATAAAGTTGTCTTATCAGATTTCCTCTGTTGTATAAATATCAACTCCTATTCAACTTCCCTAACTCTATGTCATCCTTTCTTTCCTCATTTCAGATGGAATTCAGCAACGAAACAAAGGAAGATAAATGAGGAAGACAATATTCAAGGGTTCAGAGAAAAGCATGACCTTTCAACCAAGAGTTCAAAGTTCAAGTACTGGTCTGCTGCAGCTTTCAAGCAACAAAGAGCAAAGAAATTTGCTTCCATGAATACAAAGAAAAAAATTAAGGTGAATATCTATTACCGTAGTTAATTAAATTTGGAATAGTGTATTGTTGGAATATGTTTGTCAGGCCATTTATTTTCCTGCGTCAGATCGCAGGTTTAAATCCCATGCGTGATAATTACCGGTATGTGAGAAAGGATTCCCATGGCTCTTTGCCAACCAGGTTAGTTTCAAGCCATTGGTAAGTAAGGTCGCTACAATTTTAGAGCTAGGAAATTGTTTTTAGTTATCATGTTTACACTAAATGCTTAAAGGTCACCCACAACTCTGCAGTGGCTCTCCGCTGCTTGGATAGGATAGGATCTACATATTTATCCCGGGGAGAGGAAAGCCGATAAGACGACTTAACCGGACGGTTATAAGACGGTTACCATTCCATGTCGGTTATGGGATTAGTTAGTTATTTTTTTTCGGAAGCATGGACTTGATGCTGGAGGAAGCCGTAACTGACCAGCGGTTACATGAACCACCCTACGACGCGAGGAGTCCAGCAATCCTCTTGCACATAACCATTCCTGTATGGTATTCGAACCTGCGAACCCATGCAGAGTAATCAGAGGTTCGGTGGCGGTGGAAAAAGTGGAAAACTATTATAAGCTCATTTTTGTAAAGTGCAATTGTATTTGTATTATTGTGTCTATATAAATGTGATGATTTATTGATAATAAAAAAAATTTATTCGTAAAATACTTGTTTTATTTTACAGGAACTCTTTATTGCTTGGAACACATTAACCAGTGAGAACTTTCAGAAAAAATTTGAAAAGTTTTCATCCTCACTTAAAATGTTGAGACGAGAAATACCTCAAGCTTATCCAATTTTAAAAGCCGTTCAAGTGGAACATGATGTCACAGGAAATGATGTCATCACTCAGACAAGTTTTAATGATGACGTAACAATGACAAATGATGAAACTAATCACAATGACACAGAAATTAAATCAAGCTCTTCTGAAACTGGCTTCTCTGAGACTAGCACAAAAATCACTCAACTGGAACACGATCCAGACTTCCTAGAGACTAGAGAAGCCAATCGCACTTCTGAATCAACAAATTTAAAACGAATCAATTCTGATTTGGACACTCACTCAATATTCTCATCTTGCTCAATAGGAACTCAAAACTCAGAGAACAGCATCCTACAAAATGGGTGTGCTGATTCAGGGATACTGCTTCGAGACTACATTTCCACGGCAACCTCAGAACAAGATGAAATCAGTTCTGTGAATAGTGTAAAAGTTAATGGATTTCAACAAACGGGTCCAGAATTGAACTATAGCACTATACAGAATAATTTAGTATTGGAAGAAACGGAACCTATCACTCTACAAGATTTAGAATCAGACCACAATTCTGGGTCTTTATCTGAAACGAAAGACGTATCTTTGCCTAGTCAAAAACACCATCAAAATGGAACAGATATCCAAACTGAATGTACACACGATACACATGGAGATTCTAAAAATGACCTGGAAAGTAAACTCGAACATCAGCACTTGGAGTTAATAGATGCTCAAACCCAATTTACAAACGATCGGCAGAAGAATTTTGAAAAAGGTCATCAGCCCTCAGATGTTACATGTGTGAAGACAGTAAATGCAGGGAAAAAGTCACCAAATACTGAAATTGAAACTTGTAAATCACCAATATTGCATCACAACGTTAATCATACAACACAACAACAAAGTACACAAACAAAACCAACACTGCCAGCATGTGGTGACGCCTACTTGCAACCTGTATTGAGTGAATTCTCACATATGTCATTTCTACCTATTCTCAATTCCCACCAAAGAACCCACGTTCCACAGAACGAAAAAGATGAGATTGGAAATTACGTCAATGATCAAACACTTAAAGGACAAGCAAATACATCTAAAAGTTGCCAAAACGGTCAAAATAACCCAAAATTTCACGAAAAATCAACTGAAATTTATGGAAATGATGAATTCTCGAACAGTGCCCCAATAACAACAAATATAGAAGCAGGGAATGGTGAATGCCAGCAAGATATTCCCAGAAAACGATCAAAAATACCTGTATCCCTATCAAAAATTACCCCAAAGAATAATTCCACTCCGAAGCATTCAAAAAATTACTCAAAAACAGCCAATTCAGAAGACCCTCCTCCAAGCTCACAATCTGAGACCCCAAAATATAGAATATCTCCAGAAAGAAGCCATTTTTGTGTTCCGGATTGCGCAACACTCCCGAAAAATGTCTTAGAACATGAAAGATAACATTGAAACAGCTAAAGTTGTCACACCTCGGAAACTTTGTGACAAAAGCACAGACTCTAATATGCATCCTAAAAATTCTAAAACTCGAAACGACAGGTTCAATTTCCCAAACCCCGAAAACGGTCAAATTTCGCCTATATTATCGTCAACTATGATGGACCGCTCTATCAATACAGAAAATTTTGGAGTTGAAAGTTCAATTTCTAGTAATGAAGATGACACTTCTATCTCTATTATGACATCATCATTGTCAAGTAGTGATGCTATAATAGATGAGATTTATGATGTCATAGAACCAGCAACTAGAGAGATTTTAAAGAGGAAACCGAAGCCGGTTTTACCTATTCACCCTTGTTTGAGAGGTTAGATGTTATCTTAATCTTATTTTCTTTTGAAATTCTCAAATTTTGACAATGTTGTGCTAATTGGGTTCAAAATTGGGGGCGCTCCAGATGTGTGTGTATCAATATGGAGGTAACTAATTTTGTTCACCTACTTTAAATCGAGTTAAGTAAAGGGACTGAAACCTATGGGCTGGGAATAAATTCACTTGGCTAACACAGACAGACCTCGACTCGTAATAAAACTAAAATAGGGAAAATCTGAATCAAATTATGGCCTAACCCTAACCTGGTACACACACTACTGTAGTACCAAATTAAGTTATGTTCAAAAAGCATTTAATTAATTTATATTTATAAAGTTTGAATTTCTTTCAATGGAGGAATAATCCCAGAACCTTTCCTTATGTCCTGCTTTTTTGTTATCTTCCATTCATTTATCCAATTTTCTTTCTCACTTCCAGACTCGTCTATCCCAACAATAGAATGGTTAGTTCGTCTTGTAGTGATTCGCATGCGATATCGCCCTCTAGCGTTTGCTTTTCACCAATGGAAACTGCTGATTCATACTAAGAAATGGGAACAAGAAATGCTGGCTCATATGAAGGAGCGCACCAGATTTTTAAATATTAAACAGTATTTGAGGTAGGGTTTTGTTTCAAGGTTTTGTCAAAGGAACGAACGTTTTATAATTTTTTTGAAAACATTTAGGTTTTACTCTCGTTTTCTGAGATCATTGTCATAAATAATTTTGTTCTAAAAATAGAAGACCATCTGAGATACAGCTATGATAGTAAAAGTATATGGGAGGAAACATTTCTTATGTAAGGCCCTCTGGCTTTTGATACCTTGTGTCAAACGAAGTTATTTTTAGGTATGTACCAAATCTGGTAAAAAACATTGAATTTGTTAAAGTTAACTTTTCATATCCATATCTTAACCTTATTCTATGGAATCGAGGGCCAATCTTCAGAACAGTGTGTTTTGCTAGTTAGGTATAATCCCTATCTGAAATAAACGGTACATGCATGGCCCCCTTTCTCTGTGACCTTTAGGGCCCCATTAGGAATTTATTGTGTTGTGCTAAAAGTATGATCAGGTGGTTTCAAACAGGTATATTTCTCCTATCTGAATCAAATAACCTTTCTATAGCTTGTGTTGTTCACTCACTTTATAATTCGGTGGTATCATTGCCACCAAGTCTCTACCAAGAACGTCTTTGCCCCCAATTATATTTTATTGTGTTTATTTTTTTATGTGTGTTTATTGTGTTTATACTTTATAATTCGGTGGTATCATTGCCACCAAGTCTCTACCAAGAACGTCTTTGCCCCCAATTATATTTTATTGTGTTTATGTTTTCTGCTGGACAAAACAAAATTAACTCTCTCTCTCTCTCTCTCTCTTTCTCTCTCTCTCTCTCTCTCTCTCTCTCTTCTTATAGGCAATGGAAAACCAACTATAAAAAGGCTACATCATCCAGGAATCATTATAGACAAAATCTAGAACAACGTTGCTTTCATGAATGGCTACAATGGACAATGACTAAGAGAGCAAGACAAAGGTAAGTGTTTCCTGATTCAATCTTGACATATTTTGTTTTTATGTTGTATGCTATCCTGGTATACCAATGCAAAGGGGTAGAAAGGAATTTTCTGAAGGGGGAAGGGTTCGGAAATTTCTAATTGACAAGTTAGACCAGATTAGCTACCAGGTCTGGAAAAAGTAGGTTTCGAAGAGTTTTGAGGGTCTAAAAAGCTTTTCAAGCTACAAAAACTTGGGAAACACTTATGATACAGAAAATTTTTTTTTTTTACATTTCAAAAATCTGACTCTCAAACCCCCGCCAACCCCTCTAAAACTACAAACCCAATCTATAATAATGATTTCATCTTTGTTTAAGAATGAAGACAGAAGCAGACCGCATCTATTCTTCCAAAGTATTGAGATCTGCAATGAACACATGGAATGGGAAATGGCAGCATAGATTGGCACTGCTTGGTAAGTATAACTTGTTTAATCTTAGTGTCAAGGAAATTTTTCCAAATAGTTATTGTTAAAAAATATGAAGCTTTTGGAAATATGACGGTTTATAAGCAAAGACTTGAAAAAAGAAAGTCAGGCTTGGCGGTTTGGGCATTGTGCTAATACGTTCGCAACCACCTGTCTGATTAATCTGTGTGGTTTAGCAGGTGCGAATCCAATGCTGGGATAATTATTACAGAACATGCCCTCATAGGGTGGTTCACATGACTGCTGACTAACAAATCCCATACCCTACATGGACTGGTAACCGGACGAGTATGCTACATGATTGAGTCATATAATCGGCTTTTCTCTGCCCCCAAAAACAATGTGAACTTATCCTATTCTAGGATTTTTATACTTCTATTTACTGAAAGACACATAGTCATTTATCTAGAGTTTTTTATTTACCCTAATTCAGTTGAATATAAATAAGAAAAAATAAAATAAATACTGTTAAATACCATTTTTATACGAGCACTATGTACTGTTAGTTATAACATCCAAGCCTCTGTGGAAATCTCTAGGCTGAAGTAAGAAATAAACGAGCCCAGCAAGACACTAATCTCAAATCAAAAATATTTTTTATTCATATTTTTTGTTTACAGAAATTCTCAAATATTGGCAAACCAGAACAAAACAACACAATTCACCTCGGATGAAAGATGAAAGAACTCAACATAGATTGAACTCTGAGTTATTGTCTAATTGTTTTGAAAGATGGAGACTGAAATACAGGCAACTTGCTTTGTCCGATCAACACAGAAGAAAGACTTTATTAGGAGGGTAAGTTGGGTTCTTTTTTGATGAAGATTTTTTCAGATCAGGGTCACATGCACTCAAGAATATTTCTCAGAGCAAGTTACCCGCAGAAGTAAAGGAAACTTATATCGGAGCAAAGTTACAGGCACTGACTCAGAAAGGAAGGAAACTCATGTCTAAACAAAGTTACAGGAAACTCTGAGTAAAGTTAGTTACTCACTCAGAAGTGAAGGAGACTCATCTTTGAGCAAAGTAACGGGCACTCACTCAGAAGTAAAGGAGACTTATCTCTGAGCAAGGTTACGGGCACTCACTCAGAAGTAAAGGAGACTCATCTTTGAGTAAAGTTACGGACGCTCACTCAAAGGTGAAGGGAACTCATCTTCGAGTAAAGTTATGTGAGCTCACTCAGAAGTAAAGAAGACACGTCATATTTTTACTTGAGATTTTTTCAATCATGCTTTTTCTCTTCTATCACTGCCACACGTTAGTCAATTACATATAATAGACTTAATTGGGAGCCCAACTCAATCACAAAATATATTCCAGGATTTTAACTGCATGGAGCAACTGTGCATCCGAGAGAGCTGAAGTTTCTATGAGAATATCTGATATGAGGTCTTACCATCTAAAAAGAAGAATTTTCATTGCGTGGAAAAAGTAAGTCATGATAGTCTTTTCCACAAAATAGCTTATTTGTGAGCCATTGTTTGATCATAGTCTAACTTCTCTAGAAGAGTTTCTCACACAACTTATTGTTGTATTCATTTATATCACAAATACGATTTCTATTTCATTCAATGAGATTATATTATTTTTTATTCAATAACTGTACTTACTAATGAATATTCCATATTACTCCAGACACACCTCCTTAATGAAACAAGTGGAATTGATTCGAAAGCGATCTCTTCGGAACTGGATTTCATCATTATTGGATAGATGGCACCAATATGCTACAGGTTTGCATTGTATTTCACTAATAATCAAAATTCTTGGCAATGAGGTTTAATGTTCTAAACCAGCGGTTACCTAACTCTTTGTTCACATGACGCCGGATTATCAGTGCAAAACACTCATGGCACACTCACACGAAATGAATGCTGTTTTTTAATTAAAACTCAACTTTGTGATCGTTAATGTGTACTTTATGTCATTTGAAGTTTGTAAACATGTAGGCTTGAGGAATGAAAGCAAAAGGTTAACTCTTCTTCCTCATTTCTGCCCGATTTTCCTTTGGAATGCCATGAAAATCTCTCATTTTGCTATACTCTGTTTTGAACGTTTCGAAGTCTCTTGTATTAAAAGACTCTCTTAAGTTACTTCAGTCTTCTAACCTTGGTGTGTCATGGAGCCCATGAAGAAATTGACTATTTTTTACGGAGCTCCATAATAAATTTATAAAAATAAAAGCGAAAAACACATTGTTATTAAAAGATTGATGTCCCCGAACAAACTAAAATTATTGCATTCAATGACCAGAATGTATTTGCGGCTTTGTATTTAAAAAATATTATTTTAATAAGTAAACGAATAGCTCGCGTAGCCCCTAGATTTCTCTCGTTGAGCTTTGGGGCTTCCTACAGAGCACTTCGAGAACCTATGCTCTAGGACGGACCTAGAGATGTAATTTTAGACATGACAAGAATTCCAATTCAGTACCTCATTTAATGTTTGCTTCGGACTCAATTACTAATTTAATAGGTAGCCTTCTGATTGTCACAAACATAGCAACTTTAGAGCAAAGCATGAAAATCCTCTAAAAGTCATTTCAGAGACTGATATTTGTTTACTTTTCTAATTTATACAGCAAAGCATCACCACGATTCTGCACTTGATAAAATTTCAAATCTAAGCCAGTCAAGAGCGGTCCAAACCTGTTTAGACCGGTGGAGACTGGAATTTACTAAAACAAAACTAGCTGATATGATGAACAGGAGATCTTTGATGAAAAAAGCCATCCATGAGTGGCATGATGTCACAATAGCATGGGCAGCTGATAGACAAAGAATTGAAACCATGAGAAGAACTGTTGCAACTAATCAGGTAAAAGACTGGCGATTGGCGCATTATGCTAAATGTTAGTAAGATTCAGAATCAGATTCAGATAATTTATTTTTATCATGCAAGAATCAATGAAGACACAACACAAAAGTGCATAACGGAATTATATGAAAAATTGAAATAAACACGTGGAAATAACGTCAGAGATTCATTGCAATCGATAAGGGGTCGCGAAGGACTGTAACAGTCATCGAGTCAGCGACACCTGTTGGCTGATTAATTCAGAGGGAAAGGACCAAAATTTAATAATTCATAAGTATCACGAAATGAAAATCAAAAAAAAAAATTCACTGAAGTAAGAAATGACGCAGCAGCTCCCCTCGTGGGTTTACTGTGCGTTCACGAACCATGACAAAAAAAATGCTTATTAATATGAATAAGCATAAAAAGAATGCGACTCGTTGTCAATAGCAAACTCGAGCTGCAGTTTATGACTGGGTAGGTTAAATACAGATTAAAAAGAAGCAACTATTTTATTACTTCACACGGTAAGTTATATATAGTAACACTTATACAGTAATACACTTGCCATCGCAACCCTGTGTGAGCCTGTAGGTTTATATCCTGTTGTGGCTAATTATGTTCAAGCGGATTGATAGACAGTAGGGTTTCCGTAATCGCTGGTTGGTTACAGCTTCCTTCACCATGAAGTCCATACATCTGAAACAAATACCTGGCTGACTAATTCCATGTATGAGATTGACTGGTAAACAGACGAGAGGCTGCAGTCTGCAATATGATAAGTCCATCTTATCAAATTTCCTCTCCCTCAGGGTAGATATTAAAAATTATAATCTAACATCTCAAACTTTTTTCATATTCAGAAACGTACTGCATTGACCAACTGGAGGAATGAGTTGGCATTGAAAGCAAAAGTTGATTCAGCAAGAGAACAAAGATATTCAAACCTACTGTGGAGATCATGGTGTCTATGGAGAGAAAGAGTAGCTTTGAAAAGGTAGTTGTTTTTTTCTTCATGTAGTGCTTTATCAAGGGTTTCAAGATATAAAGGTGAATCTTCATATTTTTGGAAAAAAATATTTTAGGCGTTATACAAGAATTACAGGGCTTTCATAAAGTCTTAAAATTTGGTAAAATTGCAAGGGGAATTCATCAGTACCATATGTTGTTTTGGCCCTCACATATGTATTAAGTGCATATATCTAAACAATTACTGTACTGATTAGGAAACAACACACCTGATTAATATATATTGAAAACTGACTTTACACCAAAATTGAAATTGTAAAGAGACTTTATGGACACCCTGTAGTTGCTGTTAGCTAGTTAGAGACTCAAAATTCTTAATTTTTGAATAGAAATATTCTAATTTTATCCCCAAATCAAGAATTTACTAAATCAAACAACCAATTTCAAATGTATTGGAATATTTAATTCGTTTGGGAACTCCCTGGCGCTACTTTGTTTTGGCGAGGCTGTGTGTGGTCAGCATAGGTTACACATTTTATTATATGGTGGTGTCGGAGACATTATTTTAATCTTTCATTCATAGAGCATCTCATACGTACATGTTGTTTCTGAAAAGAAGAACATTCAATTCTTGGAAGAAGTTTCTGCAACAGAAAAGAAATTCGGATGAAAAAGCAAGAACAGTTTTATTGAAATGGTATTTTATAGGTTTTCATACCTACATGCTCTTTCTGTAATTTCCCTACACAGGTCTGATTCTTTGGGGATAATAATGCGCAGAGACTTTTTTGAGTTGCTCGCTATTGTAAAATGGTTATTGTAAGCACTAGTCTGCTACAGCTTCCTCCACTATCAAGTCTCGGAATAAACTGAGTGTTTGTTTTCTGGGCTGAGGTTTGCCATGAGATTAATCCCTCTTTATCAAGTCCCCAGAAAGACGGCATTCTTGACTGAAATTTGTGAAGGTTGTGACCGTTGTCTAGTAACAAGTGCTGTTTTATGGGTCGTTTGCCAAGTTTTCTGTTTTCTCTGTGATAATCATATTCAATAATCCTATACTACCACTTGAAGTATGAACTCAAAAATTCTATATGAGGTCTGAACTTTTGCCAGTGTGAGCTTTTTTGTGTTCAATATTTTTTATTCAATGCAAACATTTTTTGTTTTTAGGCACGAAATGGTTGTGCGGAGTCAGAATCTGTTATGCATGGCTGATCAGTTTCAAATGAAATCCTGTAATTTCACGGTTGAATTCACATTCAATACATGGTTGATCGCACACAGCCAGAATAAGATTGCCAAGCTGCACTACAAGAACAAGATCTTGAGGAAGAGTTTTGCTGCAATTCTTTCTCGAACAAAACGTAAAAAATCACTCAAGAGAATGCAGATGAATTTTGTGAGGCAGAGAACAAAAGAACTGTTTGCTTTTTCATGGCACAAGTAAGTCTTAGTGACCCTAAATCCCAACCCTTCCTCAATGCCTTTGCACTGGTGTAAATGTATGTGTAATGCAAAGAGGCTGTAGCAGGAATAAACATGACCATACTATGCAATTCAAGTGTCTTGCTGCACACTAACACAAATGTATTTCTGTAACGTTTTGTCTGACCGAAATCTGACTCCCTCAGACAAGCAGTTTAAATACGGCGATAAATAAATGTGTTTAAAATTGAATTGTCTCATGAATTGTGACTTAACAATGAAAACACAATTATTTAAATTGAGCAAGCAGATTGCGATTTGAAATCACGATCAGTACTCAGCATGGAATAATTGTTTCGTGGTGTACTTGATCTCACAATCAAGAATCTTTCTGCCCACCGACACAAATGTATTTCAGTTATTATTACTCATCGATTTTAATCGGTAAGTATGATGATAGGTATTTGCCTGTTTATCTGTCTGTTTGTCTTTCTGTCTGTTTATCTGTTAGATGCACGCGATATCTCACGAAAGTGAGATTGGATCTGCTGCAGATTTTGCGTGTGCATTCATCATATTTCGGACCAGTAGCCTATTGATTTTGGGCGAATTATGTCGTATAATTAGCGAGTTAATAATTAATTAGTGATGGGACACAAGGTGTCACTAGAGCGCTGTTTTGGGGGATCCCCTAACTTTCGATTGATAAGTCTTCGGTCTCTGACCGATATTCTTGTTTTAATCTCAATACATCCCCGCAACTGCACTCCTGATTACCCTGCTTGGATTCGCAGAATCTCATGCGGGGATAGTTATGTGCAAAAGATTGCTGGAATCTTCGCTGTCAGGGTGGTTCACATATCTGGTCAGTTACAGCTTACTCCACCATCAAGTCCATAAAGTATGAAAACAAATGATTGGCTAACTAATCCCATACCCAACATGGATTGATAACCGGACGAGAGACTGTGGTTTGTCATATGATTAGGCCGTCTTATCAGCGCTCCTTTCCCCCAAAATAAATATGTAAAATCCTACGATTTTAATCTCAATACATCCATTCTTTAATGTTATATTATTCTCAGATGGAAGTACCGGCTTCAGTTAAGGCTACAGAATTCAAGTGCTATTGATAACCATAAGAGGGCAGTATCACATCGGTTATTAGTAAGATACTGGACTGCTTGGAAATCAAGAAAAAATGAGAGAGATGCTATAGCGTTGTACCAGCAGTCTTCTTTAAGAAAAGTAAGCTTAAGAGAGTGTTCAGTATTAATTATTTTGCGGTGCTCCCGAAGTATGCGAACCAAGATGGCGGACATCGGAACGTAACATCGGTAACAGGTTAGGATTAGGCCATAATTTTTTTCCAATTTTCCTTATTTTAGTCCTATTATCAGTTCAAAGACTAGCCAAGAGCCTCCCGTAGTATTTATACCTAAAATTATGGCCTAACCCTAACCTAGTACACATATTACATTCCGATGTCCGCCATCTTGGTTCGCATACTTCGGGAGCCCCTATTTTGCTGTCTCAAATATACTTTGAAAAACTGATTATTAATTCCAATGTGCTTTAAAACCTAAAATCATCTGGTATTAATTCATAATATACGTTTGAACTTTTATGCACACCTCCACACAAAAAATTTGAAAAAGCAGCTAATTTTCGGTCAAATTCACAAAAGTTCCATATGACAGTGTTGTGCCCCCCTGTGCTCTGTGGCCCCCCGATTGGGAACTGGGAACAGCTGCTGTAAGACTTAGGTTTTTTCGTTGAGATTCTTCTATATCAGAGATATATTTCCAGTTTCAAAGTAATTAAGGAATCTCGCTGCATGGTACTAACAGTGTTAATGTGCATTTCAGTGTTTCTCGAAGTGGGAATTTGAACACACGAAAATGAAAAGAGCAGATCGACTTGTTAAGCAACATCAAGACAGAAGATTAAGTCTGGTAAAATGGTTTATTTCATATAATGGAGGGCCAATGGCCATAACCACACTTAACTATTTCGAATATATTCTAAAAAAATATTTTCGAATCTGGAATTCTGAATACATTCTATAATGCCCCACATATATTCTTTTTAATTTTTTTAAAATACAGATACATTGGAAATAGGCTTTAATAATATTATTATTGATTAAAAATTGATTATTTTTGTCTTTAACAAAAGAGACCTAATAAACATTTCTGTATTTATACCAATGAATTGTGGTGTAACTTGGCAAGCACAGGTAAAAAAAAAACAGGCGCCCAGTGAAATATTTTAAATCATTCAGTAAAATCAAATCTCTTATTCAAGTTATTTTGAATCTTTGATAAATGGTCTCTTGTGTCTCAACGCCACCTCTCAAAAATCGAAGTTAATTCAAGATTCTGCGATTCAGATTCTCACAACATGGTGGACTTGTAGTTCAACACTTAGGAATGAGAGAAGAGTTGTTTCTGATTTAGAGGAATCAAGAAATAAAATTCTGACAATAACGACGTTTATGGTCTGGCTGAAAAGTTATAAAAACAACAAAATCGCTTGTAAATTTGCGGAAAATAAAATGAAAAAGAAGGCGTTTAACAGGTAAAAAATTCCTAAACTATTTTTGGGGGGGATGGATTGTGCCTCATATTTGGCAATATTGATGACTTTTTTACCTACCACAGCCGCGGAATAACTACCGGTACTCCTCCGTTTGCTATTCAATGAATTGCGGTTGCCATGGTTACCCTGGCCTGTCGTGTCTGTAGTCTTCTGATATTAACCAGAGTGACGCTAGGATATCGGGTCGCTTAAATGTGTCTCAAAGTCCGGATTTTGTTAGTATTCTATGTTCGACTCAGAACTCAGAAGTTTTATTTCGTCGTGCATGAAATATTGTACACAATTAAACAAATATAATGATAATGCAAAAATCAATTGAATACTGAAGCACTGACGCAATTGAGTAGGATCCACATCATCGTGTCAACGACACCGTGTTTATTTATTTACAAACAGATAACGTTAATAAAATATTAAAAATAAGAATTAGATGACTATCTTCATGACTTGTTGGATGAAATCAATTTAGGAAATATAAAGTAAATATGGTGCAAGTCAATCATGAAAGAGTGACTGGTTAAGTCAGTTCACTTTTTCCTCAGTATGATTTATGTTAGATTCACTCATTGGTCTCCCTCCACAATGAAATGCATTTTTTTTTCATTTTTTCTATTTATGTTTATCCAATGTGTACTTTAGGCATGTGATAAAATAAACTACTGACTGACTGATTTACCATTATTGTAATACAAGTGCAAAGAAGAGCCGGAATTTTACCGGTTCAGTATTGCCTAACCACATTGTTACAACCTGAGTGAGGTGATGGGATTTCAATTGATGTCACATTAGATAAGCCAAACGATATGAGATATTTAACCAACTATGCTAACATAGTTAGATTCAACGTTTTTATCACTTGGCCATATCACCCCGCCCCCTCCAGGATTGTGATTGTGAATTTTCAAAGGTTAAATTGGTTGAAATCGACGATTTTTTTCTCCAGCATGATATGGGTATTCGGGCCTCTGACGTCGGTATTATCTTAGTAGATTATAATTCTTAATATTCAACCAAATAAAAAAAGTTTGAGAATCACAAATCTAGTTCATCAATTATAATAGAATATAAATTATTCTTTTTCAGTCTTAAGATATGGAAGACAGAAAGCATCAGACTGAAGAAATGTTATAGCCAAGCAGTTCAGATAGTGGAGACATTGATGTTGAAGGTACGTATTCCTAAAGAATTACTATGGCAAGAGTATGCTAAAGGCTTAGCAAGATACCGGTCAACCATACCAACCATGCCTGTCATTTAGTTTTACTTCACTCAATGGAAATCCATGTTCCGCAAAGTCAGAATGCTCGAAGTTACTTGTGACCGCATGATGGAGGTAAAGAGCAACAAAATGTTGAAATCATCTTGGAAGAAATGGTTCAAAGCTAAAGAAAATGTAGGTTTGGGTTGTTAACTTGGTGTGAATCTATAACTAGTAAATTATTCTGAAATTTGTCAAGTGGTAGAAGACGGAACAGAGTTTATTCAATTTTATTTAACCAGGGTTTCTCAACTTTTATTCTCTCAAGATTTAGGATTTGCATTTTATCCCAGGGGAGAGGAAAACCGATGGGACGGTTTAATTATATGGTGAACCATGGACTCTAGTCCGGTTACCAGTCCATGTTGGGATTAGTTAGCCAGTCATTTGTTTGAGACAAGCAGGACCAGGTGAGAAGTCTAGTAATCCTCTTGCACATGATTGTCTCTCGCAAGATTCGAACCTGCGAATTCATGCAAAGTAATAAGAATTGCGATTGCAAGCGTATCCCTAACGCTTGGTTGCCCCTGCTTTATATAACTGTGTAAAGATTTGATGTAACAACCTCATTTAATCCTCTTTCATTGAATTGCCATACAGAGAGATTTACAAAAAAGGCATGAACGAGATTCAGCTTTCGATGTGATTACAAAATGGAGAAGATATGCAGCAGACCGTGTAGAGAAACAACGAATCAGAGAAGAGAGAAACGTCATGGTTGGAAGATTCGAACAAAAGTGGATTTGGAAACGGTCCTTTTCCAAATGGAAAGGAAAATATCAGGTATTTTTTTATGTCTGAATCAAGGATGGCTGAAACCAAATATCCTGCTGAATACATTTTAAAATAATATTTTTGAATATAGAATATACCTTAATTTTCCGCATTTTCAAGTTTACATTTCGCCTTGAGAATAAGGGGGTGCATATTATGCGTTGACATAGAAATTATCAAAAAATATTAATCTATATTTTATGCTCAACGGGCTAATAATCCTCATGTATATTAGTCATACATCTTTCAATTTCATTTCACAAAGTCTGTTAGAATCAGATCATGCTTGTTCCGGTAGAAGCATACCCAGTCCAACTAAAATTTAGCGTTAATAAGGGAGCAAGAGCCCAAAACAATTCACAAAAAGCTTATGTTGCACAAAAAAGAGATTCTTATTGGTATTGATCTTATGGCTTCATGGTATTATTGTGTTTATTATAATAATCGGCTCGGCGGTGTGGCGCATCGTGCTGAGCACTAGGATTACGCTCGCCACCACATCTCGGATTACCCTTTGTGGGATCGCAGGTTCGAATCCCATGCAGGGATGATCATGTGCGAGAGGATTGCTGGACTCTTCGCCGCCGTAGGGTGGTTCTTGTAACCGCTGGTCGGTTACGGCTTCCTCCACTATCAAGTCCATGCTTCCGAAAACAAATAACTGGCTAATTAATCCCATACCTGACCTGGACTGGTAACTGGACGAGAGGCCATGTTTCGCCATATGATTAGGCCGTCTTATCGGCTTTCCTCTCCCCCGGGATAAATATGTAAATCCTATCTTGATAATTATCAATAATTATTCGTTCCAAATACATAAAGATATAGCCTGCTAAGTTTGCTCTAAACTTTCCCATCTGTTATATTTAGGTGAACCAATTTTCAAGGAACAATAAGCAAAATCTTATGGAAAGATGTTGGCAAAGCTGGTCAAGTAAAACAGCCATGATCATCTGTGCTGTGGAAATGGTAAGCTTTAATGGTTTTATAAATCCCCTCTCTGAACAAGGCTCTGTGAAAGTAACCGTAAGGAATTACTTTAGTATAAAATCAGAATCTTAATGGCTACGAAATTGCCTACCCATTTTATTACACTCTAGACATGAATTTCGACCTGACATTTTAAAATCTGAGTTGCAAATATAGTTAGTTAAGCCCAATTTACACTCCACCTTCCAGAGGTGGTTTCATGGATTAGAACCTCCCCCGTTTGAAATGTGAAAAACACATTTTCTGTATCATACATGACAATTTTTGGTGCTCCCGAAGTATGCGAACCAAGATGGCGGACATCGGAACGTAACATGGGTAACAGGTTAGGGTTGGACCATAATTTTTTTCCAATTTTTCTTATTTTAGTCCTATTATCAATTCGAAGACTAGCCAAGAGCCTCTTGTAGTATTTATACCTAAAATTATGGCCTAACCCCAACCTAGTACACATATTACATTCCGATGTCCGCCATCTGGGTTCGCATACTTCGGGAGCCCCCAATTTTTTGTAGCTTGGAACGTTTCTTAGACCCTCAAGTTTCTTAAAAATACACACTTTTTGATCTCTTGTTGAACCCGCTGGCTAATATAGTCTAACTTGTGTCAATTAGATATCCCCCACTACTCTGAGAGAACCAAATTTTGATAAAAATAACTTAACAAGTATTTGTAGTGGTATGTCGAGAATGCTTTTCTAGTTTCTGTTCACAATTTTGACCCAGGTGAACAATTAGACATCTTAAATTATTCTGGCTCTGAGGAGTTGGAACCATCTTTCGTAACTCCCGGGTTTCAAGAAGATTAGAAATAATTACAATAATGATTGAACCTTTCAATGGTTCATATTAGCGGTGTGCCACCTTTAATACAGGTGGGTACAGGAGGACCCTATACAAATAACTGGATGAAACCACGAGTAGCACCTTTATTTAACATTAGGCTTTCTAGTTGTTGCAGGCACAAAACTAGATTCTTTTTGTTATAGGCATTATTAGGGGTGATTGCTGCATGTGATTGTGGGCATGTCTCAAGAATTGATTAAGCATATTTGAAATATTCATTTTGTAGGACTATCACTGGACATTGAGAAAGTACTGGCATTGGTGGAGACTTGAGCATGTGACCAAAAATTCAACCAATGAGGCGACAGAACAAATGAACCATGACATGAAAAAGACAATATTTGAACTGTGGAGGTTAGTCAATGAGACTTTACTCTATTTTGTCCAAAACTAACTTCCATGCACAGAGTTAAACAGCGTCCTGACAGCCTCAATCATGAGCCCGAATATATTGGCAAGTCTAATAATAAAAAAATGTTGAAATGAGTGGTGAAATTGAATTAATAATTTAGATACCCAATGCACAAATTTAAAAACCAATCTGAATATTATATTCATGATTCTTACCTCAATCTTTTTTCCAGAGCCTACACTTACAAGAAACTGACAGGTCGTCGTTACTGTTCTCCTGAATCATTGAAACCTGAGGCATTGACACCCAGAAAACGAAGTAGGATCCCGGTGTTGAAGAAATAAGGAATATACAACAGTAAAACTATAGAAAAATTGCAGATAGATATGGGGAAATTGCGACAAAATGTTCTATTTTGTTGTAGATTGTTCCATTCGTTTTGTTGTCCACAGACATTCTGCGATATGAAATACTTCCTCTATTATTTGAACCCATGGCTATAAGGCTTCTATCCTTTTTTTGGTACTCCCGAAGTATGCGAACCAAGATGGCGGACATCGGAACGTAACAGGTTAGGGTTAGGCATTAATTTTTTTCCCAATTTTCCTTATTTTAGTCCTATTATCAGTTCGAAGACTAGCCAAAAGCCTCCCGTAGTATTTATACCTAAAATTATGGCTTAACCCTAACCTAGTACACATATTACATTCCGATGTCCGCCATCTTGGTTCGCATACTTCGGGAGCCCCCTTTTTTTTTTGAATTTCTTTATATGGTTATATTAAATGCACGCTGTACCGCATAAATATTTGAAAGTTGTAAAACAAGTCTTCACATTATTATAATGACATTGTTATTTAATAATACTGTAGATTCTGCTATGTACATTGCTATCTCAATATATGAAATACTCTTTCCCACTAAACAATCAAACATGACATTTCATAAACAAAATTTGACATGATTATAAAACGAAATATCTCCGTTTTACTTTGCTGTTTGTCTTGCCTTATCATTGTATAATCACACTCATGGCCAACAATTATTGAACACAAATTGTACATACCTGTGTACATTGAAATAAAACTTTGGTGCTCCCGAAGTATGCGAACCAAGATGGCGGACATCGGAACGTAACATGGGTAACAGGTTAGGGTTAGGCGATAATTTTTTTCCAATTTTCCCCATTTTAGTCCTATTATCAGTTCGAAGAATAGCCAAGAGCCTCCCGTAGTATTTATACCTAAAATTATGGCCTAACCCTAACCTAGTACACATATTACATTCCGATGTCCGCCATCTTGGTTCGCATACTTCGGGAGCCCCAAAACTTTTTTATTTAATTCGCAGACATTTTTGGGTCTAGTGTAGTTTAGTAACACAAGTACTTCCAGTGGGCTTGTCATAACCATATTTACTTAGATTATGTAATCTTCCTGACTACGTCATCCAAAAATTACGTCACTTCGGCGTCACAACAATGTCATATAGCTTGCCAAAGTATCGCTACGATCACTCGAAATGGCATCTGTGCCGACAATAACAAACTCACTAATGCCAGCGATCTCATTCATATTGGGATCGTTACGACGAGAAATTGTGAGAAATAGCTTGCTCGATTTCGGGTGATCGCTAGCACGTTTTGGACGTCCGTCCATATATTTTGTGATTGTAATTTTGGATGACATAGTCAGGTGGTGGTTAGGAATGACATATGCAAAAATTCTTGAGCCTCACCCAACAGAAGTTATTGTGGTACTAAACTACACAAGACCCCACTTTTTGGCTTTAAATCTTTATAAATTAATATTGCATTCTTCTGATGGATGATCCTACAAAGGGATTTTTAAAAATCATATCAGCTTCTCAGGAGCTTGCCTCCATTTTTTATTTAAGAAAGTTGTACAAATTGTATGAAGTAACGCTCTTTTACTCTTCATAAATTGCTTTTGTATTTCCTTGACTTTGAGATTCGGCTATGAAAATCAAAAAGATTATATCAGCTGCTCACAAGCTTGCCTGCTAATTATCAGAAATTTTTTTCCGCATTTCAATTATTAATTACTTTTTACCTGACCTACTCTAGTGACTGATAAAATGCTATAGTTTCACACACACCCATCTTATTAACTCAACCAACAGGGTAATGATTCAAAAATGCAACCAGTTCCCAATACTTGTCCATGTTAGTTTATTTTTATCCTTCTACTTCTCACTTAAGTATTTATTTGTGTGATCCATTTTTGTGACCAGTTAGATGCCATAGTCATCATTTCGGGTTTGCTATTCTATAAGGTAAATCCAACATGTTCAAATACTTGCCTGTAAAGATTACTTGATTGTTTTTCATATCTTGGGAGTTTCAATGCACCAACAATAGGTGTGCTTATGTGAATACATCTTGCATTGATTCACTGTACTCCAGGGGTAGGCGATTACTTTTCTGAGTGTGCCAGTTACAGATAATGGACTGGGGATAATGTTTCTGGGCCGGATGTTCAAATATCTTTAATAAAAACAGTTTATTTACAAAAGATAGACTAACGTTTACATAATAACAAGAACAACACAATGTAACAATCTGCGTGATTGTGTCGGAAATTCAGATTCATAAAAACTATAGTTGTCATTTCAGTAGGCACAAGTGAGCCAGACCCGGCCCACGGTCCCTCATCTGCCCACCCCTGCTGTACCTAGTATCAATGGTTTTATGTGTGGCATGTCGACATATTATTTCAGAAATTGAATATTTAAATTCTTTTTACCCATGGCTACTTAAGTATTTGCTTGCTGAACTATATATAATCCTTCAGAATATACATCATGCTTGGCCCTATGAAAAGATGCATCTCATCATATTTTAAGAATGGAATGGAACTATTGATAACTGTTTCAACGCCTTTTCTAAGATAAATCCTTTCTACCCATGGCTGCTTAAATACTTGCCTGCTGAACTTCAAACTTTTAGCGTATACAACATGCTTGCCCTGTTGACAAAATGGGTCTCATCGTATTTTAAGATTAATGACCTATTGATAACTGCTTCAACGCTTTTTTTCGTGATAAATATGGTAATCCTTCCTACCCATGGCTGCTCAAGTACTTGCCTGCTGATCTTTACTTTCTCAGCAATTACATCATGCTTGCCATGTTGCATTGACAAAATGGTTCCATGACTAATTTTATATTACATTGAAATTAATTGATTCCAAATTGTTCCAATTTTGAGGTGTATGTTCTAGTACCTAATTACACGTTTTTATACTTTCATGTTTTCCTTACAAAATGTCTTTTTACGTGTCGTTTGTAGTTAAGTTTCACAGAACCCTACTCATTTTTCTTGTAGCTTTGAACATTTGAATGATTAATACTTTTCATTTTTACTCTGTTTGATAACATTTTTAAGAAACTCTATTTTGCTGTTTTCGTCATACTTGATCAACACACTAATTGGTTATATTTTATTTTAGTACAAAATGTCTTTTTCATATGTCGTTTATGGCTGAGTTCAACACAACCCTTTTATACCACTCTTGGCAGATTTTAAACATTTAATAAATGACTAAATTTTATAGTATATCTGTTCAAACCATTCGATAAAGGTTTTGAATACTTTTTTGCTCCTAATTCCAGATTTTAATTTGGCTTAAATGCCCAGGAAGCTGTCGCATAACGAAAAGGATAAAAAGAATTGCCTCAAGTCATTTTTGTTGTCTAAGGGCTTACAATAATTACTTCAAATAATTGTGCTTCTTTTCAGAGGGTTAACAACACAAACACATAGAGCTCAGTTGGTCTCACAGAGCCCCAAAATGCATATTTTTTCCTATATTTCATGATCCATTTGTACATATATACATACTTTGATTTTATTTTTTCTAGAATTGATTTTTTCTAGAATTGATTTAATAACTAATTAATTAGTCTTCACATAATTTAACTCTTTAACGTTCCTTTTAACCCTCTTATGTACTATTTTCTTCAATTTTGTAACTTTTGTAACTACAAATTTTTACCATTTCAGCATCTTTTTTAGTTCATGCACAAAGAAGCCATAATTTTTCATGTCTTGCTAAAAACTGGAGGAAATTAAAACTTTTTTTTAAAGTTTTGTAACCTCTTTTGATAGGACCCAGTAAAATTTGAGACTTTATATTTTGTGTTGAGTATTGTATTACATTAAGTTGTCTGAGTGAGGTAGTCTGTTTTTGACTTCAAGCTGTCAAAAATCAATTCCAAAAAATGTGTTATATCATTTATGTTGAGTAAGAATAAAATCATGAAGCGGTATTTTATTTCATTTCGAGAAATCACACTTCAAAATATTGATTTTGGGTAATTTGCAATTTTGTGAGCTTTTATCAATTCTGGTTGTAGTTCAGTTAAAAAATTGACTCCCAAGTTGTTATTTATGTGATGTGACGTATGAAATTTTGAAATTTTTTTCCATGCTTGACAGTTTTTCAAGCATGAAATTCAGGCTTCAGAATCTCTACTCTCCTTGGCCTTTGACACAAACTTTTAATATTCTGATATCAGTGACAATAGTTCACTCAATTCAAGCCCTGAACACTTTCATTCATGCATACAATTCCCCAGTTTTTAGCAAGGTCTATTTTTTAACTATGTGCGATCTTCCACTCACAAAGAAGCATATAAATAAGTACATAACATGCATTAATTTTAATATTTCTGTTTTAATAAATTTGTGTCTTGCTAAAAATTGTGTTTCTTATCTGAATGAGCTTAATTAAAGGTGTATTAAAAAAGGTACACATGCGGATCGTATGAAACCTCCTTAACAATAAGAAGAGAGTTGTTACGGCGATTCTTGTTTTCAGCGTCTGTGAAGTAGACCTCGTTGGTTAGGCACAGAAATTTAGCCTTCGCGGCTAAAAAAGTGTGGGAAACCCTGGCCACTCCTCCAAACAAGCAAACATATTTTCAGCAAAGTTTAAAAAAACAGTTTGAAATAGAACAGCCCGTTTTGAAGGGCGTGAAGCTAATTAACATGAAAACATTTTGATGTTTGCCCGCCTTATTTTGGATAACATTTCTTGATTGTTTTTTAAATGAAACTTATTTTTGAGGTGGGGCGCGAGATTTGCCAAATTTTAAAAAGGGGGCGTGGCTTAAAAAGTTTGAGAACCACTAAGATCCTAAAATGCTCTACAAACACATTTTAATTAATAAAAACTCAAAAGACATTTTTAATGCTGCGATTTATATTGAAAGAATAAAATAGAATTTCGGAAAGCATCAAGAATTTATGAAAAGTTTGAAAAAATTTCTGTAGAACTGCTGCAAAAGCTGTTCAATCGGCTTTGTAGAAAGTGAGTAACTCCAGGAAAATACGAAAAAAAACTTGAATGCTGCAATTTATATTGAAGAAACAAAATAGAGTGAATCAGGTTGGTGACAGAAGGATTTTAGAAAACTGTTCAGAAAATTTTAGCAAAAAGTTACAAATGCTTTCATAAAAATAGGGAAAAAAACTTGCAATTCATATTTATATTAAAGAAACAAATAGTCCGGTCGGTGACATTAAAAATTTTGAATAAAAACGTAAAAAAACTTATTATAAAATTCTGCAAAAGTCTATCAATTGATCCTTGGGGACAATCAGTATTTTAGAAAAACACATAAAAAACATGCGATACGAAAACGGATGCGATAGTTTTTAATCAAAATGAATGCTTCAAGTTTGCGCAGTTAAAGTCGCAGTGTCCGTAAGTAATTGTTTGAAAGCGATTGATTCCTGTATTGGCCAGACAAGTTCGCCATCTAGTGTTATATCAACAGGCTGGTCGTATCTGCGGATGAATTGACTGGGTGTATCCAGTTCCGACTGGTTGAGAAGGAATCCAATCAAGTCTTGTGGAATCAGAAGGTCTGGTACTGTTTCGTGAAGATTTTCTTTTGAAGTTTTCAGCTGGAATACATATTAAATTGTCAGATTATCCAAAGTAAAACGTAAAACGGTTTGGCATGACAAAGTCATTTAGGCTACTAAATTCTTCTGTTTTTTTGTTCCGACCTGAATTGTTTCATCATATTGGTAAGAGACTAAAATTCTGCCTCAAACATGTAGGTTGTTTCAAGAGCCCTTAAATTTTAATTGCGATTTCTGACAGCAATAGATATTTGATTGAAATCAATAAATAAAGATCGCTCAGACTCTTTGGACGCGAGTTTGGAAAACCCTGTTATACAACGTTTCAAGTCCACTCTGAATAAAGCTCTACGAGCAACCACCGCTAAGAAGATACTACCGTATATATTGTAATAATTGGGATATTTTCTGTTCAGCATTGCCTGGACCATTCAACAAGCGGGCTATGACCCACTGTTGGACCACAGGACCATTCTCAGGTGGGCCATAAACTTATTAAAAATTGCTGTAGTTATTGATGAATAGGTATAATTTGATTAAATAGCAATGATGAATGATTTTGTTTTTGGAAATTGAGTGGTAATTTTAATTTTGAGTAAAAATGCGGAAGTGTCAAATTTTTTGCGGGAAGTATTTCATGTTTTTCGTATAGTTTTTCCCCTTGCATGAGAAAGTTGATAGGCCACAGAATTTTTGTGCTATGAAAGTGGGCCGCACGAGAAAAAAGGTTGAGAACCAATGGCCTAGTCCCAGGGTTCTCAAACTGAGCGTCGTGAAATTTTTCTTTTTTTGCCGATTTCGACTCGGGTGCATAGAAAAAGTCAAAATTTTTGTTATTTTCGTTTGAATCATACTTGAGAACTAGAATTGAATATATTAATTTTCAAAACGATCGACCTTATCTATATGTGACGTCACAAACGCCACGGATCATTCAATACTGTTCTAATTATGACATCACACAGGCTGAATCAGATCGAGCCATGCATGTCGTTCATTTCTAATTTCATGAACGTGGGCACATCAGGCGTTGTTCTGCAACGTTCAGCACTTCGTCTGCGCGTTGGCCCAAACAGATATTGAATATTTACACCACGGCAGTTCTCTTCAGACATAATTTAAATAAAACTCATTGTAAAAGAGGTCTCTTATTGAAAGGTATCCAGACATTTTTCACGGGGAGTCGCAGCTTGGCCATATTTTTTGGTGGGCGTCGCAATACCAAGAAGTTTGAGAATCACTGGCCTAGCCAATTTATTACACCCTGTTGTTGTTGTTAAGATCAAAAAACTTGATTCCCTTTTTTTTCTGTGGAAAATTCTGACTAATTTCTGAAAGTTAAAAAACACATACTATGACTCAATCGAAAATATGCCAAAAATTCCGACAGCCTGAATAATTCAGCGGTAAACATAAATCTCAGTGAAGGGTTAGAGCCACAGTAACAAAAAATAAACCCTAATTTGAAGGACCAATGTTTGATAAAGTGTGCGCTATTGCCACATGTTTTAGATATCCTGCGGGCTTTACGAATATACTCACATTGAACTTTGGTGATTTCAAAATAAAGACTCCGAATTTGAGTAACGTGGTGACACATTCAACAGCGAGAGATTCCACACTTTGTTTGCCTTGTTCGTACCCCTCGCCACTTGCTGTGATATTGAGCACACGATACGTCCATTGCTGATATAGTCTGAGGAAAATTGAAAATATGAGTCAGTTGTAAGTTGGGCTTGGCATTTTCGAATACCTGTTGATTTCAGAATCTTCAATGGCTTCAATAAAGAACGGACGAAAAAAAACAAGATAGCGGCGATTTCCGCCTAAAAATGCCCAGTACCAGTGGTAAGGCTCATCTCAGTCTCTCGTCAGATTATCACTTCAGGACAGCTATGAGAATAGCCAGATATTTGTCTCAGATGTATGAACTTAATGGTGGAGGAAGCTGTATTGTACAACGGCAAAAAAGCTTAGCGATCCTCCATTGCATTACAATATTTGAATGAAATTTGAAAATGCTTATCTGATATAGCCAGTCTAAGTATTTGGAACAGACTCACATAAAGAAAAAAACGAGAATATCGGTTGGAAACCGAATACTTATCGATCGATAGTTAGGGGATCCCCCAAAACAGAAACTGCAGTTTCGATTCATCCGCTCGTGTAACTTGCGCATTGCACACACACACTCGGCGGGTCTCAAAATTCTCTCGCTTTACAAAAATCTAGATCACTTAATCAATAATTGATTGATAACTCGCTAATTATGCGACATAATTCGCCCAAAATCAATAGGAATATGGTCCGAGATAAGATGAATGCACATGCAAAATCTGGAGCAGATTCAATCTCGCTTTCGTGAGATATCGCGTGCATCTAACAGACACACACACACACACACAGACATACATACAAATACCTATCAATATACTTACCGATCTTAAGATCGATAAGTAAAAACTCAATTCATATGTACCCCATACTGAATCATGAGTATCTTAATATTAGTTGATTTATCCTTCCCTCTATGTTAAAACCCTATTATGGAAAAATTCCCACACCTAACATGAACTGGTAAATGAACAAGAGAACTCTTCTTAGCCTTGACAAACATTTTCTGATTAATTTGAGATGAAATTTTGACTAGAGCCCCAGTTTCACAAAATTTTGACAGAAATAACCAAATAATTATTTTTCCAAATCAAGGTCTTCAATTCTCAACTTCCTTTTTATATTTATTTCAACTATCTTTATATTCAATACCATTTACTAATTCATCATTTCATTCACCTATATTCACACGGTGCCGGTAAAATATCCTATATCACATTTTTTCTTTTGTGATAAAACAATAAGACCACATAGGTCACAATGGAGCCATATGAACAAAGGTTCGCTACATACAACAACGCGGCAGGGATTTTGATACAAGTGTTGCATTGTATTGAATGTGTACAAAACAATGGAATATATCATGTTGGAGGGCTGATTGACCTCCCTATATTGGGTGTGTATTGTACTGTAACATTTCAAAGTTATATAAATATAAGAATTTATATTGTCTGTATATCTACTTTTTTATATCATGCTTAATCTTGCTATGAACGAAACAAGCAAGCAAGGATATTTATGTGAAACTCACAGCATATTGACAAAACCTATGAAATTTGAAATTTACTGAAATTGACAGAAACTTACTGACGCTGACCACCTGTACTGAGTGAGTGTTAAATAAAAGAATAGGTACGGTACTCCCGTAGTATTTGCAACAAGATGGCGGACCCCGGATCGTAGGTATCAGGTTAACTCTTTGAACCCTGAAAGCCGCTATAGCGGCTTTCCTGAGAAAGTCTTCTGACGCTGAAAGCCGCTTTAGCGGCTTTGGCATCCCGTATGAGGTATGCAACTTTAAACCCCCATATCTTGCGAACCTTATATTATATTTAGACAAGTTTTACATCGTGTGAAAGATAATCTACAGGACTAAGTATAATTCTAAAATTGAGATAAAATATTGTGATCATCTTATGAAAATTGGCAAAATTAAAAAGCATAAAAAACTTCTGAAAAACTCTTAAATCTAATTGAAAAAACTTCAATTTGTTTTCGATTTAACCTACAACATTATCGACAACATTTGTAGAAGTTGAAGATAGCTTTCCAGTGATACCATTAGATTGAAATTATGTTGCACCATTCAAATGTTAGAAGCATTTTTATTCGTGATTTTAGGCCATTATTTCAGGTACAAATACTACGGAAGTCACTTGGCTGGTCCCCAATCTCATAATAGAACTAAAATAAGGAAAATTGGAATAAAATTATGGCCTAACCCTAACCTGGTACACATACTACGTTCCGGCACATACTACGGGAGCGCCAAAGAATACATATATATATACAATAGTAAATAAAAATGCATTATATTTCGCACTTGTCATTTAAACAAAGGTCTAAATAAGCGGCCAATGAGATGCGGCGAGCACTATTTTCAGAAGGACTAAACAATTCTGGATCAACATTGTTTGCCCAATGTACCCTACAACCCTAGGTGGGGTAGTAGTCTGTGGTCTGATCCAAATATTTTCAATCTGCATTTCCTACGTGATGATTGCAACGCTTTAATCACTAAGCCCGTGGGAAAGGATTTCTCTCAAAGGAGGACTTTTGTCATGCTTGCGGGGAAAATTTTATTTAGCAAATTATGAACATATTAATATTTGCTCACCTTGTCGGTACATCATGGCTTATTAGGAGGATTTTCGGGTCAACAAGAAGAGCGTTCCCCTTTGAAGACATTTTTTGAAGGTCTCTGATGACACCGTGGACCATTTCTATGGATGACTCGATCAGATGAACAACATAACTTGGATAAACAAGTAAAATTCCAGTGGCATCTTCACCTTGGTGCTGGTGCTGAAGGAACAATTATTTGATATTAGATAAGAAATATATACCTTAATTGTCCTGTTATGATAAATAGGGTGTCCATAAAGTCTTAAAAATTTTCACAGAATTGTAAAGGGAATTTATCGATACCAAATATTGTTTTGGCCCTCAAAGATGTATTGAATAAAGTGAATATATAACAAACCTGGTTAAGATATATTGAAAACTAACTTTATAACAAAATTGGAATTGTGAAGGGACTTTATGGACACCTGTTAGCTAGGTCCTCAACCATGGGCAATTTACTCTTAAGGTTAACCTGCAAACAGGGTAAATTTTGCAAGCAAGTAGGTGTATGACCGAATGTGCCTGTTGAGCACACAGCAGATGGAAACAGAATTAATCCGACAGTTTACGTTTAAAAAGGTACTCAAATGGTTGAAAATGCAAATTGATTTTTGCTCTAGTTGCTGCGTTGAATCTTTGGCCATTTTGCCCAATGCCTTCATCACTGAAAGTGTAAGCAATAACCGAATTCTACTGCCTTTTCTGAGGCACTCTGGTTGCCTCTAATATTTTAATTCTTTGTGAATATGGAAAAACAAATTTTTTGTGTGGCCTAGCTAATAGATATTGCTGCGCTGCACTAAATTGTCGTTTTGCCTGGTGGAAGGTAAGTGATAGCTTCATTCTCTTCTATTGCCTTTCCTCCAGCACACTGGTTGTTGCTTATTACTTATATTTGTCCGTTTGTCTGTTAGATGCACGCGATAACTCACTAAAGCGAGATTGAATCTGCTGCAGATTTTGCATGTGCATTCATCATATCTCGGACCAAAAGCCTATCGATTTTGGATGAATTATGTCGTATTATTAGCAAGTTATTAATTAATTAGTGATGGAGCACAAGGTGTCGCTATGGAGTAAAAACGCTGTTTTGGGGGAACCCCCAAGTTTCGATCGATAAGTCTTCGGTCTCCGACCGATATTCTCGTTTTTTAATTCGTTGTGTACATGAAAGAACGAATTTTTTGTGTAGCCCAGCTGTATGTCACAAGTTGGTAATATGGCCCACCGACGAGAAATGTTGCAAACCCCTGGCATAGAGGTTTAGTTAAGCAATCTTTCGGCTTTCCCATCTACAAAATTAAACATTGGACTTCTATACATATATGTTTTACTTACTTTTAAGTTGTTGAACAGATTTTCATAATAAACTTCCAATTCTTGTTTGTCAGCTAGTTCAGGTGCTAATCTCGCAATGTAGACAAATCTGAAACAAAGGGAAAAATAATAGGATAATATTTTGGTTTTACTCTGAGAGAGGAAAGATAGAGGGTGATACTGTGATAAGAGAGTGTAATCATATAGTGGATCACATCTTTCAATCTGACCATGAAAGTAGCTAACCGATAAATTTTTTAAGAGACGTGTTTATTCTGAACAATGATCTAGTCAAACACATACTGATAAGTGAAGAGATACAATCTTTGGAAGGGCAGAAATCGTTCTCTGTTTGTATGACCTACAGGGTGAGGTGGTGAGAGTGTGGATGAACTATGATGCAAACTGAGTGCACTAAAGACTAAGTTTATAACGAGAATATCGGTCAGAGACTGAAGACATACCGATCGAAAGTTAGGGGATCCCCCAAAACAGAAAGTGCGGTTTCGATTCATTTGCTCATCACTAATTAATTAATAATTTGCTAATTATACGACATAATTCATTCAAAATCAATAGGCTTCTGGTCCGAGATATGATAAATGCACATGCATAATTTGGAGGAGATTCAACATCGCTTCCGTGAGATATCGCGTAACATACGCGAAAGTGTCTAACAGACAAATCCACAAACAGACAAATACCTATCAACATACTCACCGATCTTAAGATCGATAAGTAATGAGTCCACAAATAATAACATTTCATATTTATCCCAGTAGAGAATACTGTTAAGAAAGTGTAATTCTAAATGGGCGATGTATTTTAGTCGGTCAGATCAAGCAGCTGATTTATACTTTTAAGTCTTAATATTCAGAATCCATGGAGAGCGGTCCACATTATCGTCGGTGGGCTACTATCCATTATGCAGGTCATTGCAGCTGGTTCAATAAAATAGTTGATCATATGATCAAAATGATTCACCATGGGGCTGCTAATCTGTCCTGTTGGCTTTCCCCTCCTCGGGATAAAAATGAAAAACCACAATAACTATTATGCATAATAACACATAAGAATTACAGTAAAATGCAATACCTGTGCAGCAAAGCTTTCTTATTCAAAGCTCTTTGTTTTTCTTCCAACAAATTCAAGAAAGAAGTTCTTGATTCATAAACCGTTGAGTCAGGTTCATTCTCTTGCAAAGAGGTGGCAGCCATATTTAGTCCAAAAATTACCAATTTCTACAAAAATGTGAATGATACACAACACAATATATAGAATGAATATAATTGCACTACTTGTATATGTGACTAATGTGCAGTAACATTGTGTAAGTACACTACAAGGCATGATAACTTATTCCCTCATGAGATTTTGATAAATAAAGACTAACTATTTTTTTATGACAGAAACTTTTGTGGGATTTTTCTTTTGTGAGATTTTACTCAATTCAAGGCAACAGTAACATGTATTTAACTTAAAACGAGGCTATCTATAACAAGCCACTGACTGTGAAAGTTTGCTCAAAGCAAGGCCACACATGCCCACTAGGAAGTGAAGGACCCTGCGACAAGGGCAGGGCTACTGATGTAATACAGAATTATTGTGGTTTCATTGTTTAACAATGATAGGATACACACACTCAAAAGTGATGGAGACTCATCTCTGGCAAAGTTGCAGACACCCAATGAATTGCCGAGAGTTATGAATACTATACAGCAGTGGTTCTCAAACGGTGTGACGCACCCCACAAGGGGGGCATAGACAATTTTTTGAGAGGGCGTGTAGCTAATTAAAAATAAAAATATTTGTCATAATTGATCTTGCCCCCCTTATTTTTGATATTTACATTTCTTTATTGTTTAGAAATTGTGATTCCATCCATGTGTTTGTTGTATGAAACATACTTTTGACATACTGACTGTTATTTGTAGTTTGTTGTTAGCTAGTTATTTTTGAGGACGGGCGTCAGACTTGAAAAATTCTAAAAAGGGACGTGGCTTAAAATTTTTAAGAACCATTGTTATACAGTAATATGGTGGTACCTTACTTCGTAATTTGAACAGCACCAAGGCTAGAGTTTTGCCAATTCAGTTCAGTCATTCATTCTGACCAGAAAAACATGAAACATACATCAAATGCACCTGGTCAAAATAGGGCGCACAGGGTTAAAAAACTCATTTAAAAAAATTAAAAACTAGATGCGAGCAAACAGGCAAATTGAATTGAATTCACTAATGGTAAATTGAATAACTACAAAAGCATGAAACAATATTAATTATAATATAATGCAGTGAGAGTGAAAGACCAAAATTTTCAAGCAAAATGAGATTATCTGAAAAAAAAGTGACAAAGCCCATACCTGGACTAAATAGCACTTGACCATTGGAATTAAAAATTAAAACATGTTTCAACAGCACGAGAGAAATACAACGACTCCAAAAATTACACCAACGGAAAGTCCACAATGGAATGTCACAGCCAAAACAATCTTAATCTAAATATCAATCCTCATTATGAAGATTCTTCACATCAATTTTTAGATTTGTTTCAAATTTTTCTTGGGTAGAATTTTCTGGACACCATTTGAACTTTGAAAGGCTAGTGTGCCAGATGAGTGTAGTCTCTATCACTTCTAGTGGCCTTTTATGCTTCAAAAGTAATTAAAAATAAACAACGTAGGTAAATTAGTTCAAAAACTACAAACTTTGGCAGATTATAATAAAAGTTGACTTACGGTAAGTTTCTTTAGCATACTTTGGCCAGCAGTGACCAATATGGAAGCCGAGAACAAAAAATACAGTGGCATAATACAATTACAATTAAATATTTGGTAGAAGCTTGTTTGGAGTAAAGTGAAAAGCGTTAACAGCTTAATAAACAAAGTAGATAAACTTCTTTAAGCGCTCAGCTACAAGCATCAAATACTGTAAGAGCAGGGTTGCCCCGTATCTGATAGTTAAATATTGATAGCAGATATTACAGTAAGTCTATTCTACAACAAATTACAATGACTTTATGCCAAAGTTTATTCTGTTATTTTATATAAGAATATTTTTTCATTCATGTGCCCATTTCAAAGCATTTTTTTCACTTATAATTAATTTTAAATTATATTCGAAATAATATTATCAGATACTTATACATATGTAATGTAGTTGACGCAAGACTTAATGTTTGATAAATTGTCATGCGAATCAATTTACTGGTCAGCGAAACAGCTTCGTATACCGAGCATAAGAAAAATATAAAACTGATACCAAATAACGAGTATAATTTGCCAAAAATTATAGAAAAAATACCAAACTAACCTACATTCCAAAACAGTTATATCTGGGAAATTTATAAATTTACACTAATTCAAAAAAGAATATTTAGAAAAAGCTAATAGCCTGTGATTTAGAATTACACATGTGCCAAAGATTGTTCATCTACTATTTGTTATAAAATATTACAATTGTGGACCAAATTTGGATGAAAACATATTAAAACTTTAAGAAAGCCAATTTCCTAAAATGAGAAATTCTGTATACATTCAAAATTCTGCAATGTGCCAAAGATTAAGGTAGAAGATTCTTATCAAAGTTTTTAAAAACAGTACAATTGTGTACCAAGTTCATAACGAATATTGAAACATTCAATGACCGAGGGCGCACAATTCAGAATTCTGAATATATCCTTAATTAAACATAATGATATTTTTTGGTTATATTTTATAAAGCATTATAGTCACCAAATACGAAACCAAGCCAAATTTGTTGTGGGAATATTGAAACATGATTAATATATTTCGAGTCTAAGATGGTAGATTCTAACTTCTATTTCCTAATTATTCTTGTATTTCATCTGCTTGGCTATTCTCGTCTTTATTTAGTTCATAGGTGGTAACTTCTGTTGGAGAAGGCAGTGTGAATGTTACTTGCTTTGGAGATTTTTCAGGGCTTTCGATCACATTTTCTGTGGTGATTGGAGTTGTGTTTAGCAGTGGTAGGAGTTTTCTGTTGTCACTTGTGTTTCCGATTTCGTCGAAATTTATCGTAGAAGCATTTGATAATCTTTTCATACGTTTGCAACTTCGAACATGAATCGGGCTTTCCATATGACGCAGCGGCATTTCAAGCCACGTTTGACAAGTTGTACCATGGCGCCCTAGTGGCCGAAGTGGTAGAGCAGGGAGCCAGCGATGTCTGATAGCATCATCTGAGAGGATTTCTCCAGTTTCGCAGCGGGATATAGTGCGTTCTTCATCAATTCTTTGCCTTTCTTGAGCTAATAACGGATCTTGGAGTCTCGGCGTTTGAACTTTTAGTAGAGTCGGGCTGTCAGGGTGTAGAAGACACATTGGATCGTATTCTTCTTTCGACATAACGTCTAAAAACACATCGCCCTTCTTATTCTTATATTTCAAATATTTTACATATTCTTCACGTTTTTTCTCATCAAGTATTGGGTATTCCGTTTCAATTTTATTTTGAATTTTACGACGTGTGGGCTCGTAAACATTCTCATGCCATTCTTTATATAAAAGTTCTCTCCTGCGTAAATTCAGCAACTCGTTTTCTTGTAGAAATTCATCAATGCCATGTACAAAATTTTCTTCGTTTTTTAGGACTGTCATGTATAACTGTCGAGATTCAAGGCTCTCAATGCTGTGATTCTCTTGGATTCTTTTTAGTGATTTTTCGTTTATCCAGTTTTCAATATTCCGCATTTGGCCTAAACTTGAAACCGTAGAACCAAGTCGACTCATTCTAGAGCTTGTTTGACCTTGGGAATGCGCCGACAAACGACTTTGGTCACGAGATCTTCGTTTTTCAGAACTTTGAAAATCCATTAATGGGTTTGAAGTGTAAAACTTTATTGAACCTTTCGACAGAGCTTTAGTTACCTCCATCATATTAATGTCGATAGATCTCCAGTATTTATTAACAAAAAATTAGCTTATTTTTCTAATAACTTTAACATGCTCTCCACAACTTGTAATCTGCTTGGATCTAAAAATAATAAAATGAATAGACGAGGATAAGATTTTAATGTGAATGAATGAGATAAACCAATTTAATTTTTCCATATATACTGTTATAGTTCTTCGTGTTGATGGCAACTATAATTATTATTATTGAGGCACCTTACTTCCCAAACCCACACACCAACAATCATATATTCAAGTATTCACATTTACTTCTTAACACAGCACAGCATCAAATTCACTTGTTACTCCTAGAACAGCAAAACATAGACACCTCGTAAACAAGGTATTCATGCGCCACAACGTAAATAAAAAAAGGCATGCATGAAAGGTCATTAGAGCATAACAATAATACCCTTATTATACCTAATGTATGACAACTACAGCGTGACGTGGCATGCGTCGGTCATCATGTAGACAAAATTGCATTTATGCCAAAAACTCTCGAAATCTATAATAAATTCCTTTTCCTTCAGTAAATTAGAATATTTTTTGCAGAAGAATTCAAATATGACTTTGAGTTGGTATGGAGACCCAGACTGTCTCATGAAAGCGGGGTTTACACTCACTGATAAAATTAATGTCTTTGAATGCTATTCTTGGAATCCTTGGATTATGCTCTACTGTCTGACTGTTACATAACAATAATCAGCTTTGTGCATTATACTTGGGCATATAAATGTCAGAAGACACAAACAAAAACACTTCAGGTCAGCACTATAGGGATCTTAGCATGGAAATGCTTTGAAATACATTGTGAAGGTGACTAATACCACCATACTCAATTCTGATCAGCTCAAAATGTTAATTATGTTTCAACCACCGCAAATACCAAATAGGAAAGCAAACAGCAAATAGGAAAGTACGGTAATAAAGTAATCTAAAAGCCACACTGGCTGCATAACGACAGAAAATTACGACTGAATAAAGAGTTAAAAAGCAGCTAAATATGTCAATATGAATAAACCCATGTATTTATTACTAAAATATATTAAATAAACACCGAAATCATCCCTAACATCACAGAAACAGCAGCGAATCACTCAAAAATTAGAATGCGGCGTTCAAGTAGGTACTTCCCCTTGAGTGGGTTGCCCTGGCAACTCAAACAAATACCTGTGGAACACTTGATGTCGCCACGGCGCCACTAGTTCGGGAATTCGGTGAAAATTCGAGGGAAAATGAGGATTTTTGTTGCGAGTGTTATATATTAAATCTATATAAAGATAAAAATGTATAATAGTGTGATATAAATAGAATGGTTTTGCTACAAATTAAGTGTATCACGTGTCCTTAGTGCCATTTGTAACTTGATACAAATTGGCGAAACATCTGCGTGCAACATTTCCACTTGCTGGCTTCGTCGAAAACGCATGGTTATTTGTTCAAATAATTTAATATGGCAATATATCCAAATTGCAACTGAGTCTGAAATGAATGACGACCGATTGTGCCCCGCTTCTACTGTGGCACAAAACTACTGCTTTACAAAACCACCAAAGAAACTAGAAAACCCATAAGAGATGTCCGAAGCACCCAAAACTATCAACCCATAAATGATTTGAAACGAATTATGTTTCTTCAGCTCCTGGCTTGCAAAAATTCATCAGCCTTTAAATGATAACAGCCTCGTTGCTCTGATATGCGTCAATATTACAAGAGATGAATGTCTGCACTGTTCAAATTTCAGCTCACGAGCGTATTTTTTCATGGTTTTATAATCACGAAATTGTCCACTCATCTGAAACGAGCAGAGTATTATCCCCAATAAGAAACCTCATCTAACCAGATTCTCTTTCTATATTTATATAATAGTAAACATAGTGCAGGGTGTTTTCTTATTTTTCTACTCCATAACTTCCTCTCCACTATAAAAAACCAGATCTTCAAATTTTTTTACTCCATAGTTTCCGCACCAATAAAAAAGCTTGCGTGGGTTTATTATTTCACCACATATAACGAAAGTGATAGTTTGCTTGAGCAATTTTTTACTCCTCCCCAACATGAAACTTTTTTTGGGATCTTTTTACTCCCCAATTTCCTATCTAAGTAGAAACCATAGGATTCTGTCAGTGATAATACAAACTTTTCGCTCTTTCAATCAAATTCACAAGGTAATGAAAAAGCCATATTTTAATGAGTAAAATTTTATAAAAATCATTTTTTAGCTAGATCCTTAGTAGCGAGCAATATTTCTATTGTCAAAATTTACTCCTATATGATTGATTTGTGCAACTTCAGATCTTCTGTTACGCACTACGAGCAAATTTGCTGACAAAAAGTTAGTGTCTAATTTTTGCAGTCACATATCATGAGCATGATCTTCAATATGGAGTAGATAAGGTCCCATAATCATACTTTGCAAAGATATTTTTCCGGAAGAACACTGCTGTCAAAGTTCTGTAGTCACGCATTACGAGCATGTTTCCTTAAAACATTCCGTAGAAAGAATTCGCCGCTCAGTATTCTCCACATTGTGTTACTACGACAGGCAACTTTGGTCGGTTGTTCGCACCGACTGGAGTATTTTCTATCTTTCTCATAACTAGCAACCCTTCAGTCAATAATTTACCTGAAATTTAATAAAGAATAAATTTTAAAACCTTAAATTTTTCACAATAATGAAAACATGGTGTACACCAGTGGTCCCCCAACTTTTTTGACCATCGCCCACCTACAGTAGTTTATACAACTTCATCGCTCCCACAGCACTACAAAAATGTGAGTAAAGTCATGTTTTTCACCATATGATATGTCGGAAATGAAAGAATCCAGGGTTCTACCTACTCAAGAACCGCCGTGCACTCTTGCCTTATAGCATTTATCTCCCTAAATTCACCCCATTTCACAATAAATTAATGAACACAAAGTTAGTTTTCCCACACTTATAATAATGATTTTCGTACATCTCATTCATTCCTATAGCCTGATGACCTGCGTCAAAATACTTCGGTAAAATTCATCCCAGATTCCTTTGTTCTTGGATTCATGGACTCTGATGTAGAAGAAGCCATGACCGACTATCGGCTACGGCCCATGGGTCGGCAGATTTCATGTCGCTGGCTGGACAAAATTTAGGGTTGCTAGTCTTTTGCGGGCTTATATTTTTTGTAAAGTTAAAAACGGCGACAATTCGTGAACTCAACTCAGCCGTCTTAATAAAAAATTATTACAATGACCTTTAATGTGACACTGTCTTATTGCTGCATCGCGCTTAATAGCTTTACGACGCCAAGGAACTTTTTCTAAATGGGCATCACTAATTCCAGTTCTTTGCTTGTTCTTTGTGATGTTCATTTTCGAAAATAATTGTTCGCACAAATATGTACTTCCAAACATCGAAGTGAATATTTTTGCATGGTTTGTGAAATTTTGATAAAGATTTTCTTTAAGAAGATACATTCTTACAAAAATTAAGCAGTGATGAATCTCTCGAATAGAATGAATTTTATTTTCTTATTGCATTGAAACCAACATATTCGAATATTTACTGCGCTATTGAACCCCTGCCCTCAGCATCAACTTTTCTTCGTGTTTCTATTTGTCTAATTATAATTAAATTGTAGGCTCGTTAAACGATTTGCTGGTCAATAGAATTTTTAGGATATATTGAAATTTAGTCTAAACGTGTCTCACGATAAATTCTGTTACGTAAAAAAATGTAGTTTACTCCTCGAGCGTAGATTAAAAAGAGAATATACCCAAATATATGCCCATGAAGCCCACACCCCGAAGCGGAAGGGACTTAGGAATGTGCTGAAAAGGCTAGCAGCCAAACATGACGTAACAAATTCATAAAAAATGTTATACCGGTGTTTTGTTATATCACTATGCATAACATCTAAGTTTGCCTTTGTTGTTGATACATTATCTAGTGATACTTACAACTCATACTCTGGGCTTTCGAATAGTAAACAACTTTTACAACTATAATACAATAATATCAAAATAGGTAGATAGTGTTAGGTAATAGGCACGCCAAAACAAAGTAAAGTCTCCTTCACTAAAACGTTTGAACACTTTGATGGGAAGAAATCTCACCCCGAATGGGAAACGCTGCTATGATCATAAAAAACAACAATGATTATTTAAAAAAAACTATCTATACTCACCAAATACTACATGCTTTTTGTCAAGGAACTCACAGTTCGCACAAGTAATAAAGAACTGACATCCATTTGTATTAGGTCCGCTGTTGGCCTGATCAAGCAAATGAAAGTGCATAAATAAGATTTTGATTAGAACCAGCATAAAGTTGATACAATAACAAAAGTATGATTAAATAAACCTAGGACTCTAGTCACTCTACGACAAGGTTCGATCTACATTTTGTCATCATGTTGGTAAGAGCTGAAAATGCTGTGTTACACATGTAGGTGTAGGTAGCAAAAGTTTGGGAAACCCTGCCCAAGAGCATACTCTTGCCCCACAAGAATCAATACCTTGCAGGGTATAGAGGCATACGCTTGGCTCTGTGCTCAAATTACAATGTCAATTACTGGAATGGTGACAAAAGCATTTTGGGACGGGGACAAACACTGATATGATGTCCACAATGGTAAGGTATAAAAAGTATAGAAATTTTCTGATGTATAGTTTAGGGCAGGGGTCGGCAACCTTTTGTCGCTCGCGGGCCAAAATAAGGGTTGCGAGTCATTGTCGGGTCGCACATATTTTTAGAAAGTTGAAAACCAAACGAATGATACTTTTTATAATAAAAATCAAGCAGTGATAATCTCTCCAATAGAATATAGATTTATTTCCTCATTGCATTGCATTTTTGGGGCAATTGAACCCTTTACACTTGGCATCAACTTTTCTGCGTTTTGTTGCCATTTGTCTGATTATAATTAAATTATAGGCTCATCAAACAGATAGTTGTGAATTTTATAATTGTTTGATTGTAATATAATTTAGTCTACACGCGTCTGACAATGAATTGTGTAACGTGAAAAATATAATCGTCAAAATAGCTGTTTTATTACTATAATTCAGTGAAGCGCCGCGGACCGGATTATGTTACTCGTAGGTTGTCGACCCCTGGTTTAGGGAAATCACTCTTTTGAAAGTGGTGTTATGTGAAAACTAATGTGTTCTTGAACCCGTTTGCAAGAAATATACACGCATACTCAGTTAGCGACTTCCGCTATTGACTAACTCAAACCATCACCCAACAAAGCACAAAACATGTTAAGCAAATCGCATGAGTGATCATACACCACAAAAACCCTTTCTTTTTATTATGTGGAAGATATTGAAACTCACCATTGATAGCAATCCTGGTCCTGTATGCTTTTCTTTAAAATTTTCATCTGCAAATTTTATGCCATTATATATGCTTGTGAGGCCTGTCCCATCTCCCTGGAAATATGGATTGGATATTAATGGTTATCAAGGGGAAAACAAAGTTGATGTGGGGACCAAAGCCAGCATCTTGGATGTGAGGATGGTCTTTGTCCTGTAGAATTTAACTTAATGCAATGATATGCCCATCAACTCGAAAGAAAAATATTTTCTGAACATTTTTGAGGGCCAAATATCTGAAATATCGAATTACAGGAAAAAAATATTGAGATAATATATACTATTTCAGCAGTTGGTAGACAGTAACATTAGAGTGATTGCCATAACTTGTATGTAAATGAGCATGTTCATTGACTTCTGGTCGTTCTCCACGACCATGTTACTCACAATCATTGGGTTTTGAGTGACTACATTAAACATAAATTCAGCCACATAAATTTGTCCAAAAAACTAACTAAAATGCATTCCCACCTTTACAAAATCACCTCCCTGAACCATGAAATCTTTAATAATTCGATGAAAAGTTGCTCCTTTGTAACCGATAGGAATCCCATCTACTCTAAATAGAATTAAAAGTAGAGTGATTTACATGAATATATTATGCAAAGATAATAAATAATAGAGAGAAAACTGTATCATAAAAATTACAACTTCAAATAGAAATGCAACAAAACCCTTTCTACAAATGCATCATATTGGAAATTAAGGTTCTATTTCTACTTATATTGCGGCACGAAATGGCATTACATCAGACCAGTCAGTTTCTTTTCTGTCGTAGTCGGTGCTTACTTCTAAGCTAAGGCTTCACTGGTGCACTAAAGGTACCGGTTTACTAATGCAAACTGTTAGGTCGTATTTGATTTGCAACTTTGATTTGAAGCTTTTGAATAATTAGATCAGGGTGGTCCAAGGTTGTTGGCTCCGCGGGCCACAATATTATTTTTGCATTGTTCGCGGGCCACAATAGTGCCAAGAATAGGTAAACAGTGCAATACAAAATAAACACTTTTATTGTGCAAACACATAGTTATCAGGCATAGCCATTCTTCTTATTTGATTTTTAGTTTTCTATGATGCCTATATTGTTAGCATATATTCCCGACCAAAAAGTTAGAAAGCCAGATAACAATTTAAAATGCCAAGCACGTCATTCAACTTCGCTAGTTTCCCCTGCTAGCCATAACACTATTTAATTCAGTGACATCAGTGATGTCAATATGTCAAAAGATTTTATTGATTAATTTTATGACGAAACACACAAAATGCGATTTTTTGATTACTCTCCGAATGTGACACGGGCCACAGATAATGAAGTGGCGGACTACATGTGGCCTGCGGGCCTGGGTTTGGACCACGCTGAATTAGATAATGATTTCAGTGGGAGTCATTGGACCTTTGTGTCCATCACTTTCCACATTCTTGAGTATTGTAATTGATTTCAAATCGGATCAAAATTTGATTTGTGTTGAACAACCTTATTTTCTTTTATTACTTGGACTTACTTGTATTCTCCTGTACAAAATTGTCTAAAATTTTCCGCAGTATTTGGCACGACATCTTTGAATAACTCCATTTTCATTCGACCTACATCCTGGAAAAGATGATACAATAGTCTTAAAAACAATATATAATAGGACTACATACTTTTCTTGAAAGCTTTGAAAATGGCACTAGACCAGTGGGGCGCGCCCCACAAGGGGGCGTGGACAATTTTTTGAGGAGGCGTAAAGCTAATTAAAATAAAAATAGTTGTTAGATTTGATCTCGCCTGTTATTGTTAGCTAGGTATTTTTGAGGTGGGCACGATACTTGACAAATTCTAGAAAGGGGGCGCGAGTTATAAAAGTTTAAGAACCACTGCACCAGACAATGGCCTTCTCTATGGACAAAAACATGCTAAACACACACTATATAAAACTGGTATTATTACTAGACCAGGGTTTATCAAGCTGGGACTGTTAAAAGCAAAACTAGATTTTTTATAAAATAGGTAGTCTATTTGTATTTTCACTCACCTGGCCACCAATAGAAATATCAAAAAACACAATGGGATTGCCTGGAGTCCTCACACTCATTTTGGGGTACAATCCTCCAATACAAATATATAAATAGTAATATTAACTGAAATTAATAAAACATACCGATGATAAAAATGATCGAATATTGATGATTACCAATTAATAACAGAGTATCAATTTTTCATGTTGAACTGCCAAATACCTTTGACATCAACAGAAAAAAGTATAAATCTAGGACGGGGATGTGCAATCTTTAATAACACAGAAGAGCCAGATACAAATAACTGGGTGAAACCGTGAACCGCACCTTTATTTAACATAGGCTTTCTAGTAGTTGTAGGCACAAAAAGTTTGGTTGTTGATCCTATGAAATACGTTGTTTGCTTTCGCACAAGCTAGCTGTTAGGGAATTATAACATCATAGGCATAATCGATTAAATTTGACTCAGTTATAAGTTTCGCAACACAAAGAAACTGGAATTACAAGATTAAACTAAATTAAAAACTCATTTCGAGTGCTGCACTCCATTTAAAATTGGCACTTCTCCACAGTCCGCACAATTTTTACTTCTGGGCCACAGGTTGCACATCCCTGACCTAGGAAATATTAATGAATATGATAAGATAGTACTATCCTGCTAATTCCACGCCGTTAATTTTTTTTGTCTTCACATTAAAGAAAATGAACAAGAAAATCCGTGGCGAGGCAGTAATAACATGATACACCGCTATAGCATGCAAACAATTTCATATGAGACATGAAAAAATTATAAATTCTACAATGAACTTTCGGAATGGAACTACTGATGCTGGTAACAGAAATTATTGTAATACAATTTTTTTTTAGTTTAGCCAAGTCAATGTGAAAAATAACAAAACGAAATGAGTGAATTAAATACACCCTAAAAGTCATGCAGCCCTTTCCCTATACACACTTGTAACATATGTCATTTTCAGTCCATTATGATGGAATTATTTAAACATCAGTCTTCTCCTAGTAAAGCAAACTGATTTTGCACAGAGAACCCTTTACCACCGTCCCCATGTTCATGAGAAGATTCGGACTCCTCGCCGCTGCTTGAATCTTGAGTATCGTGCTCAGAACTGGCTATTTCCGGGTGAGAAAACATTTGATGAAAACTCAATATATCGCCAACACTGCCAGGATCTGAGACCAGACTCAAAAGTTTCAACGTTTCAGAATTAGCCATCCAAGATTTTTCTTCCTTGACATATCCTGGGGGCAACATGAACAAACATAACCTTCCATCAACAGCCATTCTTAGAATATTATTCGCTGCACGATACACATCTGTACGACGCCCTTTTGATGTATAAAACCTTCGTTTTTCCGCCCATCCTTCACAAATATCCCAAGCTGTCCATTCTGATTCCTTATTAGGGTGGGTGATGCCTAATAGCTTCACAATCGGAATTCTTGATGCTAAATACCCCACAGGAGTATAAGGTTCTTGTACTTGCGCAATTGGGTAAATTCCACTCAAAATTTGCATTTGTTTTTGCACAAGTGATGGAAATACAAGACCAGGGCAATCACATAGCATTACGTCACGAGTTAAAAAGTACGTTTGGAAATATTTTGTATGTCCTGGCGTTACTGAAGTACTCACAACTTTCTTTCCAATAAGGCCGTTCATAAGCGATGATTTTCCGACATTAGGATGACCCACAAACCCAAGAGTAAGTCTGCCATTTTTAAACAACTCTTTACTTTCAGGACCTTGTTCAGAAGATTGATGTTCTTCTTCAATATTCATCTCTGGTTCAAGGTCACAATTTAGACCTTCAAGGTCATTCAATATTTTCTGTTCCCAGCTCTCAAGATTAACTTTTTCTCCGCAAATTTTCTTGCAAACTTGTAGCAGCTCTTGCGGACCTATTTGCGTGGTATAAACACGTTTTCCAACAGCTCGTTTTTTACTAACTCGCTTTTCCGCAGCGTCTCCTCGTAAATTTTTTGGGAACGAAGTAAAAGTTATAACATGCAGCTCAGGAAATTTATTTTCAAAATATTTTTTCCAGGCAATCACAACAGGAGCTGGAACCAGATCGATTTTATTTAAAACCAGTATTAAAGGTTTTTTGACAACATGTATGGCGAAGTTGTACAATGCGGGAGAAAAATGGAGCACTGGATGCCTTACATCAGCGACCATTGCTATGACATCGCTCATCTCAATCACACGCCAAAGTTGACGCCACGTTTCCAAATTGTGTTCGAAATAACTGAGATTTTTGTCTTTAAACTTGGAGTAGAGATTGTCAAGATATGTTGAAAAATACTTTTCTTCGCGTTGCTCCAATAGTTGCTTTGAATCCAGATAATCCCAATGTGGCCGCTGAGGCATGTCCAATTCCGAACCAGGTTGATAAACCTCTTCTATACTCATTTCCATTTTTTCCGGTGGAATCGGAATGAGCAATTCCGTCTGTGATTGCAATTTACGCTTGTCGATTTCATCCCTCGATTCTCGAAGAAAATTCAGTCGATACCTGTCTCTCGGATTCGTACTTTTCGTCGCTTTACCGTGAATATTCCGTCCAGGTTCAAATGCATGGGGATTCCCATCTCCAGAAGAACAGTCGGAATCGTACTTCTCAATTTGATCTTGTAATTTCCATGCTTCTTTGTTTCCTGATCGGGTCAATGACCCTTCACCTCTATGTTTTTTTTCCTGAAGTTGTTTCTTTTTTTGTTTTCCACTAAATGGTTTCTTTTTCGGCATTGAAAGGTAGACTACAAGACTGCGATAAAAAGATATAGTTAGCCAGTTATTTGTTTTCGTAAGCATGGACCTGATGGTGGAGAAAGCCATACCGGTAACCGACCAGCGGTTACGTGAACCACCCTAAGGCAGCGAAGAGATAGAGAAGATAAATTATTACGAACTTCGTCATGGTGCAAATAATTACAATACACAAGCCAAACACAGTGCGGAATATCAGGAAAGTTACCAAATCTTCAAACAACAGAACAAGGTTTAAATAATGAGACATAATAGTTATTGGGATAATTGAGGTGGTGGAAATGTTGAAATATTAAATATGGCGCGGCGGCGTTGCTCATCGTGCTAAGCATTAGGATATAGTGATTACTCTGTGTGTGTTCGCAGGTTCGAATGGGTATGTGCGAGAGAATTACTGGACTCTTAGCCGCCGTAAGGTGGTTCATGTAACCGCTGGTCCCCTGGTCGGTTACAACTTCAGAACTTCCTCCACCATCAAGTCCATGCTTCTGAAAACAAATAACTAAGTTAACTAATTCCAGAATTCCATACCCGACATGGAATGGTAACCGGACGAGAGGCTGTGGTTTACCATATAATTAAGCCATCCTATAGCCTTTCCTTTCCCCCGGTTTAAATAGGTAAATCCTACTCCATGTACTCCAAAATTGCAAATTTTGATATCAAAATTCACAAAATTTGGCTTTTTGTTACGGTACCGGTACAAAATGAAAATATAAAAATACCGTAACAGTGCTTTCTCTGTAGACTAGGTACCGGTACAGGTGTTTAATCAGTTTGAAGCAATATTTTGCAGATTGTTTCAATAAAAAGTTAGGGTGCAGGAGTTTCGAAATCAAAAAAATTTTCCCAACTTTCTCAAAACAGTTTTTCCATGTTTGGCCCTTTTGGGTTAAAGCCAATGAATTGTATTTGTACTACATGGGAAATATCAGCCTGTGGCACAGAATATATCATGGTATAGCCTAATTGAATAAACATCAGAATATTTACTGGTAGCGGTAACCAAACCACAGACACCAGGGCTCGATTTGTAAGCGCCAACTCTCCGATACAACCGCAAAATCAGAATTGAAAATTTTGCAATGTTAAAGTTCGGGTAGAATTTTTTAAGGGTCAAGGGTCGGGGAAACGTCCATTACATTCACGGAGATATATAAATAAGGTAGCCCTCTCTCTCGTTTCCGCGGGACCCTTTAATTGATTTCCAATTTTTACGATATGCGTAATGCATTTCTTATGGGATTCGACAGAAATCAATTATTTTCGTCGATTTTTCTCGCATATTCTCCTGATCTTGATTCGTTTCCCATTATGTATCAAACGCTAGTATATGCCAGCCAAATATACGGTGCTAATTTTGGCAGTTTTATAAATTTGCGAAAGTCGTGGACTCGTGGGTTAATAATATGGCCAACGTATCAGTCAAAAGGGAACAAAAACGACCACGAATCATTAGCCAAGGTGGCTTATCGGAATCGCCTCCCAATTTACCTGTATTTGGCCTTATTTTATCGCCTTTTGCGTAGAGGTCTCAATATCATTGCGTGGCCTGGTTCCGTAGTACCCGAGCTGTACATATAAATAGAACTAAAGAGCGCTCCATAAGTGCGTGTACCAATATGGAGGTAACTAATATTATTTGTCTACTCTACACCAAGTTGTGTAAAGGGACAGAAACCCATGGGCATAGGATATATTCACTTGGCTAACACACCCATAATCCGCGAACTCGTAATAGAACTAGAATAAGGAAAGTCGGAATGAGGTTATGGCCTAACCCCAATCTGGCACACAGTCTACGAGAGTACCAACTAAACTGCACTTCGCCCTCTGCTTCAGTGAAATCTTCCGCGTGGAGGTTATTGCATTTTTATGCTATAAGGCAAAAACAATTGTTTCCACTTATATCTATTGTATAAACGCCTGAACAACCGAATTTTTTCAAGAATCTACATCAGGCTATAAATTCCCAACTCGAGTATAATTGTGTTTGAATACCCACAAAAAGTCGCATATAGATCCATATTTGGCGCATTGGGTAGTAAAATAGAAGCAAAACTGGCCAAAACCAGATGCAACACGACGAAACTTTGGAAGCATAGACGCCAAGATGGCGGCGATGAAATTGTCCCGCGCTGCGACAACGCAAAACGAAAGATAAGATCGTTCCATATATTTCCAGTTCAGTGATTACTTCTACCTACCGTGTTTCCCCGAAAATAAAACCTACCCTGAAAATAAGACCTAGCCCGAATTTTAAAAATGATTTTAATATAAGCCCTTTCTTTAAAACAAGACCTATAGTCAATAACGAATTTTTTTTGAATTGTCGATAGCAAGAAATCTCTCCTACACGTTTTAAATGATTGATAATCTATGTTTTGCAGTTATTTTGAATAAAACATGTTGTTTACAGGTAAATGGATATCGGTTTTCACATTTTGTATATTTGAAAATCTCGTAATTATTTACTTTGTAATTTTGTTTTTGATAAATGAAAATATAACACATCCCCGAAAATAAGCTCTAGTGTAATTTATCGGAAGAAAATTGAAATATGACCAGTCTTATTTTCGGGGAAACATGGTACATGCATGATATTTATAAATCGTACCGCCTTGAATTAAAATAGAGGTGTTCGTTTAAGGGCGGCTCATATGCTCAAAAATATAATTGGACACGTAGTGGACATAACGATCGTTTCAATATTATGTTGTTCTTGTTCTTGTTGTTTGACACAGAATAACACACATAGTGGAAATATTAAAAAACCGCTTTTCTCTTCGAATACTGGACCAATTGCTTTGAAATTTTCAGTGGTTGAAGATAAAATTTTTCCCCAGAAGGCTATTACTTTTATTCATTTTAAATATTTCTGTTAGCTCTGTGAGATTTGTTTTTGTTTGCTATTACGTCATTAAACGTTCTGCGAACATCGGACGCCATTTTGTGTCCTACTGTACTGCTTCGCTGGGTGTGAATATATTTGTAGACTGTGATCTGACGGTACGGTAAACCGTACTGTACTGCGAACAGACGTGTCCATATATTTGGGCGTAGCTCTCTTGGTTTTATTCAGAACGTTGAACCACGTGCCGCTTCCGGCACCGGTACTGATAACTAATTTTAGGCTAGGCTGTTTCAGCTTTTGCTTGATGCGACTAAACTGAAGGACAATAACAACAAGTACAAGTTTATTTTGATTGCCTCGAAAAAAATACATACACAAAACAATAAATACACAAAAATGTTCGGGAAACTGGCAAAACCTTCATTAAAGTTCAAAACATGTAGAAATACATGTGCCAGTTTACCTATCATACGCACATTGGCATCTATAAAGAAAGATAAAAGCACAAACGTGTATCATTCGGGTGTTTAACTTTTGTAACATAAACACACTGCAGGTATGGTGAGTTACAACAATTCACAATTGTTTAGGTGGATATGATGTGGCTATTCTTATCGTTTGGGATTTGTTTACATTAGCCGCTTTTAAAGCAAACCAATAACTCCACTGATGTAAACGATTGTGAAGTAATGTGTTAGGTGAAAACAGTTTAAGCAAAATTGATAAATAAATTCTAAATGCCTTCGCGTGGAAATCTTATTATGGATAAAAGCCGACGTGGGCGCTATGTTGTTATAATTGTCTTTGCATGAAATTCTTTATGGTGAATAAAGTCCGACGTGAGTGCTGTGTTGTAGGTGCAACGTAGTTTCATTTAAATGGCTCATCATTTCCTATGTGCTATGGAAATTAGAATGACAACTATTAACGTAGCACACAATATTCAAATCATATTCTTCCGTTGACCAACATTTTACGTGTAAACTGTTAATAACTTTTATATTCCAATCGATTTAAGTCCACCAACTGAGTTGTTATCTTCGGCGCCGTCTCAGAGCTGAAATGTCCGTACCACACCTTATCCTCGAAAACCATAGTGAAGATTAAGTTGGTTTGCAACTATTTTTTGGAAATACAACTAGAAACTAACAAATATCACACAGAGCCACGGAAACGAGTTTACAACTTCTTTTTTTGGCAATACGTACGTTTTGGTTCCCGTACATCTGAACTAGGGTTGCCAACTATGAAAAGTCTCAGTAAAGGACATAGATTACCGTCATCATTTATTTTGTAACTTACAGGAAAGAACAATATAAAACAATGAAATACAAATTATATACAAGCTAAAAAGATATATTAAAAAATATGTGTTTTTCATTTAATGTTTATTTAACATTGACCCAATCAAGCTGCATTCTGTGAACAGTTAGTGCTTTGAATCGTGCCAAATGTTTTTTTGAATGAGTGCAATTTCATCAAATGAGTCAAACATATTCAAATTAAGTTTGTCTTTTAGCTTCAAATGCTCTACAATTTTTACGTGTCCGATTTAAAGTGTCCGATATTTTGGAGAAAGATTATCCAAAAGAGATAATTTTCCAAATGTTGAATTTTCATCATCAAAGTCAAATCTTTTTTCCAAATACGCAGAGTAGGAAAATAATATAAAATCTTAGAGACCAATTAATTATACGTAGAATTTTCAGTTATTGAACTAGAATTCACTCAAATCTTGGAGTGTTGCCACTTACCATATTCAGAAAATTAATGTTAAAGCGAAATTGAAAAGAAAAATTGAAAGCTTGCAAATACATAAACGGAGGCGATTTAAGAACGAAACAATATCAAACACAGTACTATAACTATCGGGCAAAACGACGTTGGAAAAAATAAAGGACAATTATCATCTCAAAAAGGACAAGGAGAAAAAACTCAAATAAAGGATTGTCTTTTGAAATAAAGGACGGTTGGCAACTCTAATCTGAACCCACGACAATTGCACCTGCGTATATTGCACCTATAATTTTTTTTTTGATTTTGCGGTTATTTGAACCCATGGGTTTTAGCACCCGCATATAAATTGAACCCGCGGATATACACTTGGGTTCAAATGTACGTGGGTTCAAATGCGCGGTCACCGTACGCTTTAACCCTCTCCGGGAATACGTAACACAGGTGCAACACCAAATTGCTGATAAGCTAGCGCTCGTAATTTCTGACTCAAGAATATTTTTTCTGGAATGCGTGACACTTCGGTAACTTGTTGATTCGATGCAACTTCTATTTTTCGTTGCCGCCGCCAGAGGGCATGGCAAGCGTCTTTCGAAAGTAGCGGTCTCCGGTGTTCGTGTCAGCCTTCTGCAACTCAGTGTGATTACAGGTAATTATAACAATTAATCTTGGACGAATTCTGAATATGAGTGCATAAGGCAAACGTATGGCAGCTGCAGATGTAGTATATATCAATTTCAAATGTGAAAGCTTTATGATGTCCCAGCTGAGAATGGTCTAAAATTAGTGTTGTACCAATGCAACATCTTTCCGCGGGAAGCGATTTTCAGCATTGTTGCATCTGCGCAACTTCAGTTAATATTTGAGTTTCTTGACCAGATAAAGTTGTCAATGAGTTTTGTATGACATATAAATTAAATCGAGTAATATAATGGTGCAGTACAGGCTGTTTTCAATAGTTTTGAAGCAGCGGCCAGATATAGGAGCATAAAATACAGCCTGGATGTAATTATTATTCAAAAATAAGATTGGATATAGATTTGTGGTATCAATAGTAGAGAACTGTCTTAGATAATTCAAATTATTGGATTTTATTTGCTTTCTCATCATTTCAGTGTACAGAACAATTAGAAAATGGCAGAAAAGACAATTTCAGTCCCAGATGTCATTGAAATATTGTGTATTCCAAGTGGCACAGTTTCAGACAATGAAGCAGATGAAAGTAGTGATATTGAATTTGAGGATGCTGATCTTAAAGAAAAAAATTGTTATGTGACCAGCAATGATGCAGATGAAGTTGAGCCCTCAGAAATCAGTCATGCCCAAGGTTTTTTAACTGTTGAAATCCATACCAACAACGAAGAGGACGATATTGAAGAGCCTAGATCAGATGTGACCCAGTCGTATCTTAGCCCTACTGCAGCAAACTTTATCTGGAGAAAACGAAAACCAGATTCTGCTGATGTTGATTCAATCTTTAGAGGGCCAGAGTTTTCTGCTGCCCCTGAGTTTTTGCCAACTCCATATTGGTACTTCAATCAATTCATGGACCAATCCGTATTCAAAATAATTGCTGAACAAACCAATATATACGCACACCAGAAAAATGGAATAAAACTGGAAACAAATGTTGCAGAAATAGAGCAATTTATAGGCATACATATGCTGATGACAGTGGTGAAGATGCCATCTTACAGAATGTACTTGGCGAAGGCAACTCGTTATGAACCAATTGCTTTGGCAATGGGCCGAAAAAGATTTGACAAGCTGAGAAATTACATTCATATGGTTGATAACACCAACCTCAAGCAGAAAGGCGACCCAGATTATGATCCATTATCCATTATGATCCAAAGTTAGACCTGTACTCGAAAAGGTGCGTAAAAATTACCTCAAAATTGAGCCCGAGGAAAAACAGTCCGTGGATGAACAAATGATCCCTTTCAAGGGAAGGATCGGCATGAAACAATACATCAAAAATAAACCACACAAATGGGGCATCAAAGTGTCCACAAGGGCTGGGGTATCTGGCCTAGTTTATGATTTCGAGATTTACACTGGCAAAGGAACAGTAGAGAATAGCCGTGGAATTGGTGTCGGTGGAGAAATTGTCCTGCGCCTAGTAAGAGAAATGCCAAGGGGTTTGAATTACAAGTGCTACTTTGACAACTGGTTCACCTCGCTTGAGCTCATAGCAGAACTGAAGCAAATGGGAATACTTGCAGTAGGCACCATTGGCAAATACCGTTTACGCAATTGCAAAGTCAAAGACGACAAGGAACTTGGTAAGGCAGGGCGTGGATCTTACGAGATATTGTATGAAACAACTACTGGTCTGCGTGTTGTGAAATGGTATGACAATAAAGCTGTTTCGCTGGCGTCTTCTTATGCAGGGGTAGAGCCCGTTGATAAATGTGAACGATGGTCAACGACCCAACATTGTGAAAATCTACAACCAGCATATGGGGGGAGTCGATTTGCCCGACATGCTCATGTCTCTGTATCGCATCACCATTCGACCAAAGCGTTGGTACCTACGCATCTTTTATTATTTGATCGATCTTTCAGTTACAAATGCTTGGTTGCTGTACAGGCGACACGTAGCACAGAAAAACATGCAGCACACGCCATTGCTTGATTTCCGTGCTGAAGTTTCAGATTGCCTTATTAGAATGGGAAAGAGTGCTAATATGAATAGTAGACAGAGGGGGAGGCCTTCAAATGATGAAGGTGATCATAGTTACCATCGAAGCTCTCCACGGCAGATTGTCATTGCTCCACCCAGAGATGTGAGGCATGACAGATTTGATCACTTTCCAGTGTATTCTGAAAGACGCGGTCGATGTCGAAGTTGCAAACTTGGGATCACATTCACCATGTGTATGAAATGCCGCGTGTTGCTTTGCTACACAAAAGGAAAAAATTGCTTTCTGATTTTTCACACTCTGGCATGATTGAACTAACATCAATGCTGAAATTTCTTTATAAAACAAGCAAAATAAACTTGAATTCAAACAAAATTCTCTGAGTTTTCTTCTTGTTGACGTTCATAAGGTATAGAAATAGGTAAACGAAAGTCGTAAAGGGCAACTTAATTGTAATATAACTATCAAATCAAACAAACGGGAATTTGAAAAAGGGAATCTTATATCATGCCATGGAATGAGTTAGTCCTGATATTATTCCAAAACATTGAGGAGTATTTACTCATCAGATCATAGCGTGTTGCAAATAAAACGATGAACTCGGCATATTGTACAAATAGTCACTTCTGGGCATAAGTTGCACCTGAGCATCATCCGGTAAATCCCCCCAGGGAGGTGAAGGTTTCAAATTTTTCATAAATTCATCATAAGGGACCTAAACTTAATCATTTTACCAAATTTCAGATTTTTCCTACTGCTAGAAGTAAAAGGGGCCCGGAGATGGTTAATAAACCTTATTCAAGGTTTTGTTTACTCTCCTGATTTCATATTCAGTTTTTATGTATTTGTTTTCATCAATCATTTTATGGCCTTTTATGCTAATTATGAAGTCGAAATAAATCATCTCATCTTTTGGCCATATTTAAATCCATTACCAATTCGAATTTATGAATATGATAGTTTTGGTTTATTCAATTACCGGTAAAATCTTCTTGAATATCTGTCTGAGCGGCTACATAAATTTCTATTGTTACGTAATTGTTGACTCATTACTGATTGGTCAACATTGCGAGAAAAACAAGGAAATCGATGCTCGGAGAAACAACCTTTTCTCAATTTATTATTGTTTTATTTAATACACGTTCACACCCCAACCATTAGCCATAAGAAGCACATTAAAGTTCTATACTGTAACCTTTAATACAGCACTTTATAAACGCTCTGTACATTCCAGCCTGCAAAATGGGTAGTGCCATTTGCATCGACAAGAGGATTGATTCCTGGCCGCTGCGAAGTGGCCCGACCAGCAGTTGGAGCTTCTTCCACCATTTTAGGTCCATGCTTAAGCCGTCTTATAGGTGTTCCTCTCCCACGGAATAAGTATGTAAATCCTCCTCATAGACTGACTCATTGAAACACCTAGCACAATGCAGCTAACACATAAAAATACAGATTTTACAAAGACCTTTATTTCAAATAAAGCATTTAATCTAATAATACTATTAAGAATCATGAGACTACAATAAACTAAGCAGCATCAGTGGTAATAAATTTCATTACAGACTTTGGGTTATAGGTTTTTAACTGACAAAAAAATAGCCCAACATTATTAGGCCATGTTTAATAAAACCACACATGCACAATTTTTTTCACTTCAAATTTTGATCAACAGATTGTAACATCATGGAAATTGATACAGAATTTGATTCTAATTTCTGATTCACAGGACTCTCTGGTGGTGGCGAAACACAACAGTAATACTGTCTACCTACAGAGATTTTTAGGCGCTTCTGTAGTATTCGTACCAAGATGGCGCACAACCTGCTAACCCTACCCTGGTACACATACTATGTTCAGGTTGTGCGCCATCTTGGTACGAATACTGCGGGAGCACCGATTTTTATATCCTTCCATGTTTAACAATAGAAAAATTAGAGAAGTTTCGTACCAAAATTATGTAAATAAGATACAGGGTCATGTCCATAAAGTCACACATCCTGGTAGATGACCAGGATTCTAGATTCTAAGTGAGAACGTTATCATGATAAATCAGAGAAGACTGTGCGTCAAACTCGAAGATTTCAAGGTTTTTGAATCTTTGGAATTTTGATATTTACCTTGATGCAAGACTATATAGCCATGGTAGAAATTTTATACACACACAAATTTTGAGCATAAAATATTTTTAAGTTAGCCCATAAAAAAAGCATGACGGTATATGCATTGGAAAATACCTGATATATTCCATATGTTAAACTCCATAGACTCTATTGAGCAATATATACAGCTTTATAAAAAGAAAGAAAAACATATCAAAGCAAAGAATTTATTTTTGATAAACTTCATATCATGAGAGAATTATAATTGCAAAGCAAATCATCATTCGATTAGTGATTAACATCCATATTTTAACTTTGGCACGTCACGTTTACAACATGATTGTTTTATGGATATTGCTATATTTTGTGTACATGGTTAGAGCTTTATACCAAACTAAATTGGCATTGAAGGTAAAATGTCCCAGGTTCAATTACTATGCCTAAGATAATAGGAAAATAGAAAGCGATTTATTATTTCGTCAACCAAAAAAACAGTTATTGATAAAAAATATAATAGCAACAGCAATAAAATTGTTTTGGTATGGACAGGAGGAAGTGATACGACCATATGGTCATCGAGGTCAACTCTCACCATGACTAGTGGAAAAATTTGAACTAGTACGATGATATTATCGGTTACTAAAACAAAATTTACTAATGTCTTCAAAAACCAGAAACTTTCATGTATCAGTGGATTCTAGTAAATAACATTGTTCGGAGAAAAGGTGGAAACCTCTTCCAGAACCGAAAGCAAAAAGGGAATATTTTAAAAATGACATGACATGCTTTTTTAGACAAGATCTAAAAAAAACACAAAAATATTTATATTCAATCCCACAAACCCAAACATAGACATGGTCCCCACACACATATAGTATTTTTAAAAAATAAAATAAGTACATTAAATAACACTAGACTACTATAGGTATGGTTTATATAAATTTCTCTAACAGTGGTTTCTACCAGGAGGATCATGATCCCTACGGAACTGTGAACTAATTGTGCTATTTACATTTCTTCATATTTACGTTCCATCCGTGTATTTTCAATATGTTTTTTTTTGATAAAACATATTTTTCGCCTTGCTATTTGTTAATTGTAGCTTATTGTTCGCTTGTTTTAGTTCGAGGTTGAAAAGTTTGAGAACCGCTGTGCTAGAGGATTGCTCGACTCCTCACCATCGTTGAGTGGTTTACATAGATGCTGGTTGGTTACTTATTCCTCCACCATCAAGTCCATGCATCTGAAACAAATAACTGGCTAACTAATCCCATACCAGACATGGCATGGTAATCGAACGAGAAGTCATGGTTTGCCATAGGATTAAGCCATCTTGTCAACTTTCTTTCCCCGAGATAAATATTGAAATATGTACGGTAAATCCTATCCAATCGTAATACTGTAAATAGGAAAAATTTTATCTTATTTGACAAAAAAATTACACACAAAAAACAGTGCAGCAGTGTAAAATATTGGGCAAGTGTGATTTTTCTCAGACATAATTGCATGTGATCATTTTAATGACTTAAGCGGTAGACTTAAATGTCCTGGTCACGCAGTATGGCAGTTGAAATTATTTTTTTATTTAATATTAATACAAAATTCTTTTTTGTTAATGGAGGCAGTCCATTTATCACGGATTTATCACTTCGCTAGTTCAATGAGAAAGCGAACTACTATATTGTTATATCATAATTATTGTATATTCACTACGTCAATTTAACATCTAACGTTAAGTTTTCCAATGATTTGAATAATACTAAGCCAAGGAATCGAACCAATGTTAGTCCAATCCGCACTGTCGCGGTTTTTAGTTTCACCTATATGGTAAGCCTATTTAAGCCAAGTATGAAATGTTAAAGCCATCCAAAGCGAACAAGAAAATTGGCAAAGCACAAATTATTCTATTTTTTAAGAGGGAGGATTACGAAACAAAGAAGAGAGCAACAGAAATAGTGCAAGGTTGCTTAATTATAGTCATAAAACAGAAAATGCATATTTTTAAATATATAAGCTCAAAGTAATAGTAGTATGTAAAAAAGCACAAAAGATCGGGTCTCTCAAAGTACGCGCACAAGTAATTCTAGTGGGTGTAGCATAGTGATTTTTGCATATAATAATCCTAACACTAAACCTGACTACGTCATCCAAAAATTATTTCACTTCGACGTCACAATACCGTCATAGAGCTTGCCAAAGTATAGCTACCATCGTCCGAAATGGCATCTGTGCCGACTATAATGAACCCACTAACGCCAGCGATCATTCTCTTATCGGTATTGTTACGACAAGAAAACAAGAGAAATAGCTTGCTCGATTTCGAATGAACGACTGCACAGTTAAGACGAACATTCACATACTTCAGGGGGCCATATTACGTCACTGTGACGCAATTTTCGGATGACGTAGTCAGGTGGGGGTTAGGAATGACATATGCAAAAATTGTTGAGCCAGGCCAACCAGAAGTATTCGCGGGGCGTACCTCGGGAGACCCTGAAAGATGTGCCTGCATGATACAAGACTTTATAAGTACAAAAAATAGATGCAAAATGGTCATAAAGGTTTACCTGCAACTTAGAAATCAAGTCATTAGACTGCAAAGTCAAAAGCCACTGTCAAGCACTTAAATAAGGGTAGATTTTCCTAAGATCGGGAACAAGATAAAAGTTGAATGGTTTTAGCTGGTTAAAGTTTATAGACCATTTATGCTGGTTTTGCAAGTGAAAGGTGGGTTCAATCCCCACCTCACTTGGTCAAATCAGAAAGGCTTTCAAAAACAGTAATTCCTAACATATCAATGGGTACGCGTACGAAGCCTTGTTCAGAGTCAAACACGCCCAATAAAATTTTTTTTTCAACATACAGTTATATATTAAACCTTTTCAATAACCGTAAAGGCCTATTTGAAACTTCTAAGAACAGGAAATTCTGGCAACTAAAAAAGGATTTCATCAAAAGTTAAATTACAGTAGCAGATAATAAAAACACTGCAAAGTCAATTATGCCTACATCATGTCATGTGAATAAGCTAAATCATCTTTCTTAAAGAAAGATAATACTTTAATTCGGCATGCTTGTATATAATATCAATACAGCCTAACTGAAAAGCAAACAGGGTGACAGAAAAATGTCAGAGAATGAATAGAAAAGCGATACAATAACTATAAAAGGCAGTGGTTAACATTGTTCCATTATAAAAGACAAATTCACAAAAATCCTCTCGCAAAATAAATCTTACTATGATCAATTGTCCTGTTGCGTACCCAGTTTTCTAAGCAATGAATTGCTAAAATATCCACGTCCGGTTCAAATTTATTAGCGAAAAGATGTTTTTGCGTTATTAACCACGCGAGGTCGCCACATCCAAATACGCAAATTCCGCGAACAAACCTTCCTTCGCACTTTGGATAGACTTTTTTATCGAGTCCTCCCCATTTTATTATTCTTGTTATTGTTTGGAGTTCGTTTAAATCATATTTTTCATGGGGGGGAAAACTCCCTGGAAATTGTGGAAAGTGTCTTTGCAACGATGCCCACACATGCTCGTCTGGTGAGTAAGTATCTTCATTCCATTTGAAGAACTCTTGAACAGTGCGATCTAGAACAGGTTAAAAAACATATTTAGACAAATTTTCAAAAGCATGGAACAAAATAGGCACAATTGCCTAATGCAGGGCTACTCAACTGGCGGACCGCGGTCCGAATCCGGACTTTCGAGTATTGGATTTGGACCGCATCCAATTACGGTATTTATTTTGGATCATTAGCCCCACTTTTTGAATTTCCTATTATAAAATGACTTCCATAGTTTTGAATATATACGAAAAGAACTATAACACCATAATAAACAATTTTAATTTGCTACTAATCATTAGTCGGTCGAAGAAGTGCTCGTTTAAGGATGCCGAAATATAATTTCTGGAAAGACCGGACCCAAATAATTTTGAAGTTTTGTTTGCGGACCTTCGATAAAAATAGTTGAGTAGCCCTGGCCAAATGCAGGTGCATTCCTTTATACAAAAGTCAAATCCTACAGTCAAATAACTGGGTGAAACTGAGGAGCACCTTTATTCTGTAACAAATTAACCAATAATTTTGGATGGATTATATCAATGCTAAATATAATTTCTGACGTCATAAAATATTATAAATTCTAGAGAGTTCTAGCAAAAGAATTCGACCCAAATATTGCACGCAAGTGAATAATTCTCATGTGATATGATGAATCACCCCTATTTTACATGGATTTTGCTAGAGGTATCGAGCAAAGACTGTTTTAAGTGTGAAACCTTATAAATATGATCTCATCAAACAGCTAACGACTATATTCTGTTTGGAGTCAGATTAATACATAACTGGTTAATTAGTAGTCAGGGAACAAAATTACGCTTCAATTCAACATAAGCTTTCTAGTAGTTGCATGCACCAAAATTTTGGGTTATTGATATTATGACGTGCGCTGCGAAAAAAATTGACAGTATCAAGCGTGGTGTCGATGAAAGAAGTTTGTATAACACTGGATTAGTCTACTCACAGAACCCACAGCCAAATTTAATTAATCATAAATAGCATAAGACAGCGGTTCCTTAAAAGAGCGATTTGCTAAGTGTCATCAAAAATTTAACTGCTGACTGAGGTTAGCGAATATGCGTAAAATATTCAAATATTCAATTCATGACCGATGCGAGCATCTAAAGTGTCTTGTCGTAATGATTTAATTGTGCTCATCGTTACTAACGTTCGATTCGAAATTACTATTAGGATTACTAAAATGATAAAATACTATTCTAAAATAACATAAACTGCTAACTATAAATAAATTGGAGTCGTATTTTTGCGATCTTGGGATTTGTTAGACTTGATTTGTTCTTTCGCACTCGAGATTATTTTTAAGCAAGATGTCGCCGTTTGAAAAATCACAAGGTCTCTTCCAACGACTCTTCCTCTATCCTTAGGCTAGGAGGCCCATATGTTTACAAACATTAAAAGGAATTAAGTACACTTTAACAATCAAAATCAATTGAGTTATATTTGAAGTCAGCAATTTTTTTGTGAAAGTGTCGCGTCAGTTTCTTCCCTGATAACAAACGAAACTTTGGGGACTGCTGGCATAAGAAACTTACCTGTAAGTATAAACTCTACCGCAGCTCTCTTGAAGATATAATATGCCGACCCAGCAAACATTTCAAATTTATGAGGTGGCGGAGATTTCTTGATGTCTGTTTTCTTCATGACAGAATGATCGTTCTTTGGATTAGATGGAAGATCAAAGTGAAGTTCATATCTGGTTATAGAATGGAGAGAGTGAGTGACTGGATGTAACCAAGCTTTTTCAGATTGAGTGTATATAAAAGTTATTGATGCTTATAATGGATAAACACACTGGTAAATTATTGGTAACTGGTCAAGAGAGTAAAAACGAGATAGGATAGGATTTTACTTATTTATCCTGGGGGAGAGGAAAGTAGATAAGATGGCTTAATCATATAGCGAACCACAGCCTCTCGTCCGGTTACCAGTCCATGTCGAGTATGGCAATAGTTAGCCAGTTATTTGTTTTCGAAAGCGTGGACTTGATGGTGGAGGAAGCCGTAAGTGACCAGCGGCCTACGAAGACAAGAAATCCAGCAATGCTCTTGCACATAATTAACTCTGCGTGGGATTCGAACCCACACAGGGTAATTGGAGAAGTGGTGGAGAGCGCATTGTTAGTGCTTAGGAGGTTGCGCCATACTGACGAGTCACGGTAATAAAATTTGACAGGCAACAAGTACACCATCATTTAATAAAGTAATTTTAGGTGATTTGGAAACATGAAATAATAGTCACGTTGGCGTTGCAAAGACAGTGCAAAACCGTGCAAAAAACACCTGTAATAAGAGCTAAGATCTGAGGCCCGAGCCCGACCTTGGCCTGAATTGTCAATCATTACGTTCAGGTCGGGTTTGGCTTCTCTATCGCTGACTTTTTTTTGAATAAATATATGTTTATAAAAAATATATACTAAAACTATGTATGGAATTCAAAGAACTCCTAAATAAAATATAAAAATTGGGTTTGGGTTTGCTTCGAGCTCGGGCCTGCAGATCCAGTTAATTAGTCGGGAACGAGTCTGGTTCTAATAATACTCACATGCCCGGGCCGGGCCGTTCTGGAATTTTTGGGCCCAATCTTACCTCTACCTGTAGTACAGCTTAAAAGTTACCTTTTCTTTTTATGTGGAGGAGTGACAAACGTTTCCAAGCTGTTAAGACCTTGCAGACTCTTCAGAGCTCTGACAATTTCTAAATTGGTTTTGATTGGGAAGTCTTGGCCACATAAGTTGATAACGTACCTCCAAGGGTATTCCATACTCCTGGAAAGTAAAATTTTGACTTCAACTATTTCCACCAAAGGTCTATACACTAAACTTAAAAATTATCGGGGTCCGGTCATTCCAAGAATATATTTTAACTTTGCAAACAAATTTTTCAAATACATCGTTTGACAAAATACAAGAGCAATGATCAATATCACGCTTCACGGTATGACAAGGTTTCAGTTGTGTAGCCGAGCGTTTGAGATATTCTGCAATATTCGCCCCCATAGCATAAGTCTTCCAGGGACTTGAATTATCTGAAAAACTTATATTGCTATGCTCATTTTTCCCTCAGTGATTTAGCGAAAAATGCATTCATCGCGATTGTGAAATAAAAAAACAATGCATTCGAAATCAAGAAGCAGCAGCAATCCAAATTTAGCACTCTGGAGGTCTGAATTCGGACCACGGCCTGCCAGTTGACTAGCCCTGGTTTAGGGTACGCAGGAGGCTCGAGAATGATGTAAATTGAATTGAGTATTGAACATTCAGAACATGAAACTTCACTTTGGGATGAGTAAATTTGGAAAACATGCTATGAGTGTGATGGCCTAATCCAGCAGTTCCCAATCCCGGTAGAATTCCTAGTACTCCTGTAGTATGTGCACCAAGATGGCGGAACGTAGTATGTGTACCAGGTTAGAGTTAGGCGATAATTTCAGGTACAAATACTAGGGGATTCACTTGGCTAGCCCCCGAACTGGTAATAGAACTAAAATAGGGAAAATTGGAATAAAATGATGGCCTAACCCTAACCTGGTACACATACTATGTTCCGGTGTCCGCCATCCTGGTTCACATAATACAAGAGCGCAGGATTCCTCACTTGAGATTTTGGGATTGTGAACTATACTGTAGTTGGCTATAGTATTACTTCAATATTTTTTTACTCATTTAGTATTTTTGTAATACATATTTATGAACACACTATAAAGTATATAAACTGAACCAAAGTATCAAGCAGTACAGGGGCGCAGCCAGTGGTTGAGGGGGCGTGATTTATGGAGGTTGTAACTCCCCGTTTGGAAGTTTTCAATGTGAAATTTCTATCCTTTACTTAGAAGAACAACTGCCGCGTTTTCAGTCAACACATCACAATTTCATGGTCAAAACTATATTATTCTGTGCATTGCCCTGTTAACGCAATTAACACCTCAATACTCTTAATCATCTTTAAGATACTTTATCTCTTCCAGTTGGTTCCGATAATGTCTTTGATATCTCTGTGACAATTGAGATATGTACTTTCATTCTGATTATTGATCTTACTCATTAGCACTTAAAAATGCAATGAACACCATACTTTTAATCTTTAGGATAATCTTTTCTTCCCTTCACCCTACTCCAATGTGTATATGTGACATTGGTATAAATACAGTAAGTCCTCGAGTTGCGGATGGTCCCTGACTCACGCTGTTTCAAGGTTACGAACGCACTCCATAAAAATATAAAACATAATACTGTAATATAGAAGCCCTTAAACTGGATCATTGTGATCAAGAAAATCAGTGCATTGGGCTCATTGGTTTTCGTCATTATCGATGGACAATTGCGAACTATTACGATTATGAATGAATAATCACTAAGCTTCAGTCACATGGTACACAGTTTTAGTGAACTCGTCATGGAACTAAAATGAGGAAAATCGGAATAAAATGATGGCCTAACCGTAACTAGGTACACATGTATAATGTTCCGACGCACACTGAAATTCGGGTAACACCGCGTCTCAAGAACGAAACAACATCGTAAGTTGAGGACCTTGTATATGTATCTTCATGCAGATTTTTACGATTTACGCAGTGTTACCCAACTTTTTAAGCTCGTGGCCTGCTTTTAGTACTCATACCCCCCCCCCCCATTTATCATTCTGATGGTATTTATAGCGTTATTTTGATTGCATGATTTCCAATCCCATTATGCACAAACAATTCATGCTTAACAAGGTGAAAACACTCTGTGAAATATCCTTATACAGCAGGGGTGGGCACGGTTTTTGGATCAGGGGTCAAAAATTTTGCCCACCTAGACTGGTGAGCCAGATTGAATTATCCCGCGGGCCGTACTTTGCCCGTGTCTGTCATAAAGCAATGAAACTATGAAGAACAGGAGGTTTTCTTATAATGGAAAAAGTAAAATCATTATGACTCCCCTCCAACTACTCCGTCGCCTCCTTGGTAGACCTCGGGCTCTCTGTTGGGAACATCTAGATTAACGCATCTTAACAAGGTGAAAACGAGAATATCGGTCAGAGACCGAAGACTTATCGATCGAAAGTTAGGGGATCCCCCAAAACATGCTCTTACTCTATAGTGACACCTTGTGTCCCATCACTAATTAATTAATTACTCGCTAATTATACGACATAATTTGCCCAAAATCGATAGGCTTCTGGTCTGAGATAAGATGAATGCACATGCAAAATCTGCTTTCGTAAGATATCGCGTGCATCTAACAGACATACATACAGACAAATACCTATCAACATACTTACCGATTAAAATCGATAAGTAACAACAAGTGAAATATCCTTATCAAGCAATGAAACTAGGCAGAATGAGGAGTTTTCTTGTAAAAAAAGAGGTAAAATCAGCTTTGCATTGTGGGTCCCCTCCAACATGCTCTGTGACACCCTCAGTAGGTCACAGGCCCCTGGTTGGTAACCGCTGGATTAACGCATAACGCCCATAAAAATAAAATCAACAAACCTTTTCGCCAAATCTTCCATGCAATTTAAATCTGCCTGTAATCGACTCCAATGTGTATATCTGACGTCAATTGGTTTGGAAGCCAAGAAAACATTATCGAAACAATCTGTTAGAACTTTTGCTCCATCTTTGAAAGATTGATCTGACTTTGCATCGACATGAACGCAATAAATGTTCTGCGGGTGGTAGATTGAACGTAACAAACGCTCAAAAGAAGGCAGGTCCCTGTGAGAAAAATAAGTGTTTAGGTATCTATGTGAATGAAAATATTGAAATGAAATTCAGTCTAGCTCTAACCAGTGGTTCCAGACCTTTCATGGCTTGTAGCACTCATGACCAGTGTTAACTCTAAGCGAATTATGAGTGCGAAAGTGCTTCGCAGTCGAAAAAAAAAGTGCGAAAGTGCTTTTGCCGATTTTAACAAGTTAGGTGCCCTAGCCTTTCATATAACCCATTTAACACGGCATAGATACTCGAAAAAGCGCTCCTCCGGTTAATATTATGAATTAAAGAGAAGCCTTTCCGTTAACCGAGTTCCCTTTAAGCGAATTCATGTTTAATTAAAACAAGCGAATTCATCGGCAACGAAAAGACATCTGCTAACACTTGCCGCGAACAAAACTTTCATGCAATGTATCACGGTGTCAGTTGCTTACTAGCGTGAACAGCAAAGGCTTTCACATTTGTTACTCCTTCCATCTAACAGACAACGATTGATACACGTAGGATGGAAACCATATTAGTTACAGGGTGGATCATTTGTACAAATCCCGTGCAAAATAATCCACCCCCCCCCCAAATATAAATAGCAATCAACTAATTAGGGTTAGGTGCGCTGGAAATTCAACTTTTCGATTTATCCCCAAACCTAATCTGATAATTATTAATTTGTGATTTTGAACCACTTTGAAAGTCGCCACCCGCTGTTTTAGGAGATAGGTTGACCTACTTTCCTTTTAAACTTTTTTCTCCGAAATATTACACAAGATCACTTTGAAAATCCTCCCCTTTCGTGAGCTAGCGTGACCTAATTTCTCATTTATATTATACTATTTCAGAGCTTACCAAAAGACAAGTAATTTTTAAATGTCGACATGCCTTGGTTTGCGTGCGAGTTAGTTTAAATCAGGCAGAAAACATCATATATTGGCAAAATGTTTAGTAATGTCATGTACTTTCAGCATTCATAAATAGCACTCTTTGTAATGCTGCTGACCTAGTATCAAATATTCGCATCACAACGCCACTTGCGAGGTTTCCATATATTTCAATTACACTAATAGGAACGATGACACCAAAGAGTTTTCTTTTGCGAAGGTACACGAAATATAACGAGGGTGATTCTTAAAAAAAACATGAATATATAAAATAAACGAGTGATATGATAGTGGATCCCAAATAATTTTGAGAGTGTCTCGAAATACCAATCCATTTGATAAATAATTTTTATTCGACCACATGAACGCTGATATACGCATTCTCAGATATCGGACATCCAGTCGCGATATTCAATCGTTCATATGCACAAATCTCACATTAATAGTAATTCCTACCCACGTTTGTAAAGTTTAGAAACCAACAAACAGAAAATAACTTATCCTAAAACACAATTAAAACTTAGTCGTCAATAAATTCGTCGCCAAGACGATGCCATACAAAACAAAAAAGATTTGGTCGCGAGAGTTACGTTAGATGACTGCAAAACGACGTTGTTTTTTAAGCAGAATGTAAAACAATCAAATTAAAAAACGGGAGTTACGACGCCCTTTACACATCGTGTGTATTAAACTTCCCTGGTAAGTACTATTATTATTGTGCTTATACACCTGTTGTATTTCGGACAATTTCGAATTTAAAATTAATGAAAACCCGACATATAATAAAGACGCAAAAGTAAAATGAACATTTATTGAAAAAGTTATTATTTAAGAAAGACAACATGATCGTACAATTCCGCCCAAACCTCGATGTTCGCAAGTGAGGTGATAAATAAATACTTCCCTGTATTCGAGCAATTAACTTTAGCGTATCGTTGTTCTGCCAACAAACAGCCGGGTGCAAAATATTTCCGTCCTGTGATATGCTCATAAATATTCTCGATATTAATATCATACCCTCGCGTATGTACTTTCTATTAGCTCTTTAGTGATCCCTTCCATCCTTGGCCAAGTCTTGTTTCGAATATGTGAACATTTTATTCGACCATACATGGCCGGCGGGATGTTAAAATTGTAAACAAGAGAGAGTCGCAACAATCGCGAATTTCGTTTTGTTGCGCCTGTTATCGTCGAAAATGATTACATTTGTTGTATTTTGAGGCATTTAAGCAGTAATAATTAGGGCATGACATCATCAAAATCGTCAAGTGAGATTTTGAAATTGCAAATTCCGTAAATAAAATTGTGAATTACTCAGTAACGAATTCAGCTTCAATGACCGTCGGGGTATTGTTTTGTTGAAAATTATAATTAATGTGAGAGCGCCAAAAACATACAGTCCATACCGATGCGACTGCAATTTATATGGCCGCACTTGGTGTGGCGTTTATTAATAGTGTAAAATAAATTAAACGAATATCAATTATAACCAAGCCTGTCAGCGTGTTTATTTTCTGTGGGCAAGAATCGTAAAATACCATCTTGAGACAAATTCACTTCTTTTATAAAATCTAATTTTTCAGTTATTATCGTTATACAAATAACGTGTGGCAACTTTTTAATTTATCGTCGACCAAAAAACCGCCCCACACTCGTCCAAACGTGTGCCAAGCTTGACCGACAGGAACAGATTCATCGACGACTTTAATTAGGGAAAATATGTATTTTGTTGGGAATGCAAAATAAATGTAACAAAACGCATTTTTTTGTGATAAAACTTTGTATTTTCGGAAACGGATTGCCGTGAAGGGTAAAATTTGATCTAAATTAATCGCAAAAATGTTTTATTTTAAATGTAACAAAACACATTTTGCGATATAACCTTGTATTTTCGAAAACGGGTGTCCTGAAAAATAAAATATGATCTAAATTAATCGCAAAAATGTTTTATTTTAAATGTAACAAAACACATTTTTCGCAATACAACTGTATTTTCGGATACCGGGTGTCATGAAGAGTGAAATATGATCTGAATTAACCGTAAATAATGTTTCATTCCAAATGTATCAAAACGCATTTTTTTGCGATATAATTTTGTATTTTCGAAAACGGGGCGCCATGAAATATATTAATCTAATGTTTTATCTATCGTCTAACTAACGTCTGGTACACAACATTTTCGGGGAGAACTCTAACCCGCGAAACGTCATTTAATTTAAAATAGAGAATGTTCCACGCATTCCAAAACGGAAAATCACCAGTTAGTCGACAGGGATTCAACCCTCCGGATTCAGTATTCTATATCCCCCCGTGTCAGAAATTTCTGAAGATTGGAACAAAGAACCCGTCAAACCGCCGCGGAAGAAGGGGAGTATTTTTTGCACTAATAATTAGGGCGTGACATTATCAATATCGTCAAGAAACTGGTGAATTTTCAAATTCCATAAATAAAATTGTGAATTGCTCGGTAACATTTTAGCTATAATTATCGCCGGGGTATTGTTTTGTTGAAAACATGTTGAAACTTGAGGGAATTAGTTACAATTAGCGCCTGACCTCTATCAGGCACTCGAGCACTCGAAAAAAAAAGCACTCGAGTCCAATCTTTTCAGCATTAAGTCGCATACGTAAAATATCCTGTAAAAGAAGTGCTGTTCATTAACGTTATCTCGTCCTATGACCACGCAGAAATGCCTTTATTGCCGAATTATTCAATCACTATTTTAAATCAACATTCAGGATTGGCACAATTTCAGATTTGCCAAGTTTATCACCATAGAAAAACATGAGAAAGTTAATTATCGTCTTAATAAATATCAGCATCACGGTATCGACAATAATATTACCATTCGCATAAAATTGGGACCGTAAATTTATAAATCTTGATAGGTATTATTAAAGCCAACGCAAATGTTAATTTGAGTCCTCAATGTCTTCAACAGCTGTTGCCGATGTGAACAAACGGGTAAACCCGAAATATAAAACTTCGATGTCCGCCGACCCGCAGGAATTCATATTTGTAAAAAAGAGAGGGCGGGAATATAGATTAACAAAACCTGGATATCGCCGCCAAAACGATCGGTGACAAGAACAATTAGCGATTACAACGGAATTAACCAGTAAAAAGGCTTTGTTGCCGATTTTTCAATGTTTCAACCAACGTTCAAAAAATATTTGTTATTCGGTACTCGTTAAAAATATTCAATTCAATAAAATATTGAATTTTGCCCACCCGTACTCGCATATCAATGAGAAATACCACGTGCTTTCAACATTGTGATTACAATAAAATGGCACTTAATGGTATTTTGTGAATTTGGTGATTTTACAAATCTGTGACATGCTGCTAAAAGTTTCGTCTGATTTGAAAATCGTGCACTTTGGTCACAATACATCCAAAGTGACTATAACACTTTACTAACACTTTTATAGTCATTTTGAATTCAAGGATATCATTGATAGTCACATGACCACTTTCGTTCAAAGAAAGGCACTAGTAGTATTCCAACATCTGGTTTCAAAGACGTGGAGCGTTTTTGCGGGAGAAGCGGAATCGGTGTGCTTGTATAATAATCATATTATAAACAAGAATTTTGCGTTAATGCAAAAGCTTTATCTCCTATGTCTGCATCTCATAGGTTAGAATTCCGGTAAATATCGTTATGATATGCAGAATTGAGTTACAAATGTACTAGTATGTTACTTATTTGTCAACTTAATACTCGAAAATATTTGTTAACTTTGAATTTTTATTCCATTCAAAATCGGAAAAAAAGTGCTATTTCTCTTCAAAATCGGAAAAAAGTGCTATTTCGCAGTCCCTAAAAAAAGTTGCGAAAGTGCTTCGCAATTTTCGCAAAAAAGTGCGCTAATAGTGAACACTGCTCATGACCCACCCCTGTTTATCATTCCAGTGGTATTTATAGTATTATTTTGATTGGTAGACTCCGAATCCCATTATGTTAACAATTCATTCTTAAAATAGTGAAAAAAACCTGTGGAATTACCTTATCAAGCAATAAACCAGGAAGAATGAAAGTTTTGATGTAAAATGCAAAGTAAAATTAGTTTGCGCCTAGCTTGGTGGCCCATTCCAACTGCTCTGTGGCTCCTTTGGGGGCTGAGGGCCACCGATTGGAACCAATAGACAGTATTTGTAGACAGTACGAAATTTTACAAAATTCATTCTTCGAAAAAACTTGGGCCGCTTGAAAAAACAGTTGATCTAGAAGAAAGTTTCAATTGGAAGAAAGGAAGCATTAAAACTGGAAATTCAGTCAGTGAGATTGATGGTATAAGCGTGATAGACTGTACGTTTGGAAGGAAAAAAAACTGATTTTTCAGAATTTTTTGGAGTGCTGGTAATTTCTAAATAAATGAAAATTAGGGTGCATGTCAACAAAATAATATTTATTCATTATTAATACGTCCAAAAAAATGTATGCCAAAAATTACATCCCAGTGACTCATAATATGTACCGGTAATTCCTTTTTTTCACACCTGCGTGTTACTGACATCATATGATTATATAAATTAATTCTTTCTTTTTACCAGGGATGTCCTCAATAACCAAATAAGAATAGGATGCTGGATACATTCTGAATGATATTTTGAATTGTGATCAACTTTTCAAAATTATTCCTAAACTCAAAAAAATACCCAAATTAAGTACACCCAACTTTGAAGGTGACAAGATACTTAATTCAATTCAGACGTCCCTGCTATGAAAATTATAACTGCTAGATTTGATGGTTTAAAAATATTCTGTTTGATCGCGATTACAGCATACACAAGGAGCAGAGACACAGACTTTGATGGTAGAGGAAGACTTAGCCTTACTTTACCGTAGATCACCCAACACCAGGGCTTCCCGACCTTTTTGTTACCGCTGGTTTCCTAGTTCCAGTAAATTTTTTTTTTTAATAAATTCAAGTTTTTAGTTCTATAACAAAATTTATTGGTAAAAGCCTAACAGAAGTTTCAGTGAGAACCTTGTGGCTGCTTGATTGCGCAATCAATGAAACCCTCTTCCACCGAAGGCATTTCTGAATGGAACCAAGAAAATTAGCTACCTGTGTATTGTTATAATATAGGCAATAGAATATGCCTTTTCTTCTGAACTCAGCGAAATCGTAATATATTGTCGATTTTGTTTGAATTTTCCACAATTCTTTGCTTCTACCACAATGTCCTCTAGTCTTGGAATCAATTTCTTCTTTTTATCTTCGAATTTCTGTTGATGGAATTCAAATAGATAAAAGTAACGAAATAGATATATTTTATTCTTTTATAGAAGTTTATTACAGCAGCCGTTCCCAGCCGGCTACAGAGCAGTTCGGGGGGGATCTCACATTTCTTTTTACAACAAAAATTCCCTGTTCTTCCCAGTTTTATTACTTGATAAGGGTATATCACATTTTAAAAGTGTTTTCACTTTGTTAAGCATGAATTGTTTAACCAAATGTAACCTTTATGGCTGGAGAATTTTGTATACCCTCCTGAAAAATGTCATAACTTTTTGTTCAAACAGGCAAGAACCTTCAGTTTAATTTCATCAGAAAGCGGTATTTCGCCGCTTTATGCCAGTTGTGTCTCTTGATGCGTGCGATACTCTCTTAAACATATTGGGATTTGGAATGTACCAATTAAAAAAACACATAAATACTGTTGGAATGGTAACTAGGAGGCCATGAATATTAAAAAGCCTCTAGAAGTGGCCCACGAGTCATAATAGGTTTACAAGCACTGGTCTATATAGGCTATGAAAGCTCACTCATGGGAATTAAATCCAGAATAGAAGCAATAAATGCCTTGTGAAATTAGCGGGGTGTGAAAACACACACTAGAAACAGTACAATTTACAAAGCTTGTAACTGTTAATAAAAGCAACATAACGCTCTACTGATAGCAGTAAGCCAAGTATGGTATCCAACAAAACTAGATTCATATAATAAATATACTGAAATTTAGTAATGTATGTAAGAAATTCAACCTAACATCTTGAAGATTTATTACTTTTATCACAATATTTCCAATAGTGGGAAAATCCAACCTAAAATTTTATTTATATCTGTATTTAATAAGTCTCTCTGTAAAATTCACATGACAAAATCCAACCTTGTAGAATTTTCAGTTGTTTTTTTGACACTAGAATTTTCAGTTGTTTTTTTGACACTAAGGGTGTGCAACAGGTGGCCCGCTAAGCCATTTAGTGTGGCCCTTTTCTTTTTGACACTCAGATTTATCCCTATCAAGCATGATATACTAATCTGACAGTCTAAGTTAAAAAAGGCATGGAGAAAATTACATAATGATTTTTTCTCTTGTCACTGTGTTGAATCTTTTCCTGTTTGGTCTTGTGCTTTTAACACGAGAAGAGAAAGCGAAAGACTCCTTCTCTTCTTTCTTTTCTTGCAGCGTTCTAGCTGCCGCTAATATTTAAACTTGTTGTGTACATGAAAAATATAAACTTTTTCGAGTGGTCTGGCTAGATGTCTGAAGTTGGTTATACGGCCCACCGACAAAAAGTGTTGCACACTCTTGGGTTAGACTCTGTGCTCAAATTAGTATTGAATATAGAAATTTCCATTCAAAATAGCCATAAAGGTTTCAATTTACCTCTCCTTTTCATTCTCGTTTAGCCTTTCTATTTATCTTCTGATATTTCTTCTCTCAAGACATTCACTGTATTCTGTCTATCTGCACTTAGTCACTGCACCAACATTAGGAGTAAACTTTTCTAGAGAGTTATACAAAACAGCCAATATTGTAAGGATGGACACATTGACAATTATTTATTGCTGTTTCATATACTGGTATATTTTTTGTATTTCAAGAGTTTTACTATTTATAAAGATTATTATGTGAATAATTTAGCATATCAGTTTTTAGGGATTACATGAATTCTAATCAACTGTTCCAAGGCAAAAATGTTATTGTCAAAATTCCTAAATTTCCTGTCCTGAGAAATGCCTGTTTGTTATCAAACATTCCTAATGAAATACAAAGAGAGAAAACTGTTTACAATTTAGGTAACATTTCAATCTAGCAATGTGGTAGGGAATTCCCCCTATTCAAATAAAAATAGAATAAGATTTGGTATTCTTCCATCCTTACTGAATATTGTTGTAATCACCTCTTTTTCGATTCTCTATTATTCATTTTCTACATAAGCCTCTATAATCAGTCTACATCTACCAAATGAATAATCTTTGTACTATAGTGACCTTTACCCCTTGCCTATTCATGCCTGAAAGTGACCTTCAAGACCTGTGTTCTTATCATGTGTATAGTTGTAAAGACCAGATAACCATATTTGAGGTTTGTGCGCAATTGTGGTGATTTTCTAGGGGTATCCTTATGATAGAGATTTTAAGAAAGCATATTCACGAACATATTCACTCATATAGTCTATAAAACGGCGAATATATTAACTTGTAATCTGATAAATCGCCATGCTCCTTGATACAACCAAGTGTCGTGCCGATTTCTCGCCAAAACAATACTAATTAATTATAATATATTTATCTTTTAACTCAGGGTGGTCCAAACTGCGGCCCAGGACACATTCCGTGCAGCCCGCAGAACAATTTTAGCGTACACTAAACCATTAGCAGATATTTTTATTGATTGGCAGAAAATGTTTGAGTTATTTTTAAACTATTTCAACTGGGGATAGTCCTTTTCGCAATCCCGATGTCGGGATTAATGTTTGTTAAAATAATGGAATTTCAATGTTGTATCTATAAACGTCAAAACTTGACTATGACTATCTCAGTATCAAAGCAACTGAAAATAACAAATAAAATTACCTTAGAACCGAGCTCCAAATTAGCTAGTTTACCCCGAACAACAGCTGATTGATCCCCTTTGAGAATATCTTGGCAATTTAGTTCATCTGGTACATTAGGGTTTTTCACAAGTCTAAAAGATTCCAAAATTCCGAACACTTTCTGGATTGTTTCTTCATTGACTTTTGCATAGTATTGTGTGATGTCCTGTGGGACAGCAATAACCTGTTGAATTTAATCGAATAAAATTTGCTGATAAGTAGACAGCCCAGCAGTTAGGGTTACGATAGGATAGGATTTACACATTTATCCTGGCGGATCCCTGATAATACGGCTTAATAATATGGCAAATTCGTCATCTTGTCTTGTTACCAGTCCATGTCGGTTATGAGATTAGTTAGCCATTTATTTGGTTGTTTATCGAGTGGTACTCCATAATGTTGTACTAGGTTAGGGTTAGGCCATACTTTTATTCCGATTTTCTTTACTTTAGTTTTATTACATGTTTGAAGACTGTCTTGTTAGCCAAGTCAATATCTCCCTGCCCATAGGTTTCAGTCCCTTTACACAACTTGATGTAAAGTAGGCGAACAAAATTAGTTACGTCCATATTGGTACATATACTTCTGGAGGGCCCAATTTAGTACATAAAATATACCTAATTTTGAATATATTTGAACAATCAATTCAATTTGCATATTTTGGCCCTAGCCGAAAATAAATTTTCATTGTCGGTAAATAGTTTACTTTTTCACATACTGAAAATACAAAGTGTACAGTGTGAATTGTTTAATGTATAGAAATACAAAGATCATGCCACCCGGATGTATTAGGATGACTCATAGCTTATTTGAACATCCTTCAAATGTGTTGAATGAACAACTTTAGGACATAATATGGCCATGAGTCATTATATACTATATAGCCTTCTGATTACTATATAAACTTAGAATGAACTATAATAACAAAGGTTTTCTGATAATATTGTTTCTTTTGGCTTTAGTGAAAAGTTGAACAAAACAAAAAAACATTTTCTAGCAGTGGCCTAGCGCAGGGCTACTCAACTATTTTTACCGAAGGTCCGCAAACAAAACTTAAAAAATTAGTTGGGTCCGATCTTTCCAGAAATTATATTTCAACATCGTTAAACGTGCACTTCCTTGACCGGCTAATGATTATTAGCTAATCGAAATTGCTTATTATGGTGTTATAGTTCTTTTCATATATATTCAAAACTATGCAAGTCATTAGAAACAAATGGTCCAAATAAATAATTACCGGCAGGTGCGGTCCAAATCCAATAGTGGAAAGGTCCAGATTCGGACTGTGGTCTTTCAGCCAAACTCACACCTACTCTAATGTTAGTGGCTATCAATTAAAACTATATTAGCCTTCATAAATAAAATTAATAGCCTCTAGTGAAAAATATACAATCTTTAACCACTGAGAATATCCAAGCAATTGGTCCATTAGTGAATTAGAAAAGCAATTTTTTCATAATATCTAGAAGAAAAATACCAACAAGAACATAATAGCAAAACAGTGGTGTATCTAGGGTGCGGCAGCCATGGCTCGTGTCATGGGCGCTGTTTAGACAGGGGCGCAAAAACGGCGAAAAGTTTTAATCGTAATATGTTTCAATAGAATAATTTTAAGTTTGAGACATCTGGAACTCGCATTTTTACTTAAATAATATCGTACAGGTATAGCATTTCAATCACAGCCATTATAAATCGTTAACCAACTATCAAGGGGGCGCATTTTTCAACTTTGCCATGGGCTCCATTTTACGTAGATACGCCACTGTAGCAAAACGATCCTATCCATAGGTCAACTTTGTGTCTAATAAACAAGAATATTGCTCGCTATATTGTCCTATACATGCGTTTGGCATTTAGTCTGTATTTATGTTACCAATTGCAAACTGTAATGCTATTTATTCTAGTGATTACTGTATTTTCATTCCATTTAATACGAAGAATAATAACTGCAACATAACAAACGAGAATATCGGTCAGAGACCGAAGACTTATCGATCGAACGTTAGGGGATCCCTCCAAAACAGAAACTGCGTTTTCGATTCGAAAAATTCTGCAAATCAGAACTGGATTGTTTCGATTAGTTTCCAGCCAATAGCCTATTTACCAATCCTACATTTTGTGTATTTTGTATCCTATATTTTGCGATAAGTAAAAACGATCCATATGTCCATTTGTGTCCAACAATTTGATGGTCCAGAAGTGCGTGTACCAATAATCCAACATGGAGATAACTAATTTTGTTCGACTAATCTACATCAAGTTGTGTAAAGGAATTGGAACCTATGGGCAAGTATATTCACTTGGCTGACACAGACAGCACCCGAACTCATAATAGAACTAAAATATGGAAAATCAGAATAATATTATGGCCTAATTCTAACCTGGTACACACACTACGGGAGTACCATCTTTTTCTTTGTTGTGGAGGGAACTAGGATTTTATTAGGTGACAGTAGGAGCTCATGAGGGTTTGATTAAGATTTTTTAGAACGAAATTCACATCTAACGTGAGGTTTGGCAGAGTGAAACTCTTTGCGAGTCGAGAGTTAGGGAGGACCAATTTGCGCGATGCACAGCGATGTGGCATCCCCCCTCTGACTACTCTACGTGAGTTTGCAGATTCGAATCCTATGCGGAGATAGTTATGTGCAAGAAGATTTCTGGACTCCTCGCCGCCATTGGGTGGTTCACGTAACTGGTCGATTAAGGCTTCCTCCACCATCTAGTCCATGCTTCCGAAAAAACAAATAACTAACTATTCCCATACGCCATATGGAATGGTAACCGGACGAGAGGCTATGTTCGTCATATGAATAAGCCATCTTATCAACTTTCCTCTCCACTGGATAAATATGTAAATCCTATCCTATCCTAATTCAACATTATACTAACCTTGCTGAGATTTGTAGGATGAAGAGGAATGTTCATGAACTTCGCATTGCCAGCAAATTCATTCTCATCTTCAAGAAGATTTCTGCGACTGTAAAATTTTTTTATTAATCATACAAATTCTAAAGAATGGGAGTTGACTGAATTTTTATCTACAATGGCTGAAACAGTAATGGAGATCTAAGACAGTGATCTTGTGATCTCGTGACTCAGGGATTTGCTCAAATACTAGGTGATACTTCCCACATACGCAATTACTATTGAGAAACTCTTCAATGCAAATATAAAATGAACAATAATATTTACGAGAAAATAAAAGTAGTGACCTTTAGGTTTTTGTTGAAAATAAGCGACCCAAAAATGGTTTCAGGCCACCCAACACTGATATAAGAGGAGAGGGATAAAGAATGTTAAGTATATTTACTGGACTGAACGTTAATCAAGCCCATGTTATGGTGCATTGGTCTATTACAAGTCTAAACTGGGTATTGCAGATCTCTGCCCAAATTTGTGAACTCTCATAGCTTCCAATTAAAATAATATAGGGAATGAATAACTGAAATTTTTTGATTATAATTGATACATTGGGAGCCGATTGGACCAATTTTTTATTGGATTTCGCACAATTTTCATAAGATTATCAAAGCCTGTTTGTACTTAACTGCCTAAAATGATGTATTTTAAATGCAAGACTATTCTGATTACTGTCTCAAAGTAAATAAAAATAACAGTAGGCCTATGTAATAAAGGATAGAATTTACATATTGTTGATTACCGCATGTTACATGGCTATGCGAGTCTCAATTAGATTATAAGATAGGATTGGCATAATTATCCTGGGGGAGAGGAAAGCTGCAAAGACGATTTAATCATATGGCGAATCACAGCCTCTCGTCCGGTCACCAGTCCATGTCAGGTGCAGGATTAGGTAGCCAGTTATTCGTTAAATAAAACCAACTATTTGTCTCTTATTCACTTACGGTAGGTACTTTGTTAAATACAACATCTAATAGAGCAATCAGAGACGATAAAAAATAACTTAATTCACTTACTTGCTTAGGTACCATTTATCAAAGATATTCTCATTGATTAGTTTTCCAGGTTTAGCTTTATCAAGATAGAGTTTCCAATGTTGATTCTTTGTGATTAAAGTTGTGATCAAAACGATTAAAATCCAAACAGCTAATATTATGAACAAGTAACGAAGAACATGGCTTTTCCTTCTGCAACATTGTATTACTGCACTATTTGTCATTATTTTATACACTTGATGTGAGGTATAGTTCATTATGAAGGAAGAGAGAAAAAGTTAGTAAGATAACATTGTTGGCATGGAAAGATAATTTATTGTAAAATTTATTTCATCAATCAATCAATTTTATTTATCAATTTTTAAGCTATTTCTCTCGTTTTCCCGTCATAACGATCACGATAGGAGAGAGATCGCCGGCGTTAGCGAGTTCGTAATTGGCGGCGCAGATGCCATTTCGAGCGATCGCAATTATACTTTGGCAAGCCCTATGACGTGCTTGTGACGTCGAATTGACGTACCGTAAAAGTGCCTAACTTCGGACAGTTCCTAACTTCGGACAAAATTTTGGAACAGCCATATCTTGGCTAAAACGCGCCATATATTGCTAATTTCAATTAAAATAGGTAGCGCTGTTATATCTACATCTATTCCCATCTTTTTTAATGTGGCATTATAATTTTTTTGGTACAAAAACGGCAATTTTGCCGAAAATTGACTGCCCGGCATTCAACGGCGCAGAGCGTCGCTCCCACTAAAGCTATCATCGTCAAAATACCATCATTCGGTAGAGGACGATAACAATGTATATAATTTATTTGAGTGATCGCAAGATGTCGTACGAGATTTAAATAAAACCTAAAATTCTGAATTATAAATTCCGTAGGAATATTAAGATTTCACGCAGCGTCAAAAGTTACGTCAACCTCACATAGATTTTTTTCGCTCACTTCGGACACGACGTCACACTGCGTCGCGGAAATGAATTTTGACGCCAGACACAACGGCGCCAATATGACAATTTTCGTTAAGATAAAGACGGCGTTCCAATGTAATATTTTTGCATTTTGTTCGGTCCATGTGTGAATATATGCCAAAATTACATTATTGAAAACACATGTCACACTTAATCGATGACGTTAAAAATCGAATATATAAAACTGTAAAAAATCACAAACGTCCGAATGGCATAGTGTACTGACTTAACAATTATTTTATGATTAGTAGTCGAAATGACAGTTATTGAATACGGCCTGGGTGAATTTTATTCACTCGAAGTTAAAAATTAATTTAATCTCCAACAAATAAACGGGACCCATATGTTAACGAAATTAAGTTGAACTTTAAATTAAACTTTACAATCAGATTCACCGTGTGTTTGATATAAATTATCACTTATAAAGATAACTGCGCAGAATAAACCAAGCTATCCGTCGAGAATATTAATACTTCAAAGACTTCGATAGAAGCCCGTTAAAATATTTCATTGTGGATTGAAACGGTTTGCATCGGATATATTTACGTATGTATTTCCTGATTAAAATGACTAACGTGTTGTTATACTTATCTGACGTAACGAAAATAACGAATGAAAGATGTAAACATAGGACGACGGCAGTTTCAAATAATGCATTTTTGCGTGACGTTAATGTTACCTTACGACGATCGAGCGTCTTATCTTCACGCAACGACGTGATTACGTCATCACATCGTAAGCCTCTCTCTCTCTGTGCGTCGCGGTTACACAGTGAAGAAAATGACTGTCCGAAGTTAGGGCAGTGAATGATAACGGTCAGATGGCAAGAAAAATAGATTATTTCAATAGTGAAAATAGTCCAATTGAACCGAAATTTGCAGGGAATCTAAATTACCGCACGAATTTTTTACCGAGCAATTTTGGCACCGTTTGGACAATAAATGGCCGAGTTATTGACGAAAATATAGTAATTTTGTCCGAAGTTAGGCGCTTTTACGGTAATTTTCGGATGGCATAGTCAGGTGGGGGTTAGGAATAACATATGCAAAATTCGTTTTGATACGCCAACTGGAAATACTTGTGGTACTAAACTATACTATATATACGCGGCGGTGTGGCTCAACGGGCTAATCGTTAGGAATACGCTCGCCACCGCACCTCTAACTACTCTGCGTGGGTTCGCAGGTTCGAATCCCATGCAGGGATGGTTATGTGCGAGAGGATTGCTGGACTCCTCGCCGTCGTTGGGTGGTTCACGTAACCGCTGGTCGGTTACGGCTTCCTCCACCACCAAGTCCATGCTTTCGAAAACAAACAATACAGTAAATGTAATCCCATACCCGACTTGGAATGGTAACCGGACGAGAGGCCGTGGTTCGCCATATGGATAAGCCGTCTTATCGGCTTTCCTCTCCCCCGGGATAAGTATGTAAATACTATCCTATACTAGACCCGTCCTGTCTGCCTGTAGTCAGGTACCGGTTACCGGTAGTTGGAAAAGGCCTCCTACGTGAAATAAACCGGTACCGTAGCGAGAGAGAGAGAGAGCGATTTATTGATAGGCTATGTCAACCAAAACAATTATAAATATGAAACATCGGTACCGGTATTGTTTTCAAAAGCAAATACATTGTTTTCAAACGCAAATACAGTACACAACTACGGTACAGCTTGGCTTACGACTTTTCGGAGACAAGTCTTTTTAGGATAAGTCTTTCAAGAGTTCATTCAAAGGTTGACTTTAGAAAAGCTGAAAATTCTTCGACGGACGAAAAACCATAAGGGTTCAATCATGGTTACCTCATAATGATAGTTATTCGACTCTTTCGTGCCGGCCGACTGACGCTGTACGATGACAACTTTTTTTGTTTCACGCGTAATGCTTGGTGGTATGAAATGTTGACATTTATATCTAGGTTTGGTTCTATGTTTTCGATTCAGGGCGAGTAAAGAGGAGCGGTGCGGTAAATTTTGGTGTTGGACGCAAAGTACAAGCTATTTTCCTGTCAGAATATCTTCATCCCTCTATTTTCTGCCGACCTGCGTTTACAGATGAATTCTATCACAATCAGATAAGTGCATTAATTTTTTTAACATTTACGGTTAATGACACTTTTACGAACAGAAATTGGCTTTTTGTCATTTTTTCAGTTTTTCCTGGAGGGCAATCTAGGATGTTCAGGCTGCAATATTGAAGCAAAGAGTATTATAGACTTTCTATATCTGTATATTTTATCTTCAAAAACTAACACTCTATTTACTATACAGCCAAATGCATGCATGTGGCTAAACCTTGAATGTAAAATCACTCTGCTCTGCATGAATTACACTGCATGATTCTATGATCTGTATTTCTATTTCAGTATTTGAAAAATTAATCTTCATTTTCTTGCATTTCAGTTTTTTTTAGTGTTGCATGATTATCCAGAATCTTCATTCCATTTTTCACTTTTCTATTTGCTTTTTATGTTGACCCCAAAACCAAAATGAACCAAATTCTGAAATTACTGATAAAACCAGATATTTACTGTAACCATATATTAAATATGCCTGCTACACATTGCTCTGTTCCGGGATGTTCCTGGTCAAAGAAAAAAAAGAATGTCGAAAATAGAGCTTTGTTCTCTATTTTGCGTCTAGAGTTAGCCAAAAGTCAGGAAGAATGCAGACATCGGCAGGACTTGACAAATTTTATTTTGTCACTCCGTGATATTACTCGGGGTGATGGAATTAAACAAATGCTCCACAAAGAATCGTAAGTAACCTAGTCATATTACAGTATTAATTATTTATATATGAAGCTCCGTACTCATCGAATAAATTAGTATAAAAAATTGTTTGAATGACTATTTCAGCTCTGCTATTTGTGAATCCCACTTTCGTAAAGAAGATATTTTATTCGAAGGCAGACCTAGATTGAGGTCAGGTAGGGTTACCATATTTTTGTGACTTCAAATCGGGACGCCTCGAAAGACAACGAGCCCTTAGCTGTGATTTTATAACTTCACATTTTCCGATTTTACTACATAGGCCTACATTTAAAGCTGTCTTTATTGACCATACTGTTATCGAAGTTTCATGCGCATATTCTCTGTCCAAATATCGGGTTCAGTTCGAAAAATAGGAAGGAATTGACGTTAACGATACCGGTACAAATAATTCGAATTTAGACTAATTAGTATTGGTTTTACATGCGATACGTCTGCCATCAATGGGAATCAGCGGAAAACGAACGCATTCACTTTCAGTAAGTAGGCTAGCGCTGCGCTACACAGAAACAAAGGTAACGAGAACATGTTTGTGTATTATGCTGGAAATCGGGACTTTTGGCTGACTTATCGGGACGGCCGGACAAAACGCTGAAAAGCGGGACTGTCCCGCCTAAAGCGGGGCGTATGGTAAGCCTAAGGTTAGGTGCCAGACCCATTCCTAATTTGTCTAAGAAAAAACATTCAACAATACCTCGTAAGGCACCAAAGGAAAGGCTGTTTGTAAAAAAGCCATAGTATATGTCGTTGAAACACATGTGGAAGTCCTGTGAAACGCTGCCATCAAACATAAAAGGTTTCAGAAAATTCTAAAATATTGTATATGAGTTCTACATCTATAAACTAAGATAATGAATTTATTTGACAGAAAAGTGGATTTTTTACGACCAGAATGGCCCATTTATAGCAGAAATGAGAGAAAAGGATTGCATTATACCTAGAATAAGGTTTCTACAGTAATTAATAAGTTTTCTTTAAATGAAGATTTTGAATTTTTGTCAACTATTAGTTTTTGTATTATCAAAGGATACAGATAAACTCAGACCTAAAGATAGAGAAAGTTGCGGTTTTAGGGTGGCAGGTCAGCGTCGACGTATTTAAAGATCTCGCTCATAATTCGATACACAACATGTTGTTTAAGTAGATAGTATGCTAAGAAATTGGAATAAATGTATCAGTTCAGAATCCCCAGTGAACTTGACTAAAATATTGATTTTCAGGTCATTTCGAAAATCTGAAGGTGCAGGTATAGGCAAAATTTTGAAAGGGAGTTTGGACCATCCTATACTGCAATGGGATGGGTGCAAGATTGCACAACAAAATATATACAGGGCACCGAAATGTGAAATTATTGGCAAGTATAGCATTTTTTTTGTGAATCAAAACTGAATTTTCTTTGCAATATTCTTTGTGTTTTCATAGTGGAGAGTGACTTAGCATTGTGTTCGGAATGTATAAAGTTTGGAGGGTATCAAAAAGAACAAAAGGTGGTTGTTGATGATGGTATGCATGGCCTGATTCAGGTAGTTAATTGACATGCTTCGAGTCTCTGATCAACTACATTATTATAATCAAAATTTCTATACAGAACATTTTTGGGGAAAGTAAGAGGAATATGAATGATAGGCAACAAATGTTTTTCTCAAATCAAGTCGAAAACGCCTCGATCACTGGGAATGGAAGACGATATCATCCAGATACCATACGATGGACTATAGAGTTGTATTGCCGCTCGCCTGCAGCGTACAATCATATTAGACAGAGCCAAGTGTTGGTATTGCCATGTCTGTCAACCATACAAAGATATCGGTATACTTTATTTTCGTTTCATTATAGGTTATGGATTTTAGTTTATAAGACTACAATTTTCATAAACAGCAATCACCTTTCTCCTGAACCTGGGATCAACCCAGCTGCTATTATGGAGATTGAAAGAGTGATGACTGAACACGAAAATCTTCCTGGATATATAACTGTGGATGAGATAAAAAGTAAGCAATTTTCTTTTTAAAATAAGAGGATTAATTACAGAATCTTAATTTTACTATTTCAGTCAGAAGATCTTGTTGTCAAAAACGGGAAATTAGTTGGATTTATTAAGAGTGACCTCTCAAATGAATGTGTTCTCGCAAGCCATATATTGGGTAAATGTTTTTTTTTCGTGTAAATGAACATTAGTCTGTTTACTTGGTAAGTATATGGCGATGTTTTTTGTGTGATAATTACGTATTATTTTAATCCAACTTTTTCAGTTTACTGTATTCGAACCATCAGAAGAGAGATTTCATGGTATCCGACCATGGTACCAATTGCATGGTATCCGACAACCGTCACTCCGCCAGGACAACTAGCCATCAACTTTTGTGAGCGTGTGAGAGAAGATGTGTTCGGATACATGCAATTGTTGCGGATGGAATGCCAACAAATCGTCGATTTTTCAACATAATTGCTGGTGTTACTTCCATCCCTCTTGAAGGGACTTTCACTGCACCAAATCCTCACCAACCAATTTTTTATGCTCGGACCCATCTCATCTGTTAAAGGTAAAATGATGATCTGATATAATCTATCCGATTTTGGACCTAATTCATAGTTAGTGATAGTCATTCATGTATTTTTGTTTCATATTTTTGAGAACAAGTTTTAAAGTAAAGAATGTTTTTCCTGCTATATTTTCATAATGTGGCACTATTATTAAGCAATCAAAAAAAGTGAATTATTTCTAGACTTCTCGAAATACTTTATATTCTTCGAGGCCTGGCGGTGCGAGTATATGAACCTAAGAGGTCGTGATGTGCTTTGGACACACCTGCTCCAGCTTTATGAAAAAGAGAACTCAAGTTTGGCTTTAATTCGAACACGTCTGACGCAAGATCATGTCATATTAAATCCACGGTCGAAGGTGATGGTTCCAACACCACCTGGTGATATTTTCAAACATAAGTATCTTTTATTTTGAATGGGGTAATTTAATCTTTCTAATTGCAGATGAAATTAGTCCTTGCGAGGGATGTCCTTAATTTTGAAGTTGGGCAATGTTTTCGTGATATTCCAGGTGCAGAGGGTACATCAGAGTATGTATTGATGATCGACAAGTGAGTTCACTGTTATTCAGATTTTTGGTGTATGTAATTGCTTAAATGAAAGATGATAAAAGTTGCATATGCTTTTCAAAGGTGGTTCACTATAGTAAATTGTAACATCACATGTCCAATACGCAACATCAATGACGAACGGCTACTTTGGTTGAGATCATTCTCCAAAAAACTCCTCGCTTGAAAGGTGATTCAATTACTTGTCCCTGGATATCCAAGTTCACCCTTGTTATAGGGAATGCTAGACAAAATGGGTTAAACAAATAACCTTCGTTTTATTCGCAGAATGATCTATTGAGTCGCGTGGACCACTGTAACGCACGGACCACTGTTTGTGATGATCCCATGCCAAAAAGAATGAAATAAAAAACAGCATGGTTTTTGGGGTAGTGGGACCCCTGGTATACCACAAGGCGGATGAGCTGGATATTATCCAGCCAACGGCATCCACATGTAATGTACCTCTTTGGGTAGTGGGACCCTTGGTATACCAGAAGGCGGATGAGCTGAACTTTGTTCAGCCAACGGCATCCACAGCAGTTTCTTTACTAAGCATTGGCGATCTGCCTATCCATGATTGGGTTTCTTCTGTTCAAAAAGAGATCCAACTCAGGGGCTGGAACCTTGCCGTGGTGAGTTGGCTTCTCACAAATACCAGCCGGCAGAATTAGATGTTCAGAGTATCTAAAAATAGTGTGGAGCAGTGGTTCCCAAACTATCGGGACCCACTATTTATTACCACAGCTTATGGCGACCCACTTAAATTTAACTTTTTTTTACAAAAATGGCTAATCACGCCAAAACTACCGTGTTTCCTCGAAAATAAGACCTGGCCTGAAAATAAGATAATAATTTGAATTTTCAAAATGATTTTCAATTGAACCCTACCCTTAAAATAAATTTTAAAATGTGTGGGAGAGATCACACCACTATTCAAGATTGTGTTAAGTCACAATCCCAATTATGATATTTGTCACTTGATTTTTGTATAGAAATACAAATAAAAACAATGGATGTCGGTTTTTATAGAATGTTTAGTAAAAAATCTTGTGATTTTCTACAATGTAACTTTATTTTTGATATATGAACGCAAAAAACATAAGTGTTATTCTTCAAAAGAAAATAAATCTAAATCCTGTCTAAATTTCGGGGAAACACGGTAGGAAATATTTCTCTTGTTTTTTCTTAACATTTACTAGGCCGCGAGCCGAGGCCATTTATCTTTCAGTTCCGTAGCGCACATAAGGTAACTACCTGAAAATGATTTTAAAATGTTCCTTAGAAATTTAGTAACAAATATTGCCTTGTTCCCACTTCCAAAAGTTGCACGTTTTACAGAAAAGACGCTTTTACTACAATAAATATGTGTTACCATCTGTCCTATTTTCTCTTCTTTTCCGATATCATGGGCCAATGAACGCAGACTTCTGCATAACGTAACAATCAAATTAGTCAGCTGTAGGTGGATCCCCAGTGGTCGGATGAATATCAGATGTACTACTACTGGTCGCTTTTGCGTTGAGTAGCCTTTCCATAGTTTTTTTCAGTTATTATTAGTTCAGTTATTCTAAGGAGGTGTTGAAAAGTATAAGTAAGATATTAAACATTTGTATATCCTTACCATAAATAGCAATTTTAGTTGAGCACTAGCTCATAAGACGTTGTTAAATAGGTACGGTGCGGTAACTTCAAGGAAGGCTAGACCTAGAATAATGTGTCACAAACAACGATATTTTCTGGCTTGCATGAAATGTTCATGATTAATTTAATGACTCTTCTTGACTATTCAGCAGATTTATACTACTATATAGGCCACAGCATATTTGGAAATAGAAATTAATGGCTGTTTCTGTAATGCACGGTTGTGTGAAAGAGAAGGAAATAATCAATTTTACTAATGTCGGTTGGTCTAAATCTAAATTCATAGAGTCGACAAGAACCTGGAAAGCAATGATAAGTTATGCCGGAGTGAAAAGAAAGTAGAATTGGAAACGATTGAGAGGTGAGAAATCAAGTTGTAGACAGACAGTTGATGTTTTAAAATATAGTCTATAGTCCATACTCATACTGTCATAGGGCATTTCAGACTGTGATATATCAAAATTTAGTGTAGATATAGTCTAGTAATCGTATGCAAACACTGCTGGACTGTAGTACATGCAGTGAGCATATATACGCTCATTGAGTAAATCAGATAAAATGCATTATGTATTCAAGGTATTAGTTAGTATTTAGTGGTATTTTTACACTCATGCTGTTCCAAATATGATTTTCTTCATCATTTTAGATACTGTACTACAAAAGAAAACGGCAATGTTCCACCTAATCTGACCTAACGCAGGCTCTAATCCCTGCTGCTATCAGTGCTATAAAATGGATTAAACAAGAAGTCTTGAAGGTATATGAGAATCATGATAGTTGCAAACAGCTTAGATGGGCTATTCATATTGAAATACTTTAGCACTTTTCTGCAATTGGAACTGCCCATCAAACTCATGTTGGAGACTTCATTGAGGTTTTCAATTCATGTTTTTCTCAACTATGAAGATCTTTTGAGGTTAACGAGGCATTAATAAATAAAGCTGAGGAATTTGTTTGTTCACTGTATGAAGAGGATATGAAGAATGTAAATGATACCAGGGCACGTCTATTTAACACTGGCAAACATAAGGATTATACTCCTCCAACCAACAATGATTCACTGAAGAAGCATGTGGCCCTCAAATCAGTTCTTGAGTTGGCAAACTGCAAGTGTAAGAAAAATAGGCAAAATAATTTATGCAAGTGTGCCAAAATCAACTTAAATTGGACAGATTTTTGTTTTTGTATTGACTGCAAAAACCACAGTACACTTATAGAGGAAAAGTCGATTTTCCTGTTTCTAGAAATAATATTGCCTTTGTTCAAATACATAACCACATAAACTAAAAAAAGACTAATTGTAATATTTCCGTTCACTATGTTGTGTACATATTGTACATTAATTTTCTTGACTTTTCCGGTAAATTTCTAAGTGAGAAATAACTGATTTATTTGTGTTTTCGTGCTCACGATGTTAATTTGTGACTTCGTTGCTTAAAAATAAATACGTTTGATAGCTTTTATAAAATGGATGTAGCTTTTTATGCTGTTCTTGTTGTAAACTGCTTGTGGTTATTACATAAAATTTATTTGCTAATGTGAATCAGCGTTGTTGGTGTCGCTGCTTTCGATATCACTCGCGACTCCTGTCACACAATTACTGTATTTTTTGTTGTTGGTTACATGTATACCATATTTTTCGTAATCTACCTAATAAATTATGATTGACTGAGGAAGTCCGATTTTGGTCAGGCAAAACATTACAGGAATACATTTGTGTTACTGTGCTGTAGGGCTCTCGAATTGTATAGTTCTTATGTATGTGTTGTAAACTTATGGTTATTGAATTTCCGGGAACCTCTTATATTCAATTTCGCATCAGGAATGTGGAACAAGCTGTAATGCGTTCAGTATGTTCATTTTCACACAAAACTGAAGAATCTATTTAGTTACCAGATGTGCGCTACGAAACTCATTTTCTGGGCGTTTTCAAGCCTTCGTCTCACGGCCCATATCCGTGGTAAGGATCTACAAGTGTTTAATAACTTACTTATACATTTTTCAACAACGTCTTAGCATAACTTAACTAATAATAACTAAAAAGGCTGCCCAACTCAACGCAAGGTCGAGCAGTAATAACTAATATTCATCCGCTCGCTAACAGCTGATTCGATTCAATTGTTACGTCATGCAGAAGTCATTGTTCATTGCCGAAAATGTAGAGAATATAGGACAGATCGTAGCACATATTTCTTGTAGTAAAAGCGTCTTTTCCGTAAAACGTGCAACTTTTGCAAGTGGGAACAAGGCAATATTTGTTACTAAATTTTTAAGGAACATTTTAAAATCATTTTCAGGTAGTTACCTGATGTACGCTACGAAACTCACTTTCTAGGCGTTTTTCAGGGCCTCGGCTCGCGGCCTATACGTATTCGAGTCGCCACCGATCCTAATAACCAGTTAAGTCACAATCCCAATTATGATATTTGTCACTTGATTTTTGTATAGGAAATACAAATAAAAACAATGGATGTCGGTTTTCATATAATGTTTAGTAAAAAATCTTGTGATTTTCTACAATGTAACTTTATTTTTGATATATGAACGCAAAAAACATAAGTGTTATTCTTCAAAAGAAAACAAATCTAAATCCTGTCTAAATATCGGGGAAACACGGTAAGAAATTTCTCTTGTTTTTTCTTAAGATTTACGTATTCGAGTCGCCACCGATCCTAATAACCAGTATAATTAATCAAATCTTTCTACATCTTTTCACAACCCACTAAGATTCCTTTCGCGACCCATAGTTTGGGAACCGCTGGTGCAGTTGATGTTAGGTAGGAATTGATACATTGTTGGAGTGTTAATTAAGATCCCCATACCAGCATTTCTTTGAATATTGCATTGACAAATCCAATCTAAACAATATCGATCCATATATCAAATTTATTTATACTTCCCATCGCATTGTCATTTTACTGTAGCATTTTTAACAGCACCACTTAACATTGGTGCATATATTTTGAAAAAAAGTAGTAAATGTCAATTAATGTTGCAAATTACCCTGCTGTAACCTACTTTACATGGCCAAAATTTAGTAATCTGTCAATCTGCAGTGATTTACAAGTATCTTTGTATAAATGCGAGTTTGGAGGAAAATCATTTTTCATACAAGAAAGGTTGGGAGTTGGAATCTTCAACGATCAACATAATAAAAGTTTTATCGTATCTTTGGACCACCCTAATCCGGACAAAGCCTTCTTCAACTCAGGGGTGTCGAACGTGGGCCGTATTGCATTTTGGAAATTGTGCTAAGGGCCGCGTTTGACATTTACATATTAATTTATTACATTCCACTGTGTTGCAAAAAGTAATAAAATCTATCCATCCTAAACTAGCAAATAATATTGTAATTTTTCAAAGCTACTTACCATTGTCCAAGTAATTGAAGAAATGATAACCTTTATCACAGTTATAGCTGCAAGCAGTACCCCCGTATACTGATTCAGTGTCTTATATTTTTGAACCATTATCTATTTGTGAAGGAGAATTGCAACCACGAATACATATCCAGGTGATCTTCCATACATGTACGGTTACTGT